AGTAAGTTGTCTTCCACTGCACAGTGACAGAAAACATAAGCTGTCTTTAACTTTAAGTGCCAAAGTGCAGTCATTACAAGTAAATCACAAGTCATTCCCTCCCAAGTCAAAATGACAAACTATTCAAGTAAAATGATGTGTCATGGTTCATCCCCTTTCGTTTGTGAATGATGTTTGCCTTGTGTTTTTACACATATTTGACCAAGGATGGATTTTATTACAACTTTTATTATTATTTGTAAGTTGTAAGTTGCAAATCAGACTTGTGGCATAACATTTTGAGCAGCAATGGGCGACACAATTTCAAATTAAGAGTTTTACGTTGGCTGTTAGTTAGCAGACCGTCTACTGAATTTCTGATGGATTAGACTGAGCAGGATCATGTAGAAGATATCTGTATCTTTCAAAATTAACCAGTATATATATGGACATGTTATGTATTTCTTTCGTTTTATTATTAGGTTTGATCTACGACAACACGAAAAGCTACAACGTTGCATTCTTCACAGGCGCGGCCGTTTTACTGATGGCTACACTACTGGCAACCGTTGTGTACTTTCTGCAGAGGGCCCACACCAAACGACATCTACCTTTGGCCAGGTTTTGGGCAAAGCTCCCGAGAAAAATGAACCTCAAGAATATGTCTAAGTCGGCATCCTACGAGGTCAATGCGAAACTGGGCGATTCACTAAATTGCGAAGTAGGGGTGGTCAATCCCTTATACACTCTTACTGCGTCCGGGGTCCTGGAAAACAACGCTATTACAACAGACAGTGAAGGTGTGAAGGTACACGCTGTGAACCCTTTATTTCAGTCTGTGGAAACTCCAAGTTCAGAGGAAAATACGACTGAGGTGTCGGCAACGGAGTGTGAACCATCTCCCGAGTCGTTACCGAGGGGAGAGTCATGCCCGGAGACCCCGCCAAAAGGGATGGACTGCCTCGCTGTCGATTCGGCAGCAATCGTCTCCATCTCGACAACACCGATAGATGCCACTGTCTGCATTAATCAAGACAAAACGAACTCGGACATACCCCCTGCTGGTTCCGAATCCGGACTGACTTGTTTCAGCGCAAGCATGGACCCTGGAAGTGGATTCGAAAATCCCACCTTTGGTGTAGAAACTACAGATGAGGTGTCACGTGACGACGACGAACAGACAGATAAATACATAAATAAAATTGCAGTATTTGACACCGACCCTAAAATAGAAAAGTGAGGATTCAGAGGGAGGCATATCAGAATCAAATTGATAGATTTCAGTTTTTATCTATTAACCTCAGGGACATGCTGACTACATTTACGACCCCATTATTCAAACCAAACATCTGTCTGCCAAACCAAACATCTGTCTTTATCAACCGTTTAAGACCAGCCACGTGATGGGATCTCGACCAGTAGAAATTGATAACCTGTCTTGGGTATTTATGAATAACACATACAACTGAAACACAAACCGAGTAGAGATTCACAATAAGGTGATACCACGTTCGAACACATTTAATATGAAAAAAAATAAATGCAATCCCTGATATGTCATCTCGACTGTCTACACACCTTGCAAGGTGCGCCCTCATTGCGGGTAGATTTTGTGTGTTCATTACAAAGAACAAACTGTCTACTGCGTATATCACAGAGGAACAAATACCTGTCCTCAGATGCGATGTCAGAAAAAGGGGATATTTAACCATTTTTGTTGACTGGTGTGATGTGGGACATTTTGAACTCCCGAGGGATGCATAGCACCCGAGGCGAAGCCGGGGGTGCTATGCGTCTAAAACGTCATATCCCACATCACAGCAGTCAACAATTGTTTTGTTATACCTCTGTCTTGGATTCTTTTGATTTTGATGTAGAATTCATGAAGACAAATAGCGGTAAACACAGCAATCATGACAATCGAACGTGAACTCACATGCATGTAGCATGCTCGAAACAGCTGATCGTCTGCTAGTTCGCTGCTCCCACTCATTTGTAAAAACATGGTGAAAGTAGCGTGGGTACCGACGATACAAGCATTTCACGCAGTACGTACCGTACGTACAAAGGCATAGCACACTCCCTATGGGATATCATTGACGTGATATCCCATATAGGGGTGTGTTAAATGATTTTTTTTTTAGAAACTTAACACGTGATCGTTCTAGGCCAATGAAAATACAGTATTTAAGACAGAGGTATAACAAATGCCCTTATATAGTTCAGCTTACTGGAAGTCTGTTATCAAAAAAAGACAAGGTGGTATATTACAATAATTAAGCGATGACACTTAAACTATAACCAATGTTTGTTTTATGTCTTGCTTCATAACTCATGGCTAAGTATTGTCAGATTTGAGTGCCCGTTGAACCATTTCTTTTAAGGAGGGGCTGGCCATAATTCACGTATTTACTTGTTTCCGGTTGTAATGGCGCCACTCCGAGCTCTCACGAAATTTGCTCCCATTTCGCAGAGTTTTTAGACAAAAAATACAGAAGAATAAGGTAAAAAAAACATATGAAATGAACAGTTAATTATCAGAATTCATCTGAATTCGCAAGCATTCCTTTTCTTTTCATAATCTTCATCTAAAGGAAAGTAAAGAAAATATATAAATTAGATAAAAAAATTATGGTACGATAATCGTACTGATAAATAGATGTTTTCTTATACACTGTTTATAAAAATAAAGAAAAGAAAATTTCTGATAGGCTACAAGGCTAATTCTGTTAATTAGATTAATTGACTTGTAAGCAAAAATAAAAAAGTATGCAAAGTGCAATAATCTGAATAGTTACTTCACCAAAAACTGTGTTTGTCCACAATGTTTCTCACTAACTCTTTAGCCCTCTTACCGCCCCATAACAGCCTGTCTTTCACCCCTCATTCTGCCCCAAAACGTCCGAGCACACTATAGCTTAATGGTTTCATGGATGACTTAATACAATGTAATACAATCAGGGGCGGATCCAGGATTTTCGCAGGGGGGGGGGGTTCATCAGAAACATTTTGTGAAATGTAGACAGATTTTTTTCTCCGGACACTTGGCCTCCGACAAGGTGGGGGTGAGGGTGGGAATTTTTTTTTTGGGGGGGGGGGGGGCTCGTACCATACTTTCAATGGGGGCGATGTTCAAATTTGACGGTTTTATTAACACTATATTACAAAATAGTTGACAAATACCCCCCTAACCAAACTGGCTCTTTCCGCATTTTGTGCACAGGCGGACATTATAACCAGTATAATTTTTTTGGGTGTCAGATTGGGGGGGGGGTGTTCTGATTATTTTTAAGGAATTTCTATAAAAATATAATTTTGACTGAGCTGGGGGGGGGGTGGCCCCCCTTGGATCCGCGCCTGACAATGTATTACAATTAAATACATATGTTAAATCGCTTATTTATTTGGTTTAAGCCCCATTAATATTGAGTTTTGCCCTTTGTCTTCGTATTTTATAAACACTGTATACTCGGTGCCCTAACTAGGGCTCGCGCGAAGACATTTACAAGTTTTTATACATCTCCTCTGCCGCAAATTCTTTCTTATATCTGAAGGATATTTATAAACAGGTTCACAGTTTAAACATAATTTCCATTCCCTTTTCATTGACACTCATCTCCTGGAAAAACAATAAAGGAAAACAGCTTTTTGCATAAAGAGAGGCTTATTTGAAATATATAGCACCGGGGCCGAGAAAAGTTGTGATGTTGTTCATGGCAAGCGATGTCTAATGTCTGTCTATGCAGAAAATTCCTCAAGTCGGTCTTATTAACCCTAACTCCATAGGGGGTGTGCAAAATCATATTGAACTTGGAGGATTCGGGACTGTTAGGGTTTTAATAGACTGATCCATTAAGCCCCGCCCACTACCGCAGTGGGCAATAACCACTAATCTCTATCATTCTGACTGGATAACACCCTCTTTTACATGCGCGTGCATAAGACATTCTGGTAGACTGAAACTGGAGCACGGGGCACGGTTCCATCGCTGGTAATGCACACCGTGCACATACATACACATATACAGCACAGCGGGGAGCCAGGAAAGATAAGTTTTGTAGTCACGTATTGGTCGACTGATACGTAAAATACGTAACATTAAATGTTACGTAATTTATGTATCAGTCGACTAATGGTCCTCGCCCGAGATAACAGGCTTTTGTTAATTACTTTACAATGTATTTCTGTGCATGTATATACAAGATTGGATTTTTGTTTTTGTTTTGTTAATGTATTACTTTAAGTGTATTTCAGAAATTGTTTACGGGGAAATTGCATTAGAATATATTTTTTCATAGAATTTGCGCTATGCAACTTAAAAAAATATTATATTTACTAGTGACCATTAGCTCACTTTGACTAGACGTTTGTTCAATGTTAATAAGTGCACAAGCGTACGTTGCGTCACAAATCTTCCACTCGTCGACTATTGGTCCCTTATCGAATTGTTCACTGCTGTGATTGGTCAAATCATCAAGGGGCGGGGCATAACGGGTCGGTCTATTCATAACAGTGGGTGTTTGACAAAGAGCTATATTTCGACGGTATTTGACAATAATTCTGGTCGTTCTTGATATGTAATCCAAATTCCTGATATTTACGATGCCAACTGTATCACATGTTTAACCCTAAAAGGGCCGGGAGCGGAATCCGCCCCCTCGGCTTTTTCCGCGATAGCCTTAAAAAAATTGTTTTCGCGACTGAGCTGTTATGACTTTTTAGCCTCGAGCCTTGCGCATTTTTTGACTCCAAAATATAAAAATCGGACCAGGGGTTGTCGCGCAGCGAAAAAATTTCCGGCGCTAAGCGCCGTCAAAACTGAATTTTCCCATGTACGTCGTGTACACAGACCAGAATTACCATTCATACATATGAATAATTAATTAGCCATAATTCCAAAACCCTTTGACCTATAGTCATGAAATTTCTTGGGTATATTAATGAAGAGTAGTTCTATGCATGTACCGAGTTTCAAAATTTTTCGTCACTCAATGGCCAAGATCCTACGGGGAGGGGGGGGGGGCTGAATCCGCCCCCCGGCTGAGAGATGGTCAAAATAACCCGGCCCTTTTAGAGTTAAAATGGATACGTAAATAATTATGTACACATTGACGGCATTACAGAGGCACCTGCAACGGAGCTGACTGTGTACAACTTCCACACATCACTGGGCAGTTTTTGCGGATGACGGATACGCGATCACACAGATTGGCCACTTTGTTGCTACACCAACGAGAGACGTCAATGCAAGGTGCTGTCCAAGAAATATACAAAAAAAATTTTTTAATAGTGTAACAAATCCCTGCCTAACTGGTTAAGAGCAACTTATGTACAGCTGATTCTTTTAAAGTGCTATGTCCGGAAGGTTTAGTTTACCTGAGCAATCTGGTGGTCTGTACCCAACTGGGCATGTGCAGCTACACGTCACAGGATCCAGAGTTCCTCCGTTTAAACAAGACAGGTTACACTCTACAAATTAAAACGTAAAACACGAAGCTGTAAGAAATGACCCAAAAAGGAAATGAATTACATATGACAAACAGCATTCAGCCCAATAGTAGTTCGCTCACTCATTACACCCTTTCGTAGCAGGTGCTATATGAAGCTGCTGATCCAGCAATTTACCCTTGTTAACTGCTCCAAAAAGCACTCGAAAAATAAGTTGTTTTAATACAGTTGATATCAGTGGTTCTCAATAGAGAAAGCATAAAAATAATTCAAATATCTTTCACCTTACTCAAACTTCCAAGGGAAAGCAACAAAACTATGCAAAATGTCGGGACTTAGATACATGCCTTCATTATAACGTATTAGTTAATTCCATGATTCCATGGTAACAGATCATACCTTCACATGTAAGTCCACTCCAAGGGAAGGGGCAGTAGCATCGACACATACCGTACTGCAACTCATAACCAGGAACCTTGGAGTACGTGCCATTGTTTTCACAATTGCCTTCAAACGGATCACAAGCTGTATTCACCAAGTACAAAGGGAATCAATACATTGACATTTCTAGATGCTTTGAAACATGATCTACGAAGAATGGTTCAAGAATTTGAATGAAACAAGACTAGGCAAGCTGAGTAAAGCTGGTCCCAGTGAGCACATTTATATTCAAAATAGCTTAATATTCGTACAATAAGCTGTAGTGTTAAGGTGATGGAAATGGAAGTCGACTTTTGTCGTTCGCACGAAGACTTGACTTATTTCCTACATATGTATCATTAAAGTACATAAACATGCAGCGCCAGTCTAATAAGCCACTTGCGTGTTAAATTTGAATAAAATCTGGATCGCTGACTTAATACAATGCTTTGCACGTTTTAACCTAGCATTCTCCCGACCAAAGAGACTGTTACTATATCACGTGATTCGGGGCAAGCTTTATGCTAGCAACCCCCAGCTCCGGCATGGTCTGGTGTCTTTGTGCCATTCTCACCCATTGTGAATGATGTATTGGTGCTGAGCGTCTCTTACGTAACTATGCAAGAGCTTGCCCCGAATCATGTGATTAGCAACAGTGTCTTTGGTCTGGAGAATTCACAGTTAAAATGTGCCAAGCATTCTGAGCAAGTCATTGTACCAGACGTTTTTCAAATGTAAATCCCAAAGGGTATAGGTTACACGCAAATGGCTTATTTAACTGTGACAGATAGGCCTAGTTAGTGAGCTAGGTAACTAGGCTAATTCACAAGGTAATAATAATAATAGTGATAATAATAATGCTGGAGTCTTATAAAGCGCATGTATCTTCCAACAATTGGGTACTCAAAGCGCTGGACAGTATGTCTATTATTAAAGAAAGGTAAATAAAGTTTTTGAGAAAGTGAGACCCGTTGTATAGCACCTTATAATGGTTTACAAGGTGCTGCGGCGCATATTGTGGCCACTGCCAGAAACACAGGGACAAAACCCTTCTCTTAGCGATAAGTGTTACTGTGTTCTTTTACGTGCATTACACAACACACGGGACCTACGGCTTTACGTCCCATCCGGACGATTCAATTACGGTAAAGTGCCTTGCTCAAGAGCACAAGCACCATGTTCCCACAGTAGGTTACTGGTCTAATAAATAAATGAAAGACAGTCAGTGACATAGGTAACTTTATAGCCTAATTCACATTTGACAGTCTCATATATAGTCTCATTCCCAAATGAGTCAGTCGTTGAGCTAGGTGACACAAGTGACAGTCAGTCAGTCAGTGAGATAGGTAACCAGTCTAATTCACAAGTGACAGTCAGCCATGGTCCAGTGGTCACTGTGTTTGACTCGTGTACGAAGTTGCGTGGTTACGAACCGTACCGGGAACATGGTGTTTGTGTCCTTAATAACCAATTGAGCGCTGATATCGGCCGCCACGTGGTCCCATGGCCTGATGAACGGGGTAATAATTGTAAAGCGCTTTGAAATCGACGATGGAAAGTGCTATATATGCACAATTATTTTATTATTAGTCTGTCAGTGAAAAAAGGAACCAATCTAACTTACAATCGACAGAAAAAATAGCGACAATCCTAAGCAAGTGTAATTCACAAGTGAAAGTCAATTCCCAGTCTTTACTCCAAAAATGCAGGCCTTTGTCCAACATTTTTGTCCTGTTCCCATGAAAGATGTACCAAGTAAATACATACCACATTCAAAGCAGTATCTTGGGCAGAAATCTGCATCAATAACTCGTGGAGGGGCCTCGTATTCCGTCCAGCATCTTGTATCATTCGCGAAACATTGCTCTGCCAAAATTAAAACTAATTATTAGATATTCATAAATACCTTTAACAATTGTCCCATTCCTATTGGTCTAGAGCTCGTCACGTGGCCGGTCTTGAACGGATGATAAAGACCGGCTGTCTGGTCTCAAACCCTTTTTCCAGTGTCACTAACATTTGGACTCCTTTTACCGTCTTATTGTTGAATGTTCACAATCCTCACGTAGGCATGCGCAATACTAACAATGAGGTAGAATTTCATAGTCCTAAATTCACAATACACTGGCACAGCTGCGTTGTGCGCCACACCGCGCAGTACGTTGAACGTAATTCAGGTAATTATCAGCATCCAGACTCCAACCTGTCTTAAAACAGAGTGTTTAAAACCTCTGAAGCACACATTTATTCCATTAATATTGCATTTCTGTTCCAGTTTGCAGCCGGATGATAATACTCAAATTCGATGTAGAATCTTATAAATCTCGGGTCAGATTCAACTCGGAATCCAGTTCGGATTTGACCCGAAATTTTTCTGGGTGAAAATGAGAATTTGTTGTAAAACTGACTCAGAAAAGGGTCATTTGACTCAGGAAAGTGTTAGGTCAAAATTATCTGGATTTTGGTCGAATCTGAGCTGGGACCTTTAAGAGTGTTCAGTCCATTTACACCATTCGAGATTATCAAATTAATTAAAACATAGATGAACTCAACTATTATCAATTATCACATAGAGGCTAAAATGATATTGTCATTCTGGATTTTATATTTTGTTTGTTTTAAATAAACAGTGTTACCGTCACAAGTGTCGCCTCTATAGCCAGATGCACAGTAGCAGTCGCAAGTGTCTTGGTCAAGGAGTCCGCCGGAATTGCAGATGGACCCCATGTTACACGCTGAGAGCATGGAATAATAACGAAACAAATGGAACGTGACTGAGAGTTGTATTCATGTACTTCAACAAGCATTCAATATTTCTTCACGGCCCTTGTCCTGGTCGATCAAGCCATTCTAAAGAGGTATGATGTATCTAAGCGCAGAAACACCAGTCCAAATCCAGCGGATAAGTGCATATTCAGTGTCGTTTCTGAGTGAACGTACACTGCAAAACTGCAGTGTTAAATTTACACTGTTGGTATCTATATAGGACCATCTGGTGTTAAATTTTACTGGTGTTGTCCTATATCGACACCGAATGGTGTTAAATTAACACCACAGTTTTTGCAGGGTATACACCGCAATGCTTTATTTGAGATAGCGTACCATCTCTGAATGTGCCTGTGGTGGCCTCGGTGGATAGTGTTCAAAATGGCAGCCAATTTTGAAAGATTAACCTACAGAACTCGGAAACAATGAGGCAGAATCTTTCTTCCGGTGTCTTCGGGTTATCAGACTCTGACAGCACTTGAAAGCAATTTATTACAGTAAGATAAAATGGCCTCCCTGGATTGAAAAATGGCCTCAATATCAACCCACCATTGGCCACGGGATCGACATCTCAATTTTCAAGCTTTGGTATGTAGGACATCCGTGGCAAAACTAAAGTTTTTACAACAAAGTGCACCAAATGATGAAACAAATTTCAGCTAGAATAGTGTCAGCTGTTTGCACTGTCCGATCGATTCCATACAGTCATGCATAATGGTGGGCGCCTTTTGCAGTCTCTCGCCTTAATTATCCTGTCTTTAATTTGGAACTTCCAGCTCACTGGCATAAATTAAGACATTGTCTTATATCAAACACGCAAATTAATTGAATTATTTCTCAACGATTGCCTCTTATGAAGTAGAGACATATGCAGTGCAAATTGACAAAATCGCTAAATCTTACCGTCATATAAACAGTTTCTACCGTCATTCATAAGGAGGTAGTTGCTCATGCAGGAACAGTTGTATGCGCCCACTGTATTGGTACAATTATGCTCACACAAATCAGTTCCATTCAGGCATTCGTTTATATCTGAAGGAATAAAGTAGAATCAACAGTGAAAGGGAAACGGCTGTAAACAGTGTAAGTACAATACCTTCTGGTTTTCTCAAAAACGTTTGATAAATTATAGGATATTTTTTACACAACTAAACAGGGTATCTGAAACATTTTTCCCAGTACCAACGATTCACACAAGGATTTTGATATTATCATAATGCAGTTGGCGATAGTTTGGAGCGAATGATTTTTGAGAACATGGGGCGCTGTTACGACGCCATTTTGGCAGAAGAAATAGACATGAATACCTGGTTATAGACGTAAGTTTACATTGTTACAATGTTAAATTTTAAGATTGAAGCTGCAAAATTGTTGCGTAGTTGCTGCGCCCTGATTCGCTAAAAACAAATATGGTCTATTCTGAATTGGAGACCATCAATTCTCCAATAAAAGATTCGTTGACATTATTTGTGCTCATACGTTCTGTCATTCAGGCAAGACGCATACATTTCATCACTAACCTTCACAGCTGCTGCTGCTGTAATTATAATAGAATCCGTTCGTATCACATTCACAAGTGCAACTCGGTAAGTCTAGTACAGCTCCTCCGCCACACGTTCTATCACACATTGTCGAGGGTGATGTCATTGGCTCAGATGTGGTCGCTTGCCTCGTGGTCGACTGATTAGTGGTTAATAGTGTTGCTAAAGGTATAACAGTGGTCGGTTGCGTCGTGGTTGATTGAATTGTGGTTAGAAGAGTTGTCAGTGCAGTGGTAAATTGTGTTGTTAAAGGCTCAGCTGTGGTTAATTGCTTCGTGGTAGACTGATTAGTGGTAACTTGAGTTGTCAGTGCCTCAGCTGTAGTTGGTTGCTCAGAGGTCAACTCCGCAGTGGTAAATTGTGTTGTTAAGGGCTCAGCTGTGGTTGATTGCTTCGTGGTAGACTGATTAGCGGTAATTTGAGTTGTCAATGCCTCAGCTGTAGTTGGTTGCTCTGAAGTCGACTCAGCAGTGGTAAATTGTGTTGTTAAAGGCTCCACTGTGGTTGATTGCTCCGTGGTAGACTGATTAGTGGTAACTTGAGTTGTCAGTGCCTCAGCTGTAGTTGGTTGCTCAGCTGTAGTTGGTTGCTCAGCTGTAGTTGGTTGCTCAGAAGTCGACTCTGCAGTAGTAAACTGTGTTGTTAAAGGTTCAACTGTGGTTGATTGCTTCGTAGTAGACTGATTAGTGGTAATTTGAGTTGTCAATGCCTCAGCTGTAGTTGGTTGCTCTGAAGTCGACTCAGCAGTGGTAAACTGTGTTGTTAAAGGCTCCACTGTGGTTGATTGCTCCGTGGTAGACTGATTAGTGGTAACTTGAGTTGTCAGTGCCTCAGCTGTACTTGGTTGCTCAGCTGTAGTTGGTTGCTCAGAAGTCGACTCGGCAGTAGTAAACTGTGTTGTTAAAGGTTCAACTGTGGTTGATTGCTTCGTAGTAGACTGATTAGCGGTAATTTGAGTTGTCAATGCCTCAGCTGTTGTTGGTTGCTCTGAAGTCGACTCAGCAGTGGTAAATTGTGTTGTTAAAGGCTCCACTGTGGTTGATTGCTCCGTGGTAGACTGATTAGTGGTTACTTGAGTTGTCAGTGCCTCAACTGTAGTTGGTTGCTCAGCTGTAGTTGGTTGCTCTGAAGTCGACTCAGCAGTGGTAAATTGTGTTGTTAAAGGCTCAGCTGTGGTTGGTTGCTCCGTGGTAGACTGATTAGTGGTTACTTGAGTTGTCAGTGCCTCAGCTGTAGTTGGTTGTTCAACTGTAGTTGGCTGCTCAGAGGACGACTCGGCAGTGGTAAGTTGTGTTGTTAAAGTCTCAGCTGTGGTTGATTGCTTCATTGTAGACTGATTAGCGGTAACTTGAGTTGTCAGTGCCTGAGCTGTAGTTGGTTGTTCAGAGGTCGACTCGGCAGTAGTAAATTGTGTTGTTAAAGGTTCAACTGTGCTTGATTGCTTTGTAGTAGACTGATTAGTGGTAACTTGAGTTGTCAGTGCCTCAGCTGTAGTTGGTTGCTCAGAGGTCGACTCGGCAGTAGTAAACTGTGTTGTTAAAGGTTCAACTGTGCTTGATTGCTTCGTAGTAGACTGATTAGTTGTTACTTGAGTTGTCAATGCCTCAGCTGTAGTTGGTTGCTCAGCTGTAGTTGGTTGCTCAGAGGTCGACTCGGCAGTGGTAAGCTGTGTTGTTAAAGGCTCAGCTGTGGTTGATTGCTTCGTTGTAGACTGATTAGCGGTAATTTGAGTTGTCAATGCCTCAGCTGTAGTTGGTTGCTCTGAGGTCGACTCTGCAGTTGTAAACTGTGTTGTTAAAGGCTCAGCTGTGGTTGATTGCTCCGTGGTAGACTGATTAGTGGTAACTTGAGTTGTCAGTGCCTCAACTGTAGTTGGTTGCTCAGCTGTAGTTGGTTGCTCAGAAGTCGACTCTGCAGTAGTAAACTGTGTTGTTAAAGGCTCAGCTGTGGTTGATTGCTCCGTGGTAGACTGATTAGTGGTAACTTGAGTTGTCAGTGCCCCAGCTGTAGTTGGTTGCTCAGCTGTAGTTGGTTGCTCAGAGGTCGACTCGGCAGTGGTAAGTTGTGTTGTTAAAGGTTCAACTGTGGTTGATTGCTTCGTAGTAGACTGATTAGTGGTAACTTGAGTGGTCAATGCCTCAGCTGTAGTTGGTTGCTCTGAGGTTGACTCAGCAGTGGTGAATTGTGTTGTTAAAGGCTCAGCTGTGGTTTTGGTTGATTGCTTCGTGGTTGACTGAGTAGTGGTATCTTGAGCTTTCAATGCCTCAGCTGTAGTTGGTTGCTCAGCTGTAATTGGTTGCTCAGAGGTCGACTTGGCAGAGGTAAACTGTGTTGTTAAAGGCTCAGCTGTGGTTAATTGCTCCGGGGTAGACTGATTAGTGGTTACTTGATTTGTCAGTGCCTCAGCTGTGGTTGGTTCCTCAGCTGTAGTTGGTTCCTCAGCCGTACTTTTTTGCTCTGTTAGGACTGAATATGTTGGTGTCGGTTCCCCTCTATTTAATTGAGTAGTAGTTGGTTCAATTGTTGTGGACGCTTTTCTACTCTTAGTTGCCGAGGCTTGCGTTGAAATGATTTCAGAGGGGCTAAAGAGAGTGGTAAAATCTGTTGTAGTTCTTAGAGTTTCATCTTTATTTGCCGTACCTGTTGCTGGTGTAGTGGGCACATCATCAAGTATCCTAAAGATGTCCTCAAACGACTCGCACGTATAACCGTCATCATTGAGAAAGTATCCAGAGACGCAAATGCAATTGTAGGAACCCAATGTGTTGGTACAGTTGTGTTCACATCCCGGGGAAGACTGGCATTCATCAACATCTGTACAAGGATAAAGATATTTAAAGTAACTTCGATGTAGATTTACTGTAAAGTCCTTGACAAATACATGGATATTCTCCCCTTGATTACATCTATAGTCGGAATCTGTATTTTTTTAACTCCCGATTCCTTCCACACTAAAGCACGTCAAAAGATTTTGAAATCAATCAACGTTCTTTTAAATCATCAATGGTTTCCGTGACACTTTGTAACGGCTACGTTTACATCTATCAAAGTCGCAGAGAACTGTTGTATAAAATAGGACATCCCCATAAAAATGTTTTCATGACTTCGTTATGTTTAGAATATTGTAACCAACTAATCTCGTTTATTCGTTCATTTTCTTTTTAAATATTCTGTCAGATTTATTATCTCCGCAGATTCCAGAGCTGGTGATCACAATTTATTGTATTATGATGGACTTTATCACTTTCCAATGTTCCCTTGACATGTAATGATAATCCTTTAATAGTGGTAATGCCATTTGAATAGACCAAACAGGAGTTGTGTTGCATAAATTAATCCACAGATGACGTTTTTGAAAAAAGGCAAATGTATTTTGGGGTCACCCTGTACGTAAGAGTCTGGAGAATATTTGCCAAAAGAAAGACAGGACGATATTTTGTGGCAAAAACGAATTGGGTGGGGCTGTGACACCCCTACATCCTCTCTAGCGACGCCTCTGTTTTGTCTCTTTGCCATAACAGATTGATCACATACAATCCTGCGCTGAATATAACTGCTCCTCAGTCTTTTTGCTAAATTAAACGTAAGTAACCGCCAGTGTTTCCCTATTACCAAAATCTGTAACAGCTGCTCTGGTTATCATTTTAAGACTCATGGTTTATACGCGGAAGATCAGCATGTTTCATATGAAATACTTTGCCAACTTGCCTTCACATTCGCCAGATGTGTCGTTTGTTTGGTAACCAGACGGGCAGAAGCACTGACACAAGTCCACATCTAGATAGTGATTTCCTCCACAAGTTGTAATACATTCTGCAGTCAATAAATAAGATATACGTTTCAGTAAAATATAGCCATTATTTTAGCAAACTGAAGCGAAGTTGCCCTCAATCTCAGTCTAGTCAATAAGAAAATAGAACCATCCTTTTATGTTATCTTGGGGAGTGTGGCCTAGTGGTTAGGGTTCGTGACCCATGATCAGAGGGTCAGTGGTTTGAATGCAGCTGCTGGTCAAATGATGTGTTCTTGGCTATAAAGCCTCTTCACTCTCACTTGCCTCTCTCCACCCAGGAGAATAAATGGGTACCTGTATTAGCTGGGGAGTAACCTGCAATGGACTAGCATCCCATCCAGGGGAGCAGACTCAGTCGTTTCATGCTCCTGAAACAGGACATAAACGACGGCCTGATATGGGCCACATTGGCTCGTGACGGACTTTTCGGGTTTTTTAAATTTATATTATCTCAAACTTTTATGAGATCATCGCTGCGAACAAGCGCAATTCGTTCTGTACACCTCTTGACTTTGTCAACGACTGGAACACCGTTCCTCAACCTCCAGACATATATCAAGATGAAGCTTTAACGTGAACAGTTAAACCCTAACCCTTATACGTAATTCTTAACCCTTAATATGAACAGTCGTATCATTTTTTTTCTCTGAAACTTAAGAAACTTAAAATCGAGTTTTGTTGCATTTGGTCTTATTCACTCACCTTCACAACTATTCCCAACCCAGTTGTCAGTGCAGTTGCATTTACATGTTGTTTCGTTCATAGCTCCATTCCCGTTGCAAAGCGGATGCAACGCGCATCTGCAGTTCGGATTCTGTAGGTCACACTCACTGCTGCAGAGTCCGTCCTCACACCAGCCGGAACCAGACTCACATTGCGTGCAGGTGTCGTTACCCGTACCATTCGTGTATGGACTCAGAGATTCATCGGTGAAGTACCCACTTGAATACAGAAAGAAGAAGTAATCAAAGAATATTATTTTGTGAAAGCTGCGAATTTTATCGTGCGATAACGTGCTTGACCTTCAGCGTGACCTTTACAAAGGTTGGACTATATATAGCTACCGGGCTAATATTGTATGTCCGTCTGACTGATGGTCATTTTTGAAAATGTTTGGTTTTGCAGATACTCCTAAGCCTTGGCCTGATCCCCTACGAGTTTCATTTAATTCCAGTCACTCATCACTACACAATTATCAATTGATCACAACAACATTTTGTTGGCACTGTGACCAAATTCCTTGCCTCATTCAATTTCAGTACTGCGTTGAGTAAACTGTGTAAAATCCTCCATGTTGTGAAAAGGGCTGCAGTTGGGATTGGAACCATTAGCCTGGCTATCAGTTATCATGGAAATGCTCAAGGGCAAATAATTCCAATCCCAAACCACATCAGCCTTTTTCACAACATGCAGGATTTTACACAGCTTACATAACCCAGCACTGGAATTGATTAAGGTATGGAACTTGGTCAGTGTCCAATAATGTTGTTGTGATCAATTAAAAATTGTGCAGTGATGTGTGACTGAAATTAAATGAAACTCATAGGGGTTGAGGCCAAGGCTTAGGAGTATCTGCACAACCAACAATTTTTAAAATTGACCTCATGGTTTTGTAGACATATTAAGAACAGTCGGACCGACACTTTTTTTGGGACATACTTTATTAAGTGGGGAAAATGACAAAATGGCAGTAGCTACGATTGAAATAAGAAACATACAATTTAATATTTGTACTATTATATTAATACTCAAATATTTAAAAAAAAATGAGGTATTTCTTAACTGTTTCTTTCTTATATATACTTACATGTTCTCAAAGTTACACTTCCAGTACAGCTTGTCATACTCCATAACTCCAGTAAACGAATTCCACAGGAATTCACAAAAGTGCGGTGCACATCCAACTGACCTCATTGAAGACCAAGCGAGCTAAAAAAAAAAAGGGAAACCGCAGAGTCATTTTAACAGCTCATCTCAACACAGAATCAACCTATTTGACAAAAGGTTTTTTTGGTTTACTTTTAAAATTTTGTTTTGTCCAATCATCGATGAACTCAGAATCGTGTGAATCGAAAGATGAGAAACCTTGGTCTTAACCATCACGAAGAAATGATGGTAATTCCTCTTTTCTTGAAAATGAGAGCATACTAGGGGCAGTGATTTCACTGGATGCTTGATCCCATTATTTACGTACAACCAAGTAAGATATTTCATGATATTTTGACAGTTTCATTTTTGAATGTTTGCAAATGGTGTCCCTTATTTTTAACGTTATCGGGTGAATTACCTGAAAGTGTTATGTTATACCTATGTCTTGAATACTAAATTTGGCTTAGCACAGTCACGTGTTCAGTGGGATGTCACGTATGTGATATACCACAGGGAGTGTGCTTTGACTTTGTGAGTACGCTACGTACGGTGTGACACGCTTGTATGGTTGGTACCGACGCTATTTTCACCACATTTTAACACATGAGTGGAAGCAGCGAACTAGCAGACTATCAGCTGTTTCGAGCACGCGACATGTAAGTGAGTTGACGTTCGATTATCATGATTATTGTGCTTACTGCTATTTGTGGTCGTGATTTTTACATCAAAATCCTAAGAATCCAAGACATAGGTATAACTAGGGGCGCATAGATTGCCTTGGGTGCTATGTGCCCCTCTGTTGTTCAAAACGTCATATCCAACATCACACCAGTTAACAATTGTTAAATATAGACCTACCAGTTTGTACATCTGACAAATGATGGGGAGATCTGGTCTCTGGCAGGACTTGTCGTGGTAGTCGTAGTACTCGCCAAAAGTGTACCATTCCTCTAAGGTCTCGTTCAGCTGCGCATCTGCCTCCGAGTAGCTCGTTAGTTGGATCCAACTCTCGCTGTTAGGCAGTGAGATCTCGTAGATGCAGGATTCCAGGACAGTGGAAGCTTGGTCGGATAGCTCAGAACTCCACAACTGATGGTACACCATAACAATAATAATTTATGTGACTAAAAGGTCATCGATTCGTGGAGTTAAAGATCGTAGGATCATTTGATTTTTTGTAACTTTTTGACTCCCCCCAAAAAAATTAAGGTGTGAGACGTGATGGGTATTTTTTCTATATTCCTGCTCTACTACAGTAGTTGTACCCATGTATCCCAATTCAGCTTCCAAATCAATTTCAATCTCAAGATATGGGTCCTTAAAGTCAGCGATTTATTCTATGGGCCAGTCAGTTTCTCCTTTTTTTGGCCAATTTCATTGAACTTTGTGCTACCGTAACACCTCAACGGAAAGCAATGTGAATTTTGCTTTTGACCTTATCTATAGAACAACTAACAGAATCTTTCCACCAAGTTTGAACAAAATCTGTGACATATGGTGCCCTGGCCCGTTGAATTGGCACGGAATGATCCGTTTTGGTTTGTTTTGAAAGATCACAAGGGCTTTAAAACATTACTCGGATACCATTGGAACATGAACAGTACATCAATTAAGTAAAGGGTACGGATGTGTTCATATCGAAAAAAACCACTTTGTCGCTTCAAAGGTTGTTTTTACAAATAAAAACATTTTTGTTTCAAAAGTCGTCTACTACTTCCCATCTCCATTTCTTAGGGATATTGGGTTGCCCCATAGCTTACTTTCCCCATTAAATACAGTTAAATCGGCAATAGAAAGGGTTCAGCAACTCAGGCCAAAGTAAAACCTTTTTTAAGCCGAAAATGGAATAATTATTATGAAACCGATAATGGAGTAAACTGTTAAGAAATAAATTTTGCAATAGACCTTATGCGTAGCGGCCATATTGGAGGGCATCTTTAGTTATTGTAATAAAGTAACAATGAATGCAGAAAAGGGTCATCCCACGCATATCGCAGCAAAACAAAGGAAGACCTTTTACGCATGTAATTAAAAAGGATCACTGTCGGCCATTTTCTGTTTGATTCAATAACAACTGTACAAAAAGTCATGTACATGTATCATTTTAAACGACCTGAAACCACTAGTTTCATTTTTTAGTTTGTTGGTATTTCACCTTTTTGAAACAATATACATGTGTGGTATCCAGACGCCACTTCTTTGATTGTGCACCAAGTCTGTGCACCAAGTCTGTACAGAATCGAGTGCCTTTTCAGTATTTAAAGTATTTCCTAACAAAATTGGAAATGTTGCATGTCTTTTCAACATTTTGCAATGACTAATCTTCATTGAGATATTTTATGTGATGAAAATAAGTTGCGTCATGATGCAACATTCTTTCCCAATTTTTACACAATCCACAAGACTGGACTGAAACTTTCGTTGGCAACTCACCACTTTGTTCATGTCCGTATTGGGCGGATCCACCTGCCTCCTTCCCGTGTTTAACACATCCAGTAGCGTGGTCTGATCAGACTCATCCAGCGTTACGGGTCCATACGGTATCTCGGGCGATTCAGTGGGCTGTTCGTCATCCAGAGTGGAGAAACGAACATTGGATACATTTATTGCCAGAAGCACGGTACTACCAATGACTACGAGCAGAATTAATGCAAAAGTCTTGAGAAGTGAGACAGACATTTTGCCCTTTTTGTCATCTAACTTGCCTCGGCATCCAAAGTCACGTTACGTGCATTTTCGAACGATTGCAATACATGGAAGACCGAATGCGTGAGACTGATGTACGCTTGAGCAATACATTGTGCTAACTACAAGGGCAGGAATGTGGGTCTGGATAATCCAGAGTGTCTTGAAGGTTTGCCAGGATCTGACACAAATATTTCCCATTACTTCTTTTGTTTGCCTTGCCTTGCAAGGCACTGTACCCAGTCTCCAACACTATGGCCGTTTTATTGTCTTGTTCCAACATTAGGAAAGATGTTCAATGACCACGACTCTGTTATTTATTTGTTTATTTATTTATTACATTTCTTTATCACGGGTATGCTAAAAAACACAAATTAAAACTGGTTTTCATTAAGGCCCTGCATACATTTAAAATGATTACATACAAATACAAATACACTCAAATACAAATACAATACAATCAAAGTACCACAATACAACAAAATATATTTAAGATAGTATAACAATTATTCAACATCGCTAAACAGGCGTAAAGCCTGAGGTAAAGTGAACACAGAGAATGTGTATACATTTGTGCAATCTATTAATAAGGCAAGGCTGCCGGAAAACAAATGATACATATACTATCGGCGAATAAAATGGTATAGAATTAGTATAATTTAATATATGACTTTCTTATGAGTGAATCTGATGTTGATTATGAAATAACTGCAAGTCTTTGTTTCATGTCATGCATTACAAAGTTCTATTAGCTGTATATACAAGGTAGGCCTATCATTCAAATAATAGTTTGCACTTGGTTTGAAGATGAGACATGATCAATTTTTCCCCACAATCTTAACCCCGAAATCTTGTTTTGAGGGAAATTTAAACTGATCCGATTCACTTCGGGTAAAGGAATCAACGGTATTTTTTTCATTATCCTGATAGTTCTTCAACAAATCATGAATGTTTTTTGCAGCAGGGCCGTTTCCAACCGTTTAAAGCCGATGACATTCATTTTACTTGGGAGGCAACAATCAAATAATATTGTGCCATCAAAGCTGATCACGTACTGTCAATCCAGTCCATCCCTAATTACCGGGAGTTCAACCCCACCCTACGGTCTACGGAGGTCCAGGCCCCGCCCCCAGCCAGCGTACAAGCGCTGCCGCTACTTTTACAATGAATGCACTTAGAGGTCTACTCATGCGTATTCCTGTTGAACAAAAGCACACACCTCAAAGATGGCTGAAATGCAAACGGTCTATTCTGAATGAACAGGACCAGAACTCCAAACGTACGTATTAACAGAACAAATTAACAGTGTCCGAAGTCTCTTTATGATGGATTACTAATACGATTTTGGCTTTCAGTTTCACCTGAAAGGGTTAGGCCTTTATGTTGCAACATTTTGTAAACTTGTCATAGTTTTCTTTCTTTTGTTTGCGGTTTTTATTTCTTTGGGTACGTAAGGTTTTTATTATCATTTTAGTTGACCAATTACGGAAACTATACCCTTTAAAATAGAACAAATATTAACTTGAAGATAACTGCAAAAACCCAGGACGCATTTAAGAATCTGTGACCCCAATTTTTGCTAATGAATTGAAGGGAATAAAGGGAATTCAGGGAATAAATATGTGCATCGTGCTTGGCCAGTTTTAAACAAGTCGGTTTATAGGACCGGCTTGGAGAATGGATGCTGATAATGGCCCGAGCCAAATTCCATTCATAAATTCCTTTTCGGTAAAAAAAGTCAAATCCAGTAAAAAATAACTAATTTGCAACGATTTTGTTCGATACTTCATGTTTTTCGAAACACCACATTAGCCATGTTATGGTATGTGCCTGTCGCAAGTAGTCGTAAACAACTCTTTCTTTGGCTTGCGCGTGGCGGTGCCGGTGTAGTGTGAATTTTGGACTCTCGAAATACGGGCTCTTTAGAAGTATTGGGCATGCCTAAAGTGAAGATTCTAAACGTTCAACTTCTACAAAGCTAAACATTTTAGAGACCGTACAGTCTTCATTTGGAGTCAAAATTTCATGTGATACCGGAAAAGCCTTTAAGACCAACCAGCCAGTGTTTTACCATCAGGTGACAGGCTTTCGACCAATATGAATGGGTAAACTGTCTTACGTATTTTTGAATTGAAGATAAAAACCACATTCATATGTCTTTTTATTGGTGTTGAATGAAAATTGTTTATATGCTATTTTCATTGCGACTTAAAAATATGTGTTTTCGTTTTCGTCTGTGACGGTAGCACCAACAAGCTCATCCAACTGGTAGAATGCCGATGGATTTTCTATGCCTCCTATTTCATCATCCTCTTCTCTACAAACTAATCTGTGCCTTATCGAGTTATTTTCTTCCATCAGCTCAAGAGGTTGCTCATGGTCCTCGTTGCTAGTTCTTGCATCATCCTCGTCTGATGTTGAGACTGCACTCAGCCCCAACATGAACAGGGGATTAGTTATTCCTGCGTCATCATTGTACAAACCATCCAAATTGGAAGCATGCTCAATCGTGACTGAAGCTTCAGCCTGTTCCTTGTTATCTGCGGTGGTCTTTCTGGGCAACTTAACGTAGAAGGCCGTGGGAAGATACACGCGGCTTTTTGAGCGCTTTGCTTTCTGAAGGAAATAAACTACCACACAGAGGAGTGACGCAATCAGAAGAATGCCCCCAGCTACGAAGAAAGCAATGTCGTACTGCTCGGTGTTGTCGTATGCTACGCCTACAACGGAGAAATGGTAGGAAATTAAAAAATCCAGGCTGTGAAAGGAAAACCAACTCAAGTTTCCCTTGCATGCCTTTTGGGCGCTAATCATAACATACAGTATTGCTGTACCTCATAAAGGGTGACCCCAAAAATGCAACACTGAAACATCCTTTTTTTCAAAAACGTGATCTGTGAATTTTTATGTTTTGGATATAAGATTAAAGCTGAGAGTTTTTTTCTTTCAAATACTGAAAAAGAATGCGTGCGAACATCAGCCTGGCGGCATGATAAAATGGCAGTGAACGCATAGCAACGTTTTGTTGAGATAACTGATGCGTAACTCGGACATAAGTCGGACTTAAGATCCGTGCTTCCAACAAAAACGTAATGAAAGGATGTACCTTTTTTATTTGAGAATGACATTGTTATTTGGATCTCCGATTTGACGAATAAATTTAGTTAATGTCAGTTTGCTAGATGCACTCGGACCCGGAATCCGAGTTCCATTTCACCTGACACTCCGATCCAATTGGGCAAAAAAAGCATTTTTCGTTTAAACAAATTGCCCTGGTCATAATGGCCTGGGACGGTGACTCAGAGAGGTGTTTTGACCCAGATAAGACAGTGTCAGGTCAAATTTGACCCGAATGTGGGGTGGAATCTGACCTGGGACTTGTAAGAGTGTAACATTACCTGACACGAGGATGCCCAAGACATTTCCAACACAATTGAAGAGCAGCATAATTCCCAAGGCTTCTGCAGCATCCGATTGATGTACCTGAGCACGTACGATGACCATCACCAGAGACGAGGACATTCCCGCCACGGCTCCCAAGAGCAAGGCCAGGATCACCAGCGGAATGAAGTCAACAAAAGCGGGCATCAAGGAGACCGTTACACAGAAGCCAAACAGACCCAAGGCGTAGGCCATTTCGCCGGTGATGTACCTCTTATCGATGAACCAACCGTGGCCAATGCGGCCCACGAGGCTTCCAATTCCAAACATTGACAGCAAGAAGGCGGAGATGTCGAGATCGATCCCCACCGATTCAGCTTGAGGAACGATGTAGACGATGCCGAGCCTGCCAAAGCCGTGCAGGAAAGCTACAACCATCGTTAAGACGAAGGACGTGTTGCGCACCAATCGACCAAGTCCGTACGTGTGGAGCAGGAAGTGTTTGAGGCGAGAGACACAACTCAGGAAGTGTACTGTTGATGACTCTGGCGGGTCAAAGAAGGCTGATGCCACATGCCCTGGACAGTTTTTAACTAGGATCATGGTGACATCGTTAACTTCAATCTCTTCGATTTCGTCTTCATCCGGAACAGAGATGTCTCTGTGCCTCTCAGCACTATCACTGTCTCTGATACCACGGCCGTTCTCTGTGTCATTTTCCAATGTAGAGACAATTTCATTCAATTGGGCCGGTCCGTTCTGCACTACGGCATTGCGTCGTTTTTTCTTTCTTGACTTCCTGACCGTGGGTCGCATGACCGCCCCTGCTGCAAGAAGATGCAGATTTATTGCTGCTGTAACCAAGACTGAACCCTCCCAGCCGTAAATGTCGATCAGGTAAGAGACCAACGGCGGGAAGACAAGTTGACCTGCACTGAAACCCGCTGAGGCTAGACCAACAGCAAAGGCAAACCGATTCTTGAAGTACATCCCCAATGCGTGGACTGGTGCTACAAACGACATACTGCTACCCATGGCTAAAACGGGAAGCGAAAATACATGATCACAGGTCAAAGGGATGATTATTTTATTTGATATGTACTTTCTTTCCCATTTGTGGTATGTTGACCACAAATCTCATCTGCCTTATCTTTCCTCCATAGTCTGTCATTGTGCTTGAAATGGTATTTTTTGAACCGATTTTTTGAACCGCTAACTGTACTGCGAAGACAACACTTGGTTCCACACCAGGGATACTGATTGATAATCCAAACAGGTGTGCATTTTACAATGCAGCATTTTCGCTTCCAACAAGATCATTCTGTGGATCTTGGCAAACACCCTTTTTGTTTTATTATGTTACCTCAGTGTTGTAAAAAATAAACATTCAGTTAGCCAATATCATAAATCATAGGTAGGGCTGCACATGATGCCCATCCCTGGGCGTTATACGTTTAATAAGTACATTTCTGGATAATACTTGTAAGTCTGAGATCCGTATACAGGACACAGACACATACCGTCGCCAGTCGGTCAACTGAAGAAAAACAAACATCTTACCTAATACGAATCCATTGCTGAATATAAGGAATACTATTGATGTCGCTTGAGATGACATCACCGCGCCAGCCACGAATAAAACTCCGCCCGCCATCGTAACAACACGTGGACCAAACTTAGTGCAGAGCGCACCTGAAAAGGGACCTAGAAGAACGAAATGTTTCTTTAAAATAATAAGTAATTCTGTCGTATGTAGGTTATTATTGGTTGTTTGCTGATGAATTACCCACTGTCCATGATTGGAAACTTTTATCCACTGAAATCGGTGAGCATGGATACGAACAACTTTTCTGTATGCTATAAATTGAAATATTATTTTGCAGGCTCACATTGGGTCCATTGGGAACCACTGAGCAATCCGCAACAAATCGTTCTCACCCATAATTCCTGCCATCAGAGTCGTCATGGATATAACCAAGCCTGCAGTGACAGCACTGGCGTCGAAATAGTCCATCCAGATGGTCAAGTAAACACTCAGCGACGAAGTGTATCCGATGGACGTGAAGTATGCCAGAAACGCGCCGAAGTCGACGACCCATGCCCAGCCGGAATCCGTGCGGGGTGTCCGAGTCCCGGTCCCAGTCGCCTTGCCCATTTTCCTGCCGTTCCTTTCGCTACTTAACTGATGGTTCAGCCCAAGTCATTTTCAGCTCAAGAATCGTTTCTAACTTCGTGAGTTATTCATCATATTGCGGGATTTTATTTCTATACAGAGTATTTATTGGTTTTATGTACAGAGTGAATATGCACTTTTATATCTCTATTTATAAAACAGAGCGCATGCGCAGTGTAGCGCCCAAATACAAATACGCATTAAAGCAGCTGTCACAGTATAGAGTAGTGTCACAACTTTACTTGAAATTGTAAAATGTATTGCAAGCAGCTTATCTTGAACGTTTTGAATATTCAAATGCCCTAATCGGCCGACTGAAAGAACTATCATACCAATGTAGGACAGAGCAATATTTTGTTTTCGCATAAAAAGATATTGAAGAGTTGAGTATTCCTTACAAAGCAATTAATAATCTGAAACTTTTTTAGTCAAGTAAAACGCATTTTATTCTTCAAAAGTTTTCTTCAAGTATTAGGCTATAATGTTCCTGTAAACTGTACTAGCAGCACGCTGCACAGGATCGTTTACAGGCTCAGCGTCGTCTGGCATGTTAATAAACTAAATTTTGATAACGCCATACCAATCTTTGGACTTGTGCATAGAAACACAATTCCTGTGTATAACTGTTTGATTGGTTCGTCTGGCTATGCCGCGATGACCTTCAAATATTGGACCCTACAATTGTATTGTAACCAAATCATGCGATTTGATGAAGTTTCACGAAGTCTATCTAGAGCATTGCATAACTGATACAAAAAACCTGTGCGCTTCAATAACTCTTGATTTGATTGCATCAAGTGGAAAAGAAAATGGTAGACAGTCAACATAGGATGTCCGATATGTACAATCCTTAATGCCTACACGGGGTGTTTCCTAAAACGGTAACCAAAACACAAAGGGATGATGTGAACAAACTATAAACACAATGACCAATATTTTGGTTTTATTATAATCTAAGACCGTAAGCTTTCCACTGATATCTTGAATGCATTCCTCCGGTCAAGCATCAATGGGTTCCACTGTTTTAATGGAACGCAAAAACCTTCTTTGGAAAACCTTCTTGGGACATTTTGGGATAAAACAACCAACCAGTCATGTGACACAACCAGTCGTGTGATAAAGCTTTAAGAGGTATTCGAGAAAACACTAACAAAACAGGATCTTCCTATATTGGTGATGTTGCACGGCAGTGCGAGTTGTATTTCAAACATCAAGGAAATGGCACATGCATCTTCCAACATCATTGGCGGCACAAGACGGTGCCCCAGCCCACAGACTTATTGCTGTAGGTAATGGTCTTCAGGAACTTTAGGAGAGAGAGAGTATCACACTGAATCGTGCTGTGACCTCCCAGGTCCCAGGGATTTGGCTCCTTGAGACTTTTTTTGTGGGGGGGGGGGGATATGTAAAGAACAAGCTTTCCAGAACTTCTCCTCCCAACTTTCAGAATTTGCAAACAAAACAAAAATAATTAAAAATAGTGAGTGACACTATTGATTATAACTGCAGTAAGCAATATTTTGGTCCGTTGCTAAACTTTTGGTCTCACATTTAAAAATACAAACCATATATCTTTTATTTATATTATGTGATAAACTGCACATTCTGTAAATGAAATTTTGACATAAAATCGCCGTCTCCTCGACTGTGATTTCAACATCACCAGGCTATGTTGCTAGACATGGGAGTCCATAAGAGTCTAAATGTCATGTGACACCGAAAAAGTGCTTAAAACCCGCCAGCCGGTGTTTTGTCAACACGTGACAGGCTCTCGACCGATAGGAATATGCAGGCAACTGTCTTAGGTAGTTGTGAATGAAAGATAAAAAAAAACACACATTAACATGTCATTTTATTGGTTTTGAATGAAAATTGTTCATAATAATGCTATTTACATCGCGACTTAAAAATATGTGTTCTCGTCTGTTTCTGTGGCACCAACAAGCTCATCCAACTGGTCGACTGCCAATGGATTTTCTATACCTCCCATTTCATCATCAACTTTCTGACCTAATCTGTGCCTTATCGAGTTATTCTCTTCCATTGGCTCAAGAGGTTGCTCATGGTCCTCGTTGCTAGTTCTTGCAACATCCTCGTCTGATGTTGAGACTCCACTCAGCCCCAACATGAACAGAGGATTACTTATTCCTGCGTCATCATTGTACAAACCATCCAAATTGGAAGCATGCTCAATCGTGACTGAAGCTTCAGCCTGTTCCTCGTTATCTGCGGTGGTCTTCATGGGCAACTTAACGTAGAATGCCGTGGGAAGATACACGCGGCTTTTTGAGCGCTTTGCTTTCTGCAGGAAATGAACGACCACACAGAGGAGTGACGCAATCAGAAGAATGCCCCCAGCTACGAAGAAAGCAATGTCGTACTGCTCGGTGTTGTCGTATGCTACGCCTACAACAGAGAAATGATAGGAAATAAAAAAAAAAAAGGCTGTGAAAAGAAAACCATTTTATTTTTAACGGAATTTTTGGAGAACGACGTCGCCTGTACGGGCACTAAATATGTACATGTACATGTACAATAGTATTGCTTTACCACATATGAATAAGAGGCGTTAGATGTTAATTTAGCAAGCACGCAGTGGTTTTACGAGGATTTACTCCCAGGGTAAATACGCATGCACAGTTGAATAGCGCATGAGCGCGCTGGTAGTGTGCACGCGCAAACAACAACCTGGCGGCACTATGGCGGCACACGCATAGCAACGTTGGGCTGAGATAACTGATGCGTAACTCGACGAAATGTTGGTGTTACTGTTACACATATATAGAAAAGTATATGTCAGAGCTAATAAAGAGAATCTGTGTAGCACTGGTGAAGTAATTTAATGGTGTATACAGACAGTCTCAAAGCAGTGCTTTCCAAAAAAATTAGTTTCCAAATTTACCAAATTGATTGTGTAAATAGTGTTAGTAAGCACTACATGTACTTTGGAATTGTCTATGTTTTTTCCAGGTGGATAGTAGCTTTCACTTAAATCAGACTTCAGATCCGCGCTTCCAACATCAATTTAATTAAAGGATATCCTTTTTTTTATGTGAGGATGACATTGTAATTTGGATATTCGATTTGACGTATTGAGTTCATGTCGATTTGCTAGATGCACTGATAATAAGCACCAATGGTCAGCTTCCACCCAGAATCCGAGTCACATTTCACCTGACACTCAGATCATTCGGACCAAATAGCACTTTTGCGTTAAAAAAAACCCATATGCACTGGTCATAACACCCTGGAACAGTGACCCAGAGAGGTGTTTTGACCCAGATAAGTGTCAGGTCAAACCTGACCCGAATGTGGGGTAGAATCTGATCCGGGACTCATAAGAATGTGTCATTACCTGACACGAGGATACCCAGGACATTTCCAACGGAACTGAAGAGCAGCATAATTCCCAAGGCTTCTGCGGCATCTGATAGATGTACCTGGGCACGTACGATGACCATCACCAGAGACGACGCTGTTCCCGCCACGGCTCCCAACAGCAAGGCCAGGATCGCCAGCGGAATGAAGTCAACAAAAGCGGGCATCAAGGAGACCGTTACACAGAAGACAAACAGACCCAAGGCGTAGGCCATTTCGCCGGTGATGTACCTCTTATCGATGAACCAACCGTGGCCAATGCGGCCAACGAAACTTCCAATGCCAAAAATTGACAGCAAGAAGGCGGAGATGTCGAGATCGATCCCCACCGATTCAGCTCGAGGAACGATGTAGACGATGCCGAGCCTGCCAAAGCCGTGAAGGAAAGCTACAACCATCGTTAAGACGAAGGATGTGTTGCGGACCAATCGACCAAGTCCGTACGTGTGGAGCAGGAAGTGTTTGATCCGAGAGATACAACTCAGTACTGTTGATGACTCGGGCGGGTCAGAGAAGGCTGATGCCACATGACCTGGACAGTTTTTAACTAGGATCATGGTAACATCGTTAACTTCAATCTCTTCGATTTCGTCTTCATCCGGGACAGAGATGTCTCTGTGCCGCTCAGCAATATCACTGTCTCTGATACCACGGCCGTTCTCTGTCTCATTTTCCAATGTGGAGACACTTCCATTCAATTGGGCCGGTCCGTTCTGCACTTCGACATGGCGTCGTTTTTTCTTTCTTGACTTCCTGACCGTGGGTCGCATGACCGCCCCTGCTGCAAGAATATGCAGATTTATTGCTGCTGTAACCAAGAGTGAACCCTCCCAGCCGTAAATGTCGATCAGGTAGGAGACCAACGGCGGGAAGACAAGTTGACCTGCACTGAAACCCGCTGAGGCTAGACCAACAGCAAAGGCAAACCGCTTCTCGAAGTACAATCCCAATGCGTGGACTGGTGCTACAAACGACATACTGCTACCCATGGCTAAAACGGGAAGAGAAAATGCAATGATCACAGGTCAAAGGGATGATAAAGTTCGCCAAATACTTTATTTGCTATGTACTTTCTTGCCCATTTGTGGTATGTTGACCACAGATCTCATCTGCCTTATTTTTCCTCCATAGTCTGTCATTGTGCTTTAAATGGTATTTTTTGAACCGATTTTTTTGAACCGCTAACTGTACTGCAAAGACAACACTTGGTTCCACACCAGGGATACTGAATCATAATCCAAACAGGTGTGCATTTTACAATGCAGCATTTTCGCTTCCAACAAGATCATTCTGTAGACTCTTGGCAAATACCCTTTTTTTATTATGTTACCTCAGTGTTGTGAAAAACATTCAGTTGGCCAATGTCATAAATCATATACTGTATAAGGCTGTACATGATGCCCATCCCTGGGCCTTATACGTTAAATAAGTACGTTTCTGGATACTTGTAAGTCTGAGATCCGTATACGGGACACAGACACATACCGTCGACAGTCGGTCAACTGAAGAAAAATAAACATCTTACCTAATACGAATCCATTGCTGAAGATAAGGAATACTATTGATGTCGCTTGAGATGACATCACCGCGCCAGCCACGAATAAAACTCCGCCCACCATCGTAACAACACGTGGACCAAACTTAGTGCAGAGTGCACCTGAAAAGGGACCTAGAAGAATGAAATGTTTCTTTAAAATTATAATTAATTCTGTCGTATAAAGGTTACTACTGGTTGCTTGCTGATGAATTACCCACTGTCCATGATTGGACACTTTTATCCACTGAAATCGGCGAGCATGGATACGAACAACTTTTCTTTATGCTATAAATTGAAATATTATTTTGCAGGCTCACATTGGGTCCATTGGGAACCACTGAGCAATCCGCAACAAATCGTTCTCACCCATAATTCCTGTCATCAGAGTCGTCATGGATATAACCAAGCCTGCAGTGACAGCACTGGCGTCGAAATAGTCCATCCAGATGGTCAAGTAAACACTCAGCGACGAAGTGTATCCGGTGGTCGTGAAGTATGCCAGAAACGCGCCGAAGTCGACGACCCAGGCCCAGCCGGAATCCGTGCGGGGAGTCCGAGTCCCGGTCCCGGTCGCCTTGCCCATTTCCTGCCGTTCCTTTCGCTACTTAACTGATAGTTCAGTCCACGTCATTTCCAGCTCAAGAATAGTTTCTAACTTTGTGAGTTATTCATCATATTGCGGCTTTTATTTCAATACAGAGTATTTATCGGTTTTATGCACAGAGTGAATATGCACTTTTATATCTCTATTTATAAAACAGAACGCATGCGCAGTGTGGCGCCCAAATACAAATACGCATTAAGGCAGCTGTCACAGTATAGAGTAGTGTCACAACTTAACTTGAAATTTTATTGCAAGCAGCTAACCTCGAACGTTTTGCGTAATCAAATGCCCTTATTGACCAACTGAAAGATAATCATACAATGAAGGACAGAGAAATATATTTTCGTTTGCACATAAGATATTGAAGAGTTGAGTATTCCTATTAAAGCAATTAATAATCTGAAACGTTTGTAGCCAAGTAAAACGCATTTTATTCTCCAAAAGTTTTCTTTAATTATAAGGCTATTTGTTCTTGTAAACTATACTAGCAGCACGCTGCACATGATCGTTCACAGGCTCAACGTCATTGACACTTCAGTGTACATCTGCCATGTTAATAACTAATTTGTGATAACACCATATCAATCTTTGGAGTTGCGCAATAAAACACAATACCTGTGTATAACTGTTTGTTTGGTTCGTGTGGCTATGCCGCGATGACCTTCACACATTGGACTTTACAATTGTATCGTAACCAAATCATGCGACTTGAAGTTGCACGGTCTATCTAGAGCATTTCATAACTGATACCAAAAAAACCTGTGTGCTTCAATAACTCTTGATTTGATTGCATTAAGTGGAAAAGAAAATGGTGCACAGTCAACATAAGGATGTCGGTTATGCAAAATCCTTAATGCCTACACAGGGTGTTTCCTTAAACGGTAACCAAAACATAAAGGGATGATATGAACAGACTATAAACACAATGACCAATATTTTGGTTTTATTATAATCTAAGACCGTAAGCTTTCCACTGATATCTTGGATGCATTCCTCCGGCCATGCATCAATGGGTTCCACTGTTTTAATAATGGATGCAAAAACCTTCTTGGGACATTTTGGGATAAAACAGTGTGAATACAACCAGGCATGTGACACGTAGAGCTTCAAGGGATATTCGAGAAAACATTAACAAAACAGGGTCTTCCTATATTGGTGATCTTGCGTTGCAATGCGTGTAATGACATGTAGAGCTTCAAGGGATATTCGAGAAAACATTAACAAAACAGGGTCTTCCTATATTGGTGATCTTGCGTTGCAATGCGAGTTGTATTTTGAACATCAAGGAAATGGCACATGCATCTTCCAACATCATTTGCGGCACAAGACGGTGCCCCAGCTGCTGTGACCTTCCAGGTCATTGGCTTGACCTTCCAGGGATTTGGCTTCTTCAGACTTTTTTGTGGGGGGGGGGTATGTAAAGAACAAGCTTTTCAGAACTCCATCTCCAAACTCTCAGAATTTGCAAACAAAACAATTAAAAATAGTGAGTAAAACTATTGATTATAACTGAAGTAAGCAATATTTTGGTCCGTAGCTGAACTTTTTAACTCAAATTTAAAGTTACAACCATGAATCTTTTATTGAAATAATGTGAAAAGTTTCATATTCTATCAATGAAATTTCGACATAAAATCACCGTCTCCTCGACTGTGATTTCGACACCGCCAGGCTTTGTTGCTGGACATGGGAGTCCATAGGAGTCCAAATGTCATGTGACACCGAAAAAGTGCTTTTAAAACCCGCCAGTCGGTGTTTTGTCAACACGTGACGGGCTCTCGACCGATAGGAATATGCAGAAAAACTGTCTGAGGTAGTTGTGGATGGATTAACATGTCATTTTATTGGTATTGAATGAAAATTGTTCATAATAATGCTATTTAAATTGCGACTTAAAAATGTGTGTTCTCGTCTGTTTCTGTGGCAGTGGCACCAACAAGCTCATCCAACTGGTCGACTGCCAATGGATTTTCTATACCTCCCATTTCATCATCAACTTTCTGACCTAATCTGTGCCTTATCGAGTTATTCTCTTCCATTGGCTGAACAGGTTGCTGATGGTCCTCGTTACTAGTTCTTGCAACATCCTCGTCTGATGTTGAGACTCCACTCAGCCCCAACATGAACAGTGGATTAGTTATTCCTGCGTCATCAATGTTTAAACCATCCCAATTGGAATCATGCTCAATCGTGACTGAAGCTTCTGCCTGTTCCTGGTTATCTGCGGTGGTCTTCCTGGGCCACTTAACGTAGAAGGCCGTGGGAAGATACACGCGGCTTCTTGAGCGCTTTTCTTTCTGCAGGAAATGAACGACCACACAGAGGAGTGACCCAATCAAAAGAATGCCCCCAGCTACGAAGAAAGCAATGTCGTAACTCTCGGTGCTGTCGTATGCTACGCCTACAACGGGGGTAATGGTAGGAAATGTAAAAGAAAGAAAAACAGGTCAATAAATGGAACACCACCTTACGTTTTAACACAATTTTCGGAACGATGGTCTTTATAACAGCAAACTAGGAACAAGGCTTCGCTTGCTAGTATGTCACGGTGTATGCATTAATTGGTTTTCATGCATCGCTCACTATGACCACTCATTTCGGCGGTACAACCAAGCAGCAGCGCTTTTGACGTCATAAAAATACCGTATGTGATGCACGAGAAAGACTGCAGGTGTTTAATTACATTAACTACATCTGAAAGTAAAAGGAATCGATTGAAATTCGTTATTTACTGCGGTCCTAAATCTGGTCCTTTCTCTTTAATGTGCAATGGATTATTAATCAGTGTTTTCAGCCCAACGTATCTAAGACAAACAAGAGTTTCTGTGTAGATCCGTGTTTCTGACATAAATTTCCAGGTATTAAGAGGATGACACTTATGATTTGGATATCACACTTGATTAGGTTAATATCATTATGCTGGATGACATTACCTGCCACGAAGATCCCCAAGACATTTCCAATAGCCGCAAAGAGAAGCATAATTCCCAATGCTCCTGAGGCATCTGATTGGTGTACCTGGGCCCGTACGATGACCATCACCAGAGACGACGACGTTCCTGCTGCGGATCCCATCAGTAGGGCCAGGATCGCCAGCGGAATAAAGACAACAAAGGCGGGCATCAAGGAGACCGTCACACAGAAGATAAACAGACCCAAGGCGTAGGCCATTTCGCCCGTGATGTACCTCTTATCGATGAACCAACCGTGGCCAATGCGGCCCACAAAACTTCCGATACCAAATATCGACAGCAAGAAAGCTGAGCTGTCGAGATCGATCCCCACCGATTTGGCTCGAGGGACGATGTAGACGACCCCCAGCCTGGAAAAGCCGTGCAGGAAAGCTGCAACTAGCGTTATGAGGTAGGATGTGTTGCGGACCAATCGACGAAGTCCGTACGTGTGGAGCAGAAAGTATTTGATCCGAGAGATATAACCTAGGAAGGGTACTGTTGATGACTTGGGCGGGTCAGTGAAGGCTATTGGGTTAGCTCCATCTTCCGAGGTCGAAACCACAACATGTCCCGTCCCTGTTGCCACAGTGCCTGGACGGTTTTTAACTAGGATCATGGTGTCATAGTTTTCTTCAATATCCTCGATTTCATCTTCATCCGAGAGAGTGATGTCTCTGTACCCGGTATCGGCACCATCACTGCCTCTAACATCACGGCTGTTTTCTTTTTCATGTTCCATTCCGGAGACACTTCCATTCAAGTGAGCCGGTCCATTGCGTTGTTTTCTCTTTCTTCTCTTTCTTACCGTGGGTCGGAAGAGCGCCCCTGCTGCCAAAGTGTGCAGGGTTATCGCTGCGGTAATCAAGAACGAACCCTGCCAGCCGTAAATGTCGATGAAGACAGTGACCAAAGGTGGCATAGCAAGCTGACCTAAACTGATACCTGCCGAGGCTAAACCAACAGCAAAGGCAAACCGCTTCTTGAAGTACATTCCCAACGCGTTGATTGCTGCTACATACACCATACTCTGACCCGTGGCTAAAAAGGGAAGAGAGAAACCAATGTTCATGCGTCAGAGGAAAGACTCAAGTTCGCCAAATATTTCATATTTCTTGACCACTTGCTGTATGTTGACATTAGAGTATCTTTTCTGCATTTGGTTTGTACATGTACTGGTTTCTGAATTTCCTCATACTTAACAATGTCAGATCCATGAAGATTTGACGTGATGTGTCATTTTTAGAGCTTCATATATAACACTTGCGTTAACTGCCTTATAATGAAAAAAAAAGGATCGGTTCAAGACTGAATCGTTTTAAACGCAACAAGTGTGCATACGCAGTCTTTAATAAATAATCCGGAAGTAGAAACAATTTTAAATCTCAGCAACCACCGTATCTAAATCTCTGTTAAAGGTAATTACACACAAATGAGAAAAACCTAGCTCAGACTGATGGGATGGGGTACAGTACAACCTGTATAGAAAGCAGCCACTGCGCGCAGTACACTGACTTCCTGAATGTGCCAAAGCTGTTCGTATGTAATTTGTGATGGCCTCCCAAACTTATCCCCGCCCCTAATAAATTTGGATCATTCGAAATAGAGTAATTTTGTTGCTTCAGACGAGAAACTACTGTTCCCACGTACGTTTCAGTGTTGTGAGAGAAAAACACGCTGCACAACATTGCATAATACATGTATTCCCATCCGTATCAGGACTAATGATTTTTCATTACTGGTTTAATTGGATGGAGCATGTAGATATGGACATTTCGATGGTTTTCTGAAAAGTTCAGGAAATAAACATTATGGAGGAAATTTGCTTGACGGATGCGAGACACAGTCACACACTGCTTCCGGAAGCTGACCTATAAATATCTTACCTCCCACGAACCCCACGGCGACAATAAGGAATTCTATTGATGGAGCTTGAGATGCCATCACAAACCCCGCCACGTATATAACACCGCCCACCATCGTAACAAGACGGGGGCCAAACCTGGTACAAAGTGCACCTGCAAGGGGACCTAAAAAAGAGAAAATTTGTAAATATAAAAAAAAAATCAATTGAGTAATCCGTCGAATGGCACACGAACGGGTTGTTAATACGAAACAAGAAATGTTATCATTTGCATTGAAAATTTAAGTGCCCGAAGTGTATAAAAGGACTGGAATTGAATATTGTTACGAATATTTTGCTTTAATGAAAAGACTGCTTGCAGGCTTTTGCTGAATTAACATGAGTTTATGTTGTTAATTGCATCCTTTTCGAGTATCAGCCTACGCTACTGACATTACCTAAACTGTATGGGGTTCTTTAGTGTTGTTGTTGTTGTTGTTGTTGTTGTTGTTGTTGTTGTTGTTGTTGTTGTTGTTGTTGTTGTTGTTGTTGTTGTTGTTGTTGTTGTTGTTGTTGTTGTTGTTGTTGTTGTTGTTGTTGTTGTTGTTGTTGTTGTTGTTGTTGTTGTTGTTGTTGTTGTTGTTGTTGTTGTTGTTGTTGTTGTTGTTGTTGTTGTTGTTGTTGTTGTTGTTGTTGTTGTTGTTGTTGTTGTTGTTGTTGTTGTTGTTGTTGTTGTTGTTGGCGGGGTGGTTGGCGGGGTGGTTGGCGGGGTGGTTGGCGGGGTTGTTGGCGGGGTTGTTGGCGGGGTTGGGGTTGGGGTTGGGGTTGGGGTTGGGGTTGGGGTTGGGGTTGGGGGGTGGGGGAGGGTTGTTTCTGTTTTTGTTTGTGAGTTTGTGTTTGACTTTTGCTGATGAGCTCACAGTTCATTTTAAGCAATATTTCTGAGAGATTGAAGGCGCTGTTCCGATTGCCTCAAACCATTGCCTGCTATCAACACTGTCTCAACTCCCGACATATTTTAGTCTTATGTCCCCTTTCTGGTAATTTCAGCTCAGCATCCATTTCTGCCACCCTGAAGGTGCTTGGTTCAGGTTCAGTTCAGTGATCTACAATAGTACTGTGACTGCCTTTGGTCGCTGCTCACGAAAATAACCTGACTGGTTCCGGGACAGCGCCGAAATACTGCGTTAATACCGTTAGGAGCAAATGAACGATTGCAAAAAACAAAAACAAAATCATTCTTACTCATGATTCCTCTTATTAACGTCGTCATGGATATGACCAAGCCTGCAGTGACAGCACTGGCGTCGAAATAGTCCATCCAGATGGTCAAGTAAACACTCAGCGACGAAGAGTAACCGAGGGATGCGAAGCAGACCAGAAACGAACCGCACTCGACCACCCAGGCCCAGCCGGAATCCGTGCGGGGAGTCTGAGTCCGGGCCCCTGTCGCCTTGCCCATTTTCTTGCCGGTCCTTTCCATACTTGAACTGATTGTTTAACTGAAATTATTTCCAGTTCCACGAGTTATTCCTTGCAATGCGTATTTTCTCTTTACACAGAGTTTTTTTACGCATAGGCCTACAAGTACAGAGTAAATAGGCAATTTTGTATTTATAAAACAAAGCGCATGCGCATTGTAGCACTGAAATACAAGTACGCATTAAAGCGCCTGTCGCAGTTTACAATGAGTATAAAGTAGTGTCACAACTTTACTTGAAATTAAAGCCTGGGAATTGTAGGTTATCGCATCCCCTTAGTCGATGCAGAGAAGTTCAAAGCCTACCATACCAATGTAGAAGTAAATGTAGAAGTTCAACGCACATATTTTTATCAATGTTTTCTTTTGGTATTCATTGATCCTGCTAACTAGGAGAATGTTGCACATGATTGTTCTAAGAATGAAAGTCAGAAGCACGAAACAAATGCATGTCTGCCATTTAAAAAAAAACATGGATATTAACTGTTCCAATCTTTAGACCTTTGCATCGGAACAGTTACTGATAACTCTATGTGGTTGGTGTGTGTGGCTACCACGCGATGTCAGTGTGTGGCATGGTACGAACCAGCTGAACCTGACCTTCAGACATTGGACCGCTCAGCAGTATTGTTACAAAATCGTACGATGTGGATGGAGCAGAGCTAAATGGAACAGAGAACAGTACCAACCCCATGACATGATTTCAAAATACCAAATGACGGAACGCTTGTGTAAACACACAGTGGCGTATACCTTGGGGCATTTGCCATTTGTTTTAAAAAGAATTTTAAGAAGAATTGATGCAAGCACCTATACTACGGCCGTTTGAAAAAGGGGCATTGGCGGATTCAGGGGAGGGGACCTCCCCCCCCCCCCCCCCCATCATACCTTTATATGTTGAAAACCTGACCGGGGAAACTCCTGGGTCAAATTGACCCCGATATGAGTCTGCACAGACCGTTTCAGGGTCAAAAAAATTACGCTTTTCTAGGGCAAAATGATCCAGAAAAACAAAAATTGACCCGGAAAAAGTTTCTTTTGACCAGAAAAGGGTAGATTTTGACCCGGAAAAGGGTTGTGCAGATACAGACGCAGATTCTGGGTCAAGTTTGACCAGGGAGTTTTGACAGTACAGCACCATAACACAATTACTAATGACCAAAACACCTCTTTTTGACCAATTCTCAGTGAAAGTGTTGTTTTTCAGTCATCACTACCCTCTAAACTTTCAGGAAACAATATTGTAAAGGCATTATAACATCATTCGCTTTTCATGCACATTTGCTTTGTCTCCGATAGCGACGCCACTCAAAATTCAAAGAAGAACGTTCCAAACCTAACCTGCTCAGTGGATATTACACTTTTTGAGAAAACAGTGAAACCCATGCACAACCGTCTGATCACGAAACACAATTTCTTCAATAGCACTCTTTTTTTTCTCAAAAAAACAACAAAAAAACCCAACAACGACAGTCAATGGACTGATCGATGTAAATCGCCTTTATATTTTTGGATTTCTTCTAAATTACAGCAAGCCAGACGGAATACTTTCAAGGGGTGTGAAGTACCAATACGTTATTTAATACAAATAAGCTTTTTGATAATAACTAAAGGTAAATTACTTTTGGGATAAATAAAAATGATCATATATGCCTTTAAAGGAAGAGTACATCATTTGCAATTTGAGCATTATGTTCGTTTGAAGCAACAAAAGTGCTCAAATTGTCTCAAAAGGGTGCTTAACAACTATGACGATAAAGTTTTAGCTTACTGAATGCTGTATATTCAGAGAAAACAATACCGTATAGGATCTTGATTTCAAACCAAAAGTTACCGCATCATGTTTTGAATTGCGCCCGAATTCAGCGCATCTGCATGCGCGCACCCATTCATGGCTTCGCCGAATAAAAAAAAAATCAAACTACTAACGGAAAGTCCAAAGAATGCCTCTTTAGAAACATCGTTGGAAATGGCCTTATTTCGTCGTTTTCTTCAAAATGACAGCTTGCTAGAAAGAATAATTTCACAGGGAGTTTAGTCCCATTACTATCTTTAAGCCAAGCATGCTTTTCAACAATAATTTCGTCAATTACTTTTTAGATAACTGCAAATGATGGACTGTTGCTTTAAAAGAACTACAGGTCTTTTCAAAATAAAAACAGTACCGACAACAGCTTCTAAAATTTATTGATTACCGCATGTACCCACTCACTTTCTAGAGTAATATAATGTAGTCGGAAATCTATATAAAAGGATTCCCTTTTGCCGGTTGTTTACGAAGGTGCACCTGTTTCCATTCACTGCAATATTCTTGAAATCAGAGCTGTTGTTATATTGTTTTCCCCACCGCTATTCAAGGAATTCTACTTTTGTTTAACGACGCTATGAAGGATTGGACTGTGCGTGCAGCAAAAAGGACTCAAAATTCCATCACATTCTTGCTTCCGTGTACATGCAAGCACAATAGGCCTACGCCCAGTATATGAAGACTCCAAACGACAACTTCTGTGGTGCTTGCGATGACAGTACAAAATGTCACTCTTCGTCATCAGAACCATCTTATGGATTCTACTCAGCAGGGATGTTGTACTGATGGTCGGAGGTATCAACATCCCACCCTTCTCGCAAATAAATCTACAACAGGCTACCACGGAGTCAGCTGAGATGGCAGCCACTACGCCGGCCTCCACGCCTTACGGGCCAATGCCTTTCGATCTGGCCGGTCAAGAAAGGCTCACACAGCTGCACAACACTGAGAGATCCGCGGTAGACCCACCAGCTGCTGATATGAACAAAGTGGTATGTGTAGGCCTATAGTCATATTCTTACCGAACTTTTGTTTTTACAAGAAGGCATAGGGGAAATAATGTTGCACTCTGACGCCTCTTTTATCATAACATATTATCTCAATGAAGGGCTGTCACATGTCGTTGAAAACATGTTGAAAAGACGTGAATCTAGGACTGAGAACCATTTCCAATTTTGTTTTTAAAAAAACGGGAAAAATGTTGCAACCTGACGCTACTTTCGAAACAGAAAAAAAGACTTTATGGTTGCTTACTTTGTACCTCATGTGGCCGGTCTTAAACGGTTGATAAAACGCCAGCTTTTCCAGTATCACATGAAATTTGGACTCCTATGAAATTTGGTCTGTTTACCCTTTTACCGGTTAAACGTTCACAATACTTACTCTGGCATGCTTAATGCTTACAATGAATCAGTATTTCATATAGTCCTACACTCACACTACACCGGCACAGCTGCGCTCTGCGCCACTCGACTACTAGCGAGAGGTGCACACCGTACAGAGTTAAAGGGGTGTTTAAAACATCATGACGCAGAATAATACTGTTGAACAAACTCGTTTGGAATTTATATTTATTCAAATATGTATTCGGGTCAAATATTAGGATTGCTACCAAGTGCTGATTTCCTTGAGCACAACGCGCAGATAGTGATTTTATTTAGTCTCATGGTGGTATGGAAGATTAGAAACATGCAAACTAATTTAATGATAAAAAATAAGTGATTAATTTACCAATGGGCTGTCTCATCCCACACCCCTTAATTGATGTACCCAACGACTCACATTTTCAAAGGCAAATCATTTTATTGTTTGATGTCTAGGTGTGGAGCACTGATCTTGCCGACGCAGTTGCCTCTAATCTAGACTCCTGCATTTACCGACTTGCTGACGCTCAAGCCGTTTCCAGAAATCGCTGGTTGGTTGAAATGGGGTTCTACGATGACATCAATGACACCCTCGTTAGCGATACACTGACTCAGTGGTATGCCTATGGAGAATTATACGAGTACCACCAGAAGTCCTGCACTGGAACTTCAGAATCAGAATGCAGCATCTACAAACTGGTACCAATCCCAACAGTTTTTTTATTAACATTTTCCGAAGCCACAAGGGAGTAAAGACTGCTCACATTTCTATGTTTTATATTGTCCCAGCCATGGTAGGCATGCCCGAGGTCATCTTTCACTAGATTCTAGTTTGGAGTGTGGTACACCCACGAGGGGGGGGGGGTGGTCACTTGTCAGGCACTGTTGGCTTGCTCAAAATTGGCGGGAAACCTTCTGGGCTTTTGCACAATTTTACATAGGCTTGTATGCAATTGCTTGTATGCAATTGCTTGTATGCAATATGTAGATTACAGGGGCGGCTCCGCGTAAGGTTAACATCAAAAACGATCTCATTACTCAATAGATCAATTACGCTGCTCCGCGTACAGTTAACATCAAAAACGATTGATTGTCACATTGTCTATTATTCATTCAGATACTATAGGCCTACTTTGTAAACAAACAAGCCAAATTTCATACCAATTGTCCATAAAATGTGCCTTAACGTTACTATTGCAAGTTAATTTCAACACCTGCTAATATTATTAGCCTGATATTCTTAAATTGATGTCAGTACTTTCCCTACACTTCGTACATCTTTGTTGGTATGTTTCATCGAAATGGTTTCGGTTTCCAAACAAAATGGAAGAAATATCGTAGAATTATTGCCAGTGAAACTCTATATGAGACCTACAATCTTGCAATACGGGTAGATGGCGATTTGGCGTTTATGTCTTCACCTTGTGAAGATATTGACCTTTTTTTGGTATTTTGTCTAGCTTACCTGGTCTTCGATGTCAGCACTGGGCTGCTCCCAGCATTATTGCGAAACTCTTACTGACTACTACACCCAAGAGACGATGAACGACACGCTTTACTGGAAATGCCTTTACGACAACATGTAATTATGTTCATAGGACTCTTTGTACATGCATGATATTCTCTAAAACATTTAATGAATTGATCGTTGTATAAACTTAAAATCTGACAGGATTGTGTGTGCCATCAACGATCCACCAATCAGATGACGGGGATTTATTTAGGTGTGTAAAAAAATGTCTCATTACTGAACAGTGATTGCGCTTTGAAACCTTAGGTTAGGTATAAAGCGCTATACTATAACCGCCACTATTATAACGGCCAATGTGCTTATCCAGGAGAGCACTTGTGTTCACGTCATAGAGTATGTTAAACCAGGAACACGAGGAAGAAGAAACGTTAGCACAAGCATGTCAATTAATGTGAGCAATGAGCACAACTGTTGAGGAAACCATTTGTTTCTGATTGTGATGACAGCCACGCCGTCATTATGTAGCTTTGTAAAACATTTAGATACGCAATTATTTTGGGAATTCTGTTAGCGCACGAACAAACGTAACTGTTGTGTCTTTTTCCCCAAAACTACTAGTGGGCACTTCACTAATCCAGCTGTGAGACCATACACCAACGGCACAGTCAACGACACCTGCACGCAATGTGAGTCTGGTTCCAGCTGGTGCGAGAACGGACTCTGCAATAGTGGATGTGACATACAGAATGCCAACTGCTCATGCGCACTGGATCCACTTTGTAGCGGGAACGGAGCATTCAACGAAACAGCATGTGACTGCAATTGCACTGGCTACTGGGTGGGGAACAGCTGTGGCCGTAAGTAATACAAACGCAGAACAGTAAACGAATCACAGATTAGCATGAAACCGAGGCTCACAGTGCTAAGCCATGTATGTACCTTTATCATGCTGTCACCGTTGCATTCAAGTTCCTTGTATCCAATAACAATACTAAATGATAATGTTTTTGTGCAAAAAAGGAACCAGACTATTTTTTTCCCTTCCAGCCTCGCTTTGGTTACGTTGATTTGAATGGGGAAAAAATCATGATAAAGAAATAGGCCTGACAACAGAATTGTGAGGACTTGACTTTACCTGGAAAGGGTTAGCGTTCGTAAAGTTATTATCAAAAGAAAAAACCTTTTATGCATATGGGTACACCTTTACCAAAAGAGGAGACAATTGAGGCTTGATACATTTATTCGCGTTCTGTTAATAATTTTGACGGTGCCTTGGGCCTTCTGTTAAGAATTTCACATGCACATTACTAGTTCCTTTTATGCCGATTGTTCCCTCCAGAATGTGGCTTAACATGTCAGGCAAATTCAAATCTGAATCGGGATCTGTGCCAGTGCGACTGTCTAGAGGGCTTCCTCTTAAACTCGACGACTACGAATTGTGAAGGCAAGTTGAATAATGATTCCCGGGCAAACATACCTTGATATAACCAACTTCTACTCTTGTTTCTCGTCTACCAACATAATGCGGATACGACTGGATTCAGCCACAACGAGGTGGAAGCCTTGAATTGTTGTTGGCCTGTTTCACCATGGATGAATAAAAAAGATTCGAATTAGTTTTGCTTTAAAATGTTTCTGGAGTACATGGCAAGATGATATATCAATAATGCCGGGAGGTAATTGTACATACCAAGTTGTGTATCTTAGGTTTTTATTGAGATCTCAAGCACGCTGAATCTGTCTTTCCTCTGCAACGTGGCATTGTTTCGCAAAACAAACAAATAGGAGTTAAACTGTTTGCCAAAGTGTTAAGTTGTGTTCAGAAATACGAATTAATTTTAAGGAACTGCTATTGTACACAGAAATTAATTATCGGAAATTTTAAATCATGCATACACAAACATTATCTGGGTATCATTATCTGGCCGAGGCAGCATCTGCTGTGCTAGCAATTATGCCCCGGAGCGTTTTCAACTCGTTTTCAACTCATAAGCCTAACATTTTAGGGCTCCGATTTAGCAGTATCTGCTGGACCTCACTGACGCTAGGGGCGCTCTTTTCTCCCCATTTTCTTATCCCTCCTTGTTTTTCATGTCTCATCAGATTCGAGGTATTCTTCGTTTCCGAGTGGTAGCACAACGGAACCATCGGCAACGATCGGCACGATCACAACAGACTCCGCTCCAGGCAAGTCCATACCACATTCGAATCACAAGGTTCTGTTATTAACACCTGCAACAAGAGAAGAAGCCAGTAGCGCTGCTACAATGAACTGGGAAATGAAGTTGCTTTGGTCTGGTTCCAGAGGGCCAGCCTATACGTACAGTCCTCTTCCACGCATCCCAATGACTCACTGATGAACTCACTTGTCACAGTAAATTGTTTAAAGGGCCATATGCAATGTAATTTTTTTTAAATTCAATCCTTATCAATGCAATCCTTGAAAATGCACCTTTGTGTCCCATTTGAGCTTATTTTTTAGTTTCATCTTGCAATTTCAAGGGTAGTTTAGTGCCTTTTGGGTTTTTGTGCATGCCAATTTCCATATTTATGAGCAGAAGTTTGATGTCATTTCATCTTAATGATGAAACGGCAGTGGTGCAGCAACCAGAGCAGAATTTAGTTGATACATTCATGATATACATCTTTATGAAGAACCTTCTCACTGGACTCCAAGTCCCTTTCTTAGTTTGATTTACATGTATGCTGTCGCGATTTTATTCCCCTCATTAGTGTGTGGTATGGATATCATTTGCAATGGTAGCGGCGTTCTGGACCCTCAGACATGCGAATGCTATTGTGCTTCTGGTTACAAAGGCAGTGACTGCAATGGTAACACAATCCTTGTTTAAGTTTTGCTTAAGAAAATTGGGGCATAGCGAAGTAGGGTGGGGTGGGGTAGTGGTGGTTGGAAGGGAGGGGCGTGGGTGTGACACTCCCCAATATTTTTTGTTGTTGATAGTTTGCTGTTTTTCTTGGTAAGCAAAACAAAATATTACCATAATTGTGCTTCTGTCAACTGTGGTAAAAAGTTCACATGTTATATCCCTGTTTACTTGTTGCCCGAACAAGTCAGTGGCGAATCAAGCATTTTTTTCAAGGGAGGATGGTTTGGGGCGTTAAAGCCCATGCTATTTTAAGGAGGAGGGGGGGGGGGAGAAAGATGGATGATACAGTGCAGTCAACGTGTATATAGACTAAAGGCCTCAAATAAAGAATCCTTATTTGCAATATTGAGTGATGACGCGTGTGGTGGGGAAATGACTGATCGACGTTCTTATTATTTTACCATTTCAATTTTTGTTATCATCTATCGTTATGTTGTTTGTTTCGATAGAGCAGTGTTCGTTAACAGATACAGAATGCTGGTCAGGATATAGGAAGCCGCCGGTTCTTATCGATGCCGACTTCTGTCCAGTATACTGCTTGCAGTGTGGTAAGTATCCTGTGCTATCCTGGAACTTGTATCTCTTGAAACGAAACCAATTCTGACGTCGCCGACAGAACTCGGACCAATTCATTGATGGCAAGTTCTATACGGTAGAAAGTATCTCTATTCCAATTCCACACGAACATGCACAGCCAAGTGGTGTAACTGGGGGTCTCATTTGCAGCTTGGACGACAGCCAGGGGCCTCATTATCTGGAGGGGGCACTCAATCAGTGTTTAATAACAAAAAGCTCCAATTGCCTCCGTGACCCTTTTCGCCAATTTTAAGATCTAACTTCAGGCTTCCCGATTATCTTTGTTGACCGTATTTTCAGTCATTAAGAAACGTGTTAATATAAGAATGATGCCTTTTGTATAATTTGTCTAACTTGCAGCGTGTGATCCGTCCGAAGGTAATTGTGAAAACAATGGCACTTACTCCAAGGTTCCTGGCTATGAGCTGCAGTACGGTATGTGTCGATGCTACTGCCCCTTCCCTTGGAGTGGACTGACATGTCAAGGTACATACATGTCTATACATTGTGTATTTATTTATTTCTTTTGGCTGGTCCAAAAGGGCCAGCCTACATTCATCTTTGCACCTAATACTGACGAGACCTGAAATCAATTCGGTGAATAACTGGGCAGCCTGGTTTTGTTCGCCAACCGCGCACAGTGCTGGAATATATCGTACACAGTTCCCCCTGCACGGTATCACTTAATTGCAACACACACGTAGCGTGCGGTATATGACACTTATGCAAGGACGGTTTGTGCATCCTCGACCCCAGTATGGTGTACGTCCGCTCGACTCCAATGTCAAACATAACCATGGCGCCATGTTAGTAGATATTGACAAAGACAGAAAAAAACACAAGTCTCTATATTGTCCTTAAGAATACTTAATGACTCACTCATTGACTAACTCACTGTCGCTTGCAAATAAGACTTGCATGAGTTTCATCCTCAGCCTAACGGCTTTGACTCGTAATATATACCCCTTAGTCAGAATTAGTCTGGGACTAGCCTGAATTACCAGGCTTACAACTTTCTTTTGCTTTATTTCTGTATTTCACCGCAGAGTGTAACGCTTCTTGTTACAATGGAGGAACTTTGGACAACAGTACCTGTACATGCACATGCCCAGCTGGATTCAGGCCACCCAATTGTTTGGGTACGTTTTGCACGAATCAATTTATACCTATTTTTCTAACGGTAAAATGGTCAATTATTGGTTTCCAGAAATAATACAAGTGAAACTGGTATTTAGGGGAGACGCCATCTTTATTCCAGGTAGAGGCAAAATGCCTTGAATAAAACAAAACTGGAATAAAGACATTCACGTTCTTTGTCAGAAGTTAGTATTATTTTTTATTTTTTTGATACTGTAGTAAGTACATGTAGTTCATGTTCGTGGGTTGTATTGCAATGTTTCATTTAATAAGGTAGTAATCAGTGTAATTAGTTTGAAGTTGTACCATCGTTCATTTAGTAATTCGTCATTGAGGTGGCCAACACCTAGCTATCGATGACTTGGACCGATTGTAGCCTCTCTTTTTTCCTTCTAAAATGGCTACTCTAAGGCTTATTACCACTGATGTCAATGGAAAAAGTCTGGATAGCCCGTAGACCATTACCCGTTTTACAAACAAATGAAGCAGTGTGCTGGTTCCCAACCCTTCCATTGGAATGATGTACGGAAACCAGTTTATATATCACACCAATCATGCAATAAAGAAACATACTGTTGTCTTAAATCATTTCCATTTCAAAAATAAATTTGGTATGAACTATTTTTGTGATATTGAAATGAAAACATATAGTCACAAAAGTAAATATGGCAACTAACTCGCTAATATTTGTTAATTAATTCCATCGATAGCCTGAAATGGAGGATGGTATCATAAGGCTTCACTTTGGTCGGTCAATAGGTTTTCCATTTTTTTGCATAGAGATCAGTGAATTATTACCTGAAATTGTTCAATTATTAAAGCAGATTGGGTTGTTTTTTTCTCCGTTTACAGCAGAATGCAAGCCTGATGTATCTCGATGGTGTACCAGCAGAATGGCGCCTTACTGTGACCGGGTACCAGTCATCCGTGAAAACTGTCTCGTTATGTGTGGAATATGTGCTTTGTAAATGTCTAGTCTTAGGCGTTTCTTTTTTCTTAGGTTCTCCTTTTCGACCGATCATATTTTGGATTCCCGACCCAAGGCAAAGCAAGAACCGTTTTTTATCACCGCCTTCACTGTCTGGGAAACTCCCCCCCCCCCCCCCAACCCAAAAATAAATAAAATTATTCGATCAAGACAAAGTAATGCCAAGTTCAGGCAATTGATTTATTCGAAGCACGGCGTATAGCAACAAATAAAAACCACGAGACTTTGTACTTACCCGAGAACTGCTGCCCCGTATTTTCTTGAGCGTGTTTGATAAGTCAAGTTAGTCTATTATATTCGTTTGAATTTAAATCATAAACATTTTATAGAGGGCCTGTCCTTTGGGTTTTAAAAGACTTTATTCAGAGGCGAATTAATTCATTTACATGTTTAAATTTAAATAGTAATGAATTTTAGCAGTGGTAATAATTCAATTATTAGTTTCATATAGACGCATCACTGCATTTTGGTGTAAAAAGGCTGTGTAATCAACATAAAGGGTCTAAAAATTAAATTGTTTGGTTACAATTTTCAAATTTTGTTTACTGTTGTTTATTTTCGTTTATTTATTAAAAAAAAGTTTTTGGATTTGTTTTGGTTGCCGTTTTTCAAATCTAATTTTGTGAAGGAAACACAGACGTCGCTAAGCACCCAGATGTGTTAAATATGGGTCACCGAGTATAAACAAAATCTGTCCAATGCACTGACGTAGCTGCTGCCTGCTGATTGGCAGATGCCGCCTTGAAGCAACTTATCCGCCATCTTGGATCTCCAAAACCATCACGGTGGGAAGTAATTAAAGTACAATGCATGTAAGTCGCTTTACGGCTAAATAACCCCTCCTCTCCCCCCCCCCCCCCCCAACCTTAGTTATTTTTTTGGTTGGCCAGTCCTACTTCGAGAATCCCGGGCAGTGAAAGGGATGGGGTATTTTGACTCTAGGAGGCGCTATTTATAATTGGGCTCACTTTCACGCACAAGTAAACACTTGACATGTATAGGCCTTTCTTTTGTTTGGGCTGCCGTAAGCGCATGTATTGAGGCCGAGGTTGGCAACATATTTTCCAAAAAGTCCTCCTAACGCCATCAACACATAGTAAAAAGGCATACGTAGGAAATATTTTGTAGCTTTGTTGAAAATGTTGTATTTTCAAGTATCAAATAATATTTTGGTGATCTGTAATAACTCTTCTTCATTTTTGCAGTGTTGGACCTTCAATAGTTTTGCAGGCCGTGGTTGGCAAAAATGCAGTTTTCCAACCAAGCGCAGAAAGGTCTATATTTTAAGTTTAAGCAAATAATGTTTAAATTTTACTTTATTGGGTATTTTTCTCATTGTGAGTTTTCAGCGACTACTTAAAAATCTGGCGAGCGGTGGAGAGATTCTACTGTCCATTCTTCTATCTAAAATAAAGGTGATATAATTCTCATTTTCCGACATTTTGGCCATCCGTACGCCTTGTGCTCAATACTCATGTACTTATTGTTATGGTGAGAAAATGTGTCAATTGCGGTCATACAATGATGTTCGACTTTCCCCCGGACTTCTTCATGTAGTCTTGACAAACTTCTGTGTTGATGCGCTTCCGATGCATTCAAATAAATGTTGGTAAATATTACTTTAATAAAATCTTCCTTGATAAGCTGCTGAAAAAAACCCGGTCTTGTCCGGAAATTGGGCAGGGGAAAACAAATCAGTCGAGGGTAACTTTGTAAAACGTGCCTCAATTACACTTTCTGTAGTATTAACATGTGCCTTGTATTGTTAAGGACTCGCCTACCGGCTAGAGTGTAAGTCCAATGTGACGTGCTATAAAAACCTACATTAAAGAAACTTCACACAAGCACAAATTACATAGGCGTTACCTTTGACCCAGAAATAGTTTATTCATCTATATCATCATGATGAACTGTTTCATTAACAATAAAATAACAATGTTTTACAAGCAATTTTGAATTTTCAATATGACAAAATGTTTGACAGAATATAGGTATTTTAAATATATATCTTTAATGTTTCTCCAAAGTTTAGATTTATAACCCTAACCCTGCTGAATCCAACCGGAACCAACTTTATAATTTACCCGATGGAGCCTGTTGGATTCAGCACAATGTTGGATTCAGCAGGCAACTGAACCGCATTATATAACGCCAAGTTGGACTGTGTTGGATTCAGCAGACAACTGAAAATAAGGCACAGTGGATTGAGCAGGAAACTCCGGTTGGACTCTGTTGGATTTAGTAGGGTAGTCCAGAGGAACTACTTACGGTTAGAGTTAATTATCATAATTGATAATTCATATACTTCTATACGAGCACTTTTTTCTTTTGCACAATTAGTGTAGAAGAAAAAACATATTTGGAACCCTATGTCAAGGTTTTGAAGAAATTTTTTTTTAGAATACTAGGTCTGAAATTGCAAACACATTAGTGTCAAAACGTGCACAAGACATAAATTCCCAAAACTTGTTATGGCTCGATGTAAAAGAAAAAGGAATTGTGGTAATATTGGTGGGAAGGGGTTAATGGGGTTGAATTCCAGTGGCATATTTAGAATACTCAGTGGCACTCCAACTTCTGCAAACGGAGGATCCCGGGTGATACAAACAACTTGAACTTCATGACATCAGACTCTCAGAGGTGTTTCTTGGATGAAATAATCAAAGTGACTATAACCACTAAAATGAAGCATATACTGAGCGTCTTTTGGCAATTAATGAAACATGTAGTTAGTGTAACCTTGGAAAATCAGCTGCTACAGATCGGTAACTTTGGAAGGTCTCAAATGAAACTTTTAAAGGATTTGTGGATAATGACTTTAATACTAAAATGCATATAGCCAGTCAAATAGCTAGTGTTTAATTCAAAGCAAGAGTATGATTGGCCTTTAAATTCCTTTTTTATTAATTGATGGCAAAAAGATATTTTGCCGAGCCACATTCTTTCCGAAGGGGACAGTCAAAATGAAGACAGCACAATCAATGGCAAGGTTGAAAAACTATGCCAAGAAGTACGGAGACAAGGTACTTGACAGTGAACATCACCTGCCTTCATACCTTACAAAAGATGTGGTGTTCCAAATGATGACCAAAGACATGGCTGAGAAGGGGAGGAAAGATGCAAAAGATCAGGTAGATGAAACAGGTAAATTATGTAAAACATTTAATTGTACTTGGTGCATTTCTTTAGATCAAGCTGAGCTTTCTGATGGTGGGTCATCACACCCATGAGGATATAGATCAAATGTTCTCAAGATTCTCAGTATCTATGTGGCGCACAAGATCCACACACTTTCTTGACTCCTAACCCCTTCTTCCAGAAGCATACCAAGGAAAGATGCAAAAAATCAGGTAGATGAAACAAGTAAATTATGTAAAACATTTACTTGTACATTTTTTTTTAACTTCTGGTGCATTTCTTTAGATCAAGCTGAGCTTCTTCATAGTGGGTCACACCCATGAGGATATTGATCAAATGTTCTCAAGATTCTCAGTATCTATGTGGCGACATAAGATCCACACACTCTCTTGACTCCTGACCCTTCTTCCAGAAGCATACCAAAAACCGAACACAACGACAGAGCGTCTGGTTGACTCTGTCAACTTCTGGGACCTTAACACCGCTTCTGGTGCATTTCTTTAGATCAAGCTGAGCTTTCTCATGGTGGGTCACACCCATGAGGATATCGACCAAATGTTCTCAAGATTCTCAGTATCTATGTGGCGACATAAGATCTTCACTCTCTTGACTTCCAACCCTTCTTTCAGAAGCATACCAAGGAAAGATGCAAAAAATCAGGTAGATGAAACAAGTAAATTATGTAAAACATTTATTTGCACATTTTTTTTTTAACTTCTGGTGCATTTCTTTAGATCAAGCTGAGCTTTTTTATGGTGGATCACACCCATGAGGATATAGATCAAATGTTCTCAAGATTCTCAGTATCTATGTGGCGACATAAGATCTACACTCTCTTGACTCCTAACCCTTCTTCCAGAAGCATACCAAGGAAAGATGCAAAAAATCAGGTAGATGAAACAAGTAAATTTGTACTTTTTTTTTAACTTCTGGTGCATTTCTTTAGATCAAGCTGAGCTTTTCCATGGTGGGTCACACCCATGAGGATATCGACCAAATGTTCTCAAGATTCTAAGTATGTTAGTGGCGACAAAGGATCCACACACTCTCTCGACTCCAGACCCTTCTTCCCGAAACATTCCAAAAACGCAGCAGCAGAGCGTCTGGTTGACTCTGTCAACTTCCGGGACCTTAACACCGCTTCTGGTGCATTTCTTTAGATCTAGCTGAGCTTTTCCATGGTGGGTCACACCCACAAGGATATCGACCAAATATTCTCAAGATTCTCAGTATCTATGTTGCGATACAAGATCCACACACTCTCTCGACTCTTTATCCTAATCCAATGACAATTTTGTTTGAAGAGAGTGTGGCATTTCCCACTACTGGTGAAAGTGATGATACTAGTCAATGCAGCAACGATGAACCTTTGTATAGCGGTGCACCCATAACATTGGCTGAAAGCATGTTGCTCATCCTCACAGTTGTCTGGTTGATATTCTCACTCTTGTATCGTTGCACTGTCAGCAGCCAACTTTGTGTAAAACAACCCTTCATCTATTTCGCCAGTATTTTTCTAACTTGTCGATGCCTCTTAAGTTTCATAGTTTTATGGGAAATGTAGATTTCTCATACAAAATGACACGGATGAATGTCCATCTTGCAAGATTTCTATAGACGCGTCATGCCCAATCCGTTATTTTATTGAAATCCCTCATTGTCACAGTTACAAACCCTGTATTAATGTGGGGAATTAGCCAAAATCATCGAGGCGCTCCATACTACTTCAGCCCCACAAAATGTATCCTTGTGGGATGCGCACACAAAAACAGCTTGCACGTTAGTTCGAGTTAAAGGACTGCAGACCGTAGTGTAGGCCTTTTCTCATTTTCGGGCTACATGCACGTTTTCAAGCCTTTTGATGAGCCTAGATCACTGGTTTAGAACTGAGGGGTGAACCATCAAGAATTATCCTTTTTGAACCTGATACTGGGGTATGTATCTGCCCTACATTATTTCAGAAATCTATAAATGGAAGCTTTAGTAACAGAAAATTGTGTAATATGCCCTAGCTCGTTAAGTTGTTTACTAATTGTAATTTCAGTCACTGCATTGTCACTAAGCCTTTAACACCTTTTGTGAGGGCCCTGCACAATAAAGAAAGAAGAGATTTTGGAGTGTAAGCGTTGTTATCCGTGTTTTAATTAACCGGCGAGGCCTGCCGACGAGGCCACCATATGATGAGTGCTACATTAATAAGCAGCAAGATTTTTGTGAAGACATGGAACACAAATTTTAAACGTAAGAAAAAGGTCAGTGCAAATATTGAAGATATTTGTGATGGTAATGTGCGTGTACATAAAAGTACATATCAACAGGTTGTGTTCTCAATGATGAAAGGAATATTTCGTTGAAATTTTCAGTGTTGCCTTTGTACTTAATTATTGAGTTACCTCCAAGATAAAGAATGTGAAAAGAAACTGGACGTGTTTGTGGACAAGCACAGAACTGTTTTGGCAACAGTTTTATCAACTGTCATGTAGGAGTTTTATCTTAAGTTGCATGAACATGTTCATGGTTTCCACAAAGCTTTGGCTGTGTAAAAAATATGCAAGTTTTGTGTCACGCAATATGTATATACGATATTATTATGGGGAAAGACACCTTTAATGTCATGTGAAATGACGTGATGATTACAGAAATTTCTATGAGGCTACATGTAGTTGGCAAGCACCGATGGTGCAATAGTAATAAAAAAAGACTGTTGAACATAGAATAGATAGAAAATTGTGCACTAGGGTATCTGATAGTGCATTGAGGTATGTCAGTATAACAATTGTATTTGTTGTAATCTATGTGATGGCCACGTGGAGATTAGATGGAGCACACATTCAAGATAACAATGCATCAGACCAGCTTATTCAAACTGAGGCAGTAGATCTTGTGTTCTCAAGCAGAAGACAAAGAACAAGATTGGATACTTGATCAGACAATGGTAGGATCCTTTTCTGCGCTACTTCATTATTTAAAATGTTAACATTCTCTTATCCGTTTTTTTTCCACAATAGGGTTTGTTCGTGATAAGTGCCCAAAATATTCCGAAAGGGAGATTATCCAGGTCATCAGCTGCCAGTGTTCAGATGTGAGGAAGAAACTGAGAATAAGGCAAAGTTAGCAGGTAATTGTATTAGATTTACTGCAAAACAAGGACAATATACACTCAAAAGGCTGTGAAAAATCAAGTACTTCTTAAATAACCTGGATCTTAAATGTGACATCCTTTTAACTCAAACCTGCCCACTGCTTAAGGAGTAGCATGTGATTCATTAGAAGTACAAGATAGCATGTTGGCCAATGGGCAATGGAAAATATACTGGAGGTCCATCATTCAATGCAGCAGTGTACTGGAGATACAACGGAAACACGCGACGCGCAACAAAAGCGCATCATCAAAATGAGTAGGAAAATGGCTGAGACCATTTCACATGTAGATGAGGATTCCACTTTCAGCACTAAGCCGTCCACTTCCGCCAAGTCCAAGCCATCCACCACTGCAATCCAGTGAAAAAGGTCAATGCAAATATTGAAGATATTTATGATGGTAAAAAAGTCTTTCATCACAAAGTTGTGTTCTCACCGATAAAAGGAACGTTTTGTTTATGTGGTACATGGATGGTATTCCAGTATTCAAATCATCAATATGTTCAGTGTGGCCTTTGTACTTTGCAATTAATGAGTTACCTCCAAAATATAGAATGGGAAAAGAAAAAAAGTGTTGATTGCTGGCAAAAAAATTCCCTTTTTGAGATACGGTGAGAACAAAAGGCCGGCCGGTCAATGATCTAGCACCACCATACACCTTCGCGACACAGTGAGTATAGGATAAAGCCACACGGATGAAGGAACAGAAAACGTGCGAGAAGACGGCAAAAACACGTCAGAAAGTGACATTGATGTAGAGCTGTCTGAAGACGCTAGATCTGACTCGGATTTGGTGGAAGATCGCCAGTGTTGTATGATAAATTCCTGCCTGGGTTGCTTGTAAAAGTATACATGTATTGGAGGGAAATGCCTGTCCACTGTGGGAAATTTAGTAGCTGGCAAGTCCAGTATTTGAGTCAAATTGTACAGGTTTATATTTTAAACAGCTTGCAATAATTATTGACCACCCAAATCTTCAATTTTAAAAGTTTTCAGGTGCAGTTGTGGTGGTTGTAAAGTCATGCCCACTGTCAAGGAATCCGTGTGTTGTAAAGAAATCGCGCAGGTCATTCAGCGCATGAATGAGTTTGTGTTGGACGTAGACTGCATTCTGGAACATCTAGGTTTCAACACGGTCTGTTTGGACCCATGGGTGCTGGACACCGCATATTTTCAATATCGCCAGCAATATGGTCAAGGACGTCATGGCGCAACAGAAAACCAGTGAGGGTAATTTTAGGAAATCTTAGCTGTATGTTTTTCAATTGAAGTAGAGGGAGGGGGTTGTGATCAGTAAGAGGTTTGGCAAAGTCTTACTTGTCAATAAATCTACAGACAGAAGCTTTTCATACCAAGCATAACGTTCTTGGAGTGAAAGGGCCCTCGTGATTATCATATCATATGCCAGATATTATTCATGGCACTGCAGTTGATTGGATGCATGAGGTTTTACTAGGAATAGTTAGAAGAATGTTTTTTCTTTGGTTTGACTGTAGTCAATCTAGTGAATCGTATTCAATTTCAAACCACTTCAAAAATCACTCGAGTTGGATTTAAACCCACGACCTCCTGCTTTTCAGTACAGACATCTTTAAGGAAATGGTTTTGTCCAGTGTTATCCTTTTCTTCCTCAAGAACCTGAAATGTGCTCTCTGCGAAGGTATGAAGATGACGTGCTTCTTGCTGTAGAGAATGGGAAGCCAGCGTTCACCATTGAAGGTCCTACAATGCTGATGTTTTTCTCGCACTTTGATGTTGTTGAAGGATTCGTGGTTGACTTTATGCACAGCATGCTTCTGGGGGTCGTCAGGCAGTTCATGACTTTGTGGTCTGACGGCACAAACATGAACAAAGACTGTACATACAGACAGATCTGAATGATGTCTATTTGATCAAATGTACCTGGAGCGTCCCCAGATGGCTCTGGAGGTGGACTCGTCCTTCAGCAAGCATGCCAAAGTCTATGTGCTTAGAGATCTGCTAATCAACACCGGAAAGGCAGCAGGAATCCGACGACTGCGACGTATTGGCAAAAAAATGCCAGCATGGTGATTTCAGAAGGAGAATGGACTGATGGCGAAGTCAGGAAGATGATTGATTGTGTTAAGATATATGAGGGACAGCTGTGAGAAAGTAAGTATAAGCTCATTTGGAAGAAAATTGAGCAAGAAATGAAATCATTGAACAAGGGCTACCGCAATTATGTCCAAGGGTGCAAGCAAACTGGAAGCATCTCGTAGATTTTTGTACGTTATACAAATTGGGTTGGAGCATCTGTCATTCCCCAAGCTGTACAGTGATAAGAACACCCTGGAATGGACTGGCACAAAGGCAGCACTTTCCAATAAAAACTGGCTGCGAATTGCATAACGGCGATTATGTGCACTGTGGTATCAAAGTGGACAACATCCTTCTGTTTGATGCAAATGATGGCAAGAAGACGTGACCGTTTGCCAAGATTATTGATCTTGGCAATGCATGTCTTGAAGTGGCAGGTCCCTGGCTCCGTATCCCAGAGCATCTAATCGATCAGATGTACCTGGAGTGTCCCCAGATGGCTCCAGAAGTTATGGAGGGGGACTTGCCCTTTAACAAGCCTGCCGAAGTCTATGCACTGGGAGACCTGCTTGTTTAGATCGGAAAGGCGTCAGGAATCCGACGACTGTGACGTGTTGGCGCAAAATGTCAAAACGTTGATTTCAGAAGGCGGCCCACAATGGCAGAAATATGTAAGAAGATGTCCAAACACTGGAAGTTGGATATCATTTAAATGTAGGGTAAGTTTGTGGGCTATAAGAACACCCCGTCAGTCACAACTCTACAAGACGCCTTGGACTGGACTGGCACCCCAGCAGCACTCTCCCGCAAGGGTTACTCCACAAAGAGTTATTATCAGGAGGTTAATCACGAACCTTCACGAAGACTATTCATTGTCTTTTCATGGAACTATAGAACACTCATAATGTATTCAAGGTTAAAGGCCATCAACTTATAATGTATGCATATTGATACAATTCCAGATACGAGATCGCACAAGGCATAATGGGAACCAACACAGCGCAGCAAGATCGAGGCCATGGAAACGCGGTTGCACCATGACCAACAGATTCTGATTGGTTGGAGCATGTTATTTGTACAAAGAGGCAAAATCTTTTTTAGGGGGGGGGAAATTAAAGTCACAGGCAGTATAGAATTTGTCCCACTAGCCAGAAAATGAAGCAACTACTGTTTATAGAGGCATATTTAAAGCTGGAGGTGGGGGCTATGTGCCCTCAATTTTTCATATCATTATCAAAATTGTTCTTCGCCAAGCCTTGATAAGTTTTAGCTGTTGCCTTGTGCATGTTTTGACACCATATTTATGAATTCCGACCAAATTCTTGAAAAATGTCAATTTTCCACAAACAAGTTGGTAAAAAAATGTGTCCTTTTTTTACTGACTCCTTTTGTAAAAATTGATTCTATTTATTATATATGTAAATGTATTAGAGAGTTATCATGTCTATGACCTTATTATGACATACCAAAATTAAGTTGGGGGACTGGTTTTCTTACTAAAATCAATTCTTTTCCAAGATTCACAAATAGCACGACAAATAGATGTTAAAACATGTCATGAATATCAAAAAAAAAATACTTGAAGAACTCTTTAAGATGTCTTCCCTGAGAAGAATCCATTCCAAGCTGTTTGAGGTTTTGTCCTCCAACATGCATGCTCGATGTATCTCTAATTAGCTACCTGTTGACGACACGGCAGTCAACTCAATACTTCCTCTTTCTCTTCTTTGAAGCGCTCTTCTGTAGCTTTTTCCGCAACTGTAATATAGAAATAACAATCAAATTATTTTATACATTGTAACATGACCCTATATTAAAGCCTTTCGATGACAATTGTTTTAAAGTTGAACAACGAAATTGACTGCAGCGGAGTTTGAACCTACGACCTCCGCATGACCGTTCAGTGCTCTACCAACTGAGCTTTCCCACCCCATGTTAGCTGTTCCCCATTTTGACAAAGTGTCTTTGACAGACAAAAATCCAAATGCTTGATGGGAGAGCCAAGTAGTCCAAGTATGGTCAAAACCACGAAGCATTATACACCAGCAGCCCTAGAGTATGTCAGCAGTGTTGAGTTTCAGTCAAAAGTTAGAGTTTGCTTGAAAAGTAAGTATAACATATTTATGTCTTAGGTCGATGTGTGGCGAGTCCTGCTAGTCTGGCAGTCATACAGACACTACACAGCTATTAAATGAGAGACATAAAACTGGGTATCTTACCTTGCTTGGAAGCTTCCTCCTGTAAGTGAAAGAAATGAAAATAAATTCAGTCAAACAAAACTAAAAACAAACATCAGTCATCAATGGGAAAGAACATACCCTACATAAACACAACACCAGGCAAATCTAGTAAAGCTGGTCCTATGGGCTCCGTGCGCCGACAAAGGAGGGCGCCCTTTTACCTTGCAACGGACGTCCCATGGGCAGGACATATAGCTGGTTGACGCGCACCGTTCCTTGTGTGTGACACACATACACCAGGGGATTTGTACTCTGTGTACACACAGTGGTACGGCCGCCGACGCGTCGCGGCAAAATTGCAGTCGGGCAAGATGACGTCGGTCGGTCACCCCCAACTGTAGCTTTCTTTGACCGGTGAGGGGTACTTGTGAATGGAGCGGATAGTGCACAAAATTCTATTTGAATAATTTACAATGGCTATTCACTTCACCTTCAGCCGATTCCACGAAACTTTACACAATGGCATAAGTCCACTTGCGCCGGAATTTATTTCATAATCTGCGCAACATTTTACACTGTGCCACATTTCAGTTTTGACAACTTCACAAAAGTTCTTACTTTTTCCTGACAGGCATGTCCTCATGCGTTTGATCCAGGGCACTGATGTCATCAAAGCGGGTCAATGACTTCAGACTGGACGTTGTTGCCAGTCTCCTCTGCGCTTGCTGTACGGGGAGAAAAAGAAGACATTACTAAACGACTGTATGGGTTCGGTGCGCCGACGAAAGAGGATGCCCTTTTACCTAGCAACGACGTCCCATGAGCGGGACATTTCGCTGGTTGACGCGCACCGTTCCTTGTGTGTGACGCACGTACACCAGGGGATTTGTACTATGTACACGCGTACGCAGTGGCCGTGCTTTGCGCATCGATCGCGCCAAAAGAATTGCAGTCAGGCAAGATGGCGTCGGTCAATCACCCCCAACTGTACTTTCTTTGCAGGTGAAGGGGTACTTGTGAACGGAGCAGATAGTTGAACAAAGAAATTGGTTGGAGTGGGGTTTGAACCTGCAATCTCCAGGTTACCATACCGGCGGTCTACCGACTGAGCCATTTCCAGTCCTATGCTTTCTGTTCCCTATTTTGTCAATGAATAAAAATGATGAACCGCAGCCAACTTAAAGTTTACGATTTAGGCCATCAGACTGGGGGTTTGGTCAGTATCAAATCAGGGCATAAATGATTATAGTGCGCATGCGCAAGGTATACCGCCCCTAGAATGGTAACAAGCATTTTGATGGACATTTTGAAAAAAAGGGTGATAACACCCAAAAAGCTGCCACCGTTGCAATGCTATCACATATTTTCCAACTTTGGAGGTATATACCTTGCCAAAAATTGCTATGACGATTATTCCCCTCAATTGATACCGGTGGTCAAAATTTTGGACCGAGGCTTATGGCCTAATTGTGGAGCAGAGTGCATCACCACCACCATGATAATTCTTAATGATATTTGAATATTTTGTCAGTCCATTGGATTCACTTCGGGTGCCATTTGGACCCCTCAGTCACCATGAACTACATCACAGCAGACAACAAATTTACAATATATCATACCTTCTCCTTTTTGGTCACAGGCAGACGAACGAAATAGTCCTCTTCAAATCTGCAAAATAAAACAAAAAATGCCAATTTACATGATGACCAGATCTCTGCCAGTCACAGCCTAAAACAGAGGATGAGAATCACCTCAGAGAGCTACAATCCCAGCCATAATGGTTGGGACACTTGGAAATAACCTCAGCCTTCCACGGTCACCCACTCCCCCGCTCCCCTGGTCAATGTTGTTCTCTCCAGCTGATGGAGCACACACCGCGCAATGAGAGACAACATTGACAGGGGGCCGGGGGGTTGGGGGCCCAGCGAGAGTTGGCCAGGATTGTAGGGTCAACAATTAATGCGGAAGATGCTGCTCATGTGTATCCTTGTTGAACAAAATAATACACCTCAAAGAAAGCTGCAGTGCACATGGTCCATTATCTTGCGGGGAGTCAGGTTGGCGTAGCGGTACTTTCCTCGCCTTTCACCGCTGTGACCCGGGTTCGAATCCCGCCTGGGCCAGAACGCAGATTGGGTTTTCAGTCTCTGCCTGATTCCGTGGTTTTTCCCTAGAATATTCTGGGGTTTGCCTCCCACCTTTAAAACTGTGATTTCTTCTCATTGCCTTCACGCTACAGGTTTCTTCAGGCTTGCTAGCTACAGAGCCTAGGGCGCTTTTGAGGAATCCGTGGTTTCATTACCAGAAATTATTAAAAATAATAATAATAAAAACGCTTATCTTCAAGCAAAATTTAATCTTCGAACCTGATTAGTCGATCTACGGCAACAAACCGTGGTGTAATTATACCTCGTAACAAAATCCCTATCGCACTCTGCATACCACTCTATTCAAAGATTCCAGTGACATTAAAGCTGAATGCACTAATAAGGTATAAAGCTTTGTGTAAAGCTTGCTAGTTTCACCCTTACTGTGCGTCAAGTTTGCTTGAAGATAACTTCGTTATCCCACTTGTGCTCGTAGAAAATGTAGTGCGTCTGCGTCTATGTGGGACACAGACGCACTCCATTATTCTGTGTTCCACTCGCGCTCGCTGGATATTAACTAATATTATCTCAATATGTAACACCAGACATGCCAGAGGAGAAAAGGGCAAGTGTACTTACTCTGTCTTATGTCTTGCTTCTTTATCCTCATTCAGTCTGTGTAGGCTGACACTTTCCTGAAAAGAAACATTCAAAAATCACAATTATCCTTCCATGGTTCGTGAATAACGCAGACACCATTTTAGGTTTACAGTCAGGCCAGTTTTTGTTCAAATGCAAAAACACGTAGCTCACATGAATGAATAAAATAGTTGAAGGAAATAACATTGTCTTTTTTTTTTATAAAGCATTATTCCTCTTCACTTTGATTAACCTTTTCAACCCAAGGTTTAAGCTCTAAACTTTTCACAACGAACCCCTTTTGTATTTGTAAAGTGTTCATTATAGTTAGCTTCTCGCAGGGCAAGTTCGTTTGTGCACAAAATGAAAGCCCTTTTTGATAGGCTTGCAGACATACAAATTGAACGTTTGTTAGGAGACAGTCTCTTTTGGGGCAGTCTCTTTTGCAGTATGTCTGACTGTAACTTACCCGAACTTCTTCAGGACCATCAAAGTACTCTCCTGTAATAAAAATGTACCAAAAACAAAAAGACATCAGTGTTTAATTAACAAAAAGTATGCCAAAAACAGAGACTAAGTTTGCTTAGTTGAGCTTGACCAAATGTCTCATTTCAAATCAAATCATGTCATAAAATTAGAATCCACTGTTGCACTTGGTTGCATGTAACAGGGCAACTGCTTGGTGCCAAGGCTGGTCTGCACTGGGTTCACTGCACAACACAACATAATCCACTGTTGCAATTTGTTGCATTTAGGAGGGTTCTCGTTTCACTTGTGTTAGATATTGTTGCATTTAGCAGCGTAACTGCTTGGTGCCAAGGCTGATCTGCACTGTGTTCACAGCACAATGCAACATAATCCACTGCTGCATTTGGTTGCATTTAGCAGGGTAACTGCTTGGTGCCAAGGCTGGCATGCACTGGGTTCACTGCACAATGCAACATAATCCACTATTGCAATTTGTTGCATTTAGCAGGGTTCTCGTTTCACTTGTGTTAGATATTATTGCATTTAGCAGCATAGCTGCTTGGTGCCAAGGCTGGTATGCACTGGGTTCACAGCACAATGCAACATAATCCACTGTTGCATTTGGTTGCATTTAGCAGGGTAACTGCTTGGTGCCAAGTCTAGTCTGCACTGGGTTCTCTGCACAACACGACAGAATCCACTGTTGCAATTTGTTGTATTTAGCAGGGTTCTATTTCAGCTAAGTTGCATTTTTTGCAGGGTAACTGCTTGGTGCCAAGGCTGGTATGCATTGGGTTCACTGCACAATGCAACAGAATCCACTGTTGCAATTTGTTGTATTTAGCAGGGTTCTATTTCAGCCAAGTTGCATTTTGTTGCATTTGGCAGGGTGCCTTCGGGTCGGTCAGCCCTACCTTTGAGTTCCTGCATGAGGGCGCTGCTCAGGGCTCTCTTCTTGGCTTTCTCCAGTTGCTTCTCTTGCCGCTGCTTCATTGTCTCATCACCATCTTAAACAAATGCATACGAGTGATCAAATGAATTTGGAACAATTATTTCTCTTTACTTCTGCACCATACGATTTGACATAAATGTCATAATAAATTATACAGTTAAAAACAGTGGTTTTTTTTTAATATTTGACGTAATATTTAGAGCCTTCTTGGCCTGATCTGCAAACAGTAATAACCTCAGCAGTGCCGTTTTGAATAATTAACCATTCTGAGTACAGTTTTCAGTTCAGTTCATTTTCTTCCACTGCCCTAAAAATTAAGAATGTTCCATACAACAAATGTTTTGAGAATAGTAGCGATAGAATTAACAATTGTTAACTGCTGTGATGTGAGATATGACGTTTTTAATTGGAGGCCAAGCCGAGGGTGCTATGCACCCCGAGGGGGTTGCAAAGCCGTAGGTTTGAGAACTAGCATTGTCCATGAAGGTAGTACAAAAACAGCCAGCAGCACTGAACTGACACTATAAGCCAGTGTTTCCCCTGCCTATTCAAACGTGATGCAGCCCACCTCGCTACTTTCAGTGACCACCTCGCTCAGTTTTTGCCAATATCACCACCTCGCAGTGAAGCTTTGCAACAGAGGAATACTAATCAAAATATTTTCATTTTATGTAATTTATGAGCGTTTTCCTTGATCTCCATGTGTCAAGAACTCACAATTTGGATATGTACCGTAGATGGAATCGTCAGGCATTTTTGATAGTGCTGTGTTCTTTTCAGTTTGCAGACTGCGTAAATTTTGTTTCAATCATCATTTTGAATGTTTACCACCTTGCTCAGAAATCTGACTTACCATAGTGCATGGCAACTACCTTCGGTGGGACGTATTTCTTGGGCTTGGCATCATCTTCCTCCTCATCACTGCTTTCGTCTTCACCTTCCTCCTCATCATCCAGCTGAAATATCAATAGCAAAGTGGAGGGGGTTAAACAATTGTTGACTGCTGTGATGTGGAATATGCGGTTTTTGACACCCAAGGAGTGCATTGCCGAGGATGCTTTGCGCCTGGCAACTATGACCAGCAACTATGGCCAGCAACTATTTATCGTTTAACCCCAACTCCCTAGCATCTTTTACTAGGATCCAAATCCATCAATCACTGTGCGTCTAATACAAAACTGTACATAACTTAACGGAATCCACCAATGACGCACTGGGTGACATTCATGGACTTGCTACACATGGCTTTTATCGCACAATAGCAGTACAGGAAGCTCGGCAAAATCAATCGGATACCCCTAACACTGCTTCAGGCCATTAGGCCCAAGTCCATCATACTCCATCAATATTTAGTCACGCCAGGCCTTTTGGACCAAGTCGCCCAAAATCCATCCAAATGGGGGCATGGATTTTGATGGAGTTGGGGTGGTTAGGGTTAAGACACATTCATTGTATAGATTTTACATGTGCGTGTATTTTGTGTACATGTCTACATGTAGACCAATCCAGGTTGCCCACTTTTGTCATAACATGACTAGCTGTACACCATAACTCAGTCCTCCTGATTTGAAAATCACAGCTGTGTGGAAAAACGCACACCTGGATTTTTCTAGGCGTGTGATTTTTCTGGGCGTGCGATTTTTCTAGGTGTGTGATCCTGTGGTCCAAGCTGGGACTACATGTAAACAACCTGTTATCTTTTTTCATTATATTCATCTTGATTTACAATAAAGCTATTTTCTCTTCACCGATGTGCTTTATTTTTCACAAATTATGAAGTATAACTATGCCGTAAATATATGCCAAGGTGTGCCGTACTGAGGGATTCAGGCGTGCGATTATTCGCACTTCTCAGGAAGCATTTAGGCGTGTGATGGCGTGGGGGTGTGATCGCATGCCTCAAAACAGAAGGACTGATAACTGGGACTCCCCAATCGTGCCAATGCTTGCTCCTGTATTTCATACAATGCACCATCCTTTAGGGACGTGTTTAGAGTTATACAAACGCACATGTGATGGGCGTTCGGGCATGGAAGCATCCTAGTCACCGTCATTTCGAAATCAAATTGGTGTATGACAAATCGTTTTAATATGCCACTGACAGGGCAAGTTCAAAGCCTTTCATACACATACATGCTACCAAACTGTCACTATATAAGGCAGGCAAAGCATGAGAGTTCTGCTAAACATTTATCGAATTAAACATGAATCCCTTCATTAATGCCCACAAATCCTGTTTTCTACTGACCTTACTCCGGAGGTTGGCAGGGTTTGGCTTGTATCTGAGTGGATCGTTCTCTGCGACAGCCCCGGTAGCTGCCGTCTTGATTAGCTTATCCACCTGGTACTGTAGCTTCTGGTCAATGGGTCGCATTCTCTCAAGGACTGTCCGAATCTCAACCAGTCTCTCGATCGCCGGACAACCGCTCAGTTTCCGCCCCTCGGTCTTTTGAAGCATGACATATGTCAGATTCATCAAGTAACTAGAGTTATGGTAGGAAAAAGGGTACCAAAATTTGAAGGGCCTAGGTTCGAATCCCATTTCGACCCAAAATTGGAAAACTCTCTCTGACGACCCAACAGTGAAATGGGTACCTGATTCCTTCAGGGACGGTAAGACGGCGAGAGGAGAGGACTGGGCACCACCACTCATATGCCGCGCCCAAGACACAGTGGACCTCTAACATCCCACTGCCCCTACGGCCAGTAATGGCTGTGGGACCGTTACCTTTACACCAATGCAAATTTCCATACTCATGAGCAAAACTGTGTTGTCATTCAATGAGGTGTTACAACTAAAGCACCAAAAGTTGCCAAAACTCAGGAGTTTTTCCTTCAATTTACGTGGGTGATAATTCTTGTCTTACCTAAGCAGGAGATGGTATTTGACCTCTAAGAAACTGACTCCTTTGGAGGTAGACACCTCGCCATCCTCCACTTTCTTCAGCAACGATTGTATACTGCTAGATACACTCGACACCTGTTTTTAATAAACATCACATCAACAGGAAATTAGACAACAAAAACTTTAAGTCACTGTTTTCATTTATTATGTATATGTAAATTAAAATCCATTGAATCTAAGTTGCTCTTACTTGATCTGATAGCCCCTTGAGAAGAGACTGTAATTTAACCACTTCTCGCTCCATTACCTGCAGGAAAATACAAAAAACAAGTTTATTTAAAGAATGTTTTAAAGGAAATCTTTTAAATGAGATCTCGTACCACATGGAGTATGCAGTATGTACAATGTACATGTACATACATCATGTGTATTGTATAAACTATTCACTCATCAAAGGTGGTCTACAGCTGCAGCTGAATCCGAATGTATATACTTTGTACATGTTGCAACGAACATGAGTGGCATTCATTTTATCAATTTGAACAATGCCGCTGTCATTCATTCTCCGGAAAGGCTATTTCGGAGCTGGATTTTATTCGGGCATTTTTTTTTAATTCAAAGACCGGGGAAAAGTTTATAACGAGAAGTGAGGGAAACTGAAATAAACATGGAATTTCATCCCTGTAAAGGGCCTGTATCGTGTTCATCATGTACATTAAAATTGAACAAAAAATCAAAGATGATAAAATGAGCAAAAAGTTGATGTGTGTACGTGTCTTGGTCCCTGTGTCTCGAACACCTCATCAGAGAGTTTGTATTTTTCCTGATTTTCTAGAATTAATGGGAGCATTTATTATCGGGTCTTTGGCTGTTTTAATATTTACTGATCTGCAGTAAGACTGCACCCCTAGCCTTCACCTTTGTACATGGGGCGAAGTGGATATGGGGCGAAGCGGCGATGGGGCGAAATGGGGATGGGGCAAAGTGGGAATGGGGCGAAGAGGGGATGGGGCGAAGTGACATGGGGCGAAGTGGAAATGGGGCGAAGCGTCCGACACCCGAAGAAAATATAAAATTAGAAGGAAAAAAGTGAATTTGAACGTTATGAAATTCGGACTTTATTTCCCTTTTAAAAAAAATCCTCCAAAGCCTCAGGTTAGAAAAGGAAAAAAATTCGAGTGCAAAACTGAGATGCAACCCGCAACCTCGCGGTGCAAAATCCTACCCTCTATCGACTGAGCTGACGCACTGCTCGCTAAAAGTAAAACGTGGGGAAACAAATAATTATATACCTGCGTGCGTATCAAAAAAGTATCGTAGAGGGCGCTAAACAACGGCTGCCGTAACGATAGCCACTTCGTTTATTTTTTGCAAGTAGGCTGAGGCTGACATGGCTGAGGCATGCTAGGCCTACCAAATGTGGGCTGTTGCGTATTAAAGTCTTCGCAATCCTCGTCTCGGCGATAACTACCTACCTTTTAAAAATTTTAGAACACTTTTAACACAAACACCGACTCCAATTTTACGTGAATTTCCTGTCAACAATTGACAACGTTACATTACAACTTTACAAGTGCAAAATTTGAAGCACGTGTTTTAGCTATCTTGCTAACCGTCTGGTATCTACATCAATTTGTATACTACATAAACGAAAAATCGCGTTTACGAAGCACCAGCCTAGGGTTGTCGTTGTGCACGAAATCCATGCAAGATATGGGGTCAAACATTTCGCCACATGTGTTGAGTAGCGCTGTCACGCCCCAACTATCGCATCGGTCCCAACTATAGTTGGGACTGTCCCAACTATAGTGCGGCAGTTGGGTCGGCCCAACTATAGTTAGGACTGGAGTTGCGCCGGATGCTTCATGCTTGATAGATCTTGTTGGATTAAATGTTCCGCGGCGCTGGCACCGTGTATTCGTCGTGCATGCATGCCGCAAGGCTGGCCGGTCACGTGGTACTGCCTAGTTGGATGAGTTGTCCAGCTGCTGGGTTGATTGTCCAGCAACATTTTGCAAAATTCAAAGATTGCCATGGCCGGCCAACTATAGATGGGCCCCACCCATAGCTAATGTCAAAGGTCCCAAGTAAAGTCGGACAGTATGTAACAGAGCTGTAGGGAATGTTTTATAGTCGTCGTACATCAATGTAAACTATAGTTGGGACCGCCAAATAAAAATATTGCGTTGGCCCAACTACAGATGGTCCCCACCCATAGATAATTTCATTGGTCCCAAGTAAAGTCAGATGTGTATTAGAGTTGTAGGGAATGTTTTATAATCGTACAACAATGTACACTATAGTTGGGACCGCAAAATAAAAAGATCGGAGTGGCCCAACTATAGATGGGCCAGCCCAACAGTGGAACTTACAGTTGGGACCGTCCCAACTATAGTTGGGACAGGCCCAATTATAGTTGGGCCAGCCCAACTGTGGAACTACAGTTGGGACAGGCCCAACTATAGTTGGGACAGGCCCAACTATAGTTGGGACCGATGCGATAGTTGGGGCGTGACAGCGCTACAAGCACTACTCGTACATTTCCAACGATACGCTCTCTGTATCCGACACCATGGACCAGTATATCACTACTCCATAGAACTGTGTACAAACTAAAAAAGCTTCTTTGGAGGGGAGATGAAATCACTACTCACTACTCCATAGACACGTGAACAAAAAGTCACTACACAAGTCTTTACACGCCAGGAAAATCACTACTCCATAGAACTATTATTATTATTATTATTATTTATTCGGCCAAATTACAAAGTACAACAAGCAATTCACAAAAGTAAACAAAACTAAACAAAAACAATCCAATCCAAGCTGGCCAGGATTGACAAAAGTATAATAAAACACTGTGACTCGAAAGCCTGTCAATCCTAACTTGAATGGTACATGTAACTGTGTACAAACTAAAAAACCTTCTTTGGAGGGGAGATGAAATCGCTACTCACTACTCCATAGACACGTGTACAAAAAGTCACTACACAAGTTCTACACGGCAGGAAAATCACTACTCCATAGAACTGTGTACAAACTAAAAAAGCTTCTTTGGAGGGGAGATGAAATCGCTACTCACTACTCCATAGACACGTGTACAAAAAGGCACTACACAAGTCCTACACGCCAGGAAAATCACTACTCCATAGAACTGTGTACAAACTAAAAAAGGCCTACACGGCAGGACTTGTGTAGTGACTTTTTGTACACGTGTCTATGGAGTAGTGAGTAGTGATTTCAACTACCCTTCAAAAAGCAGCTTTTTTTATATATTTTTTTTTAATGTACAAAGTTCTATGGAGACTGATTTACACAGTGGGCTAGTGGTTCACAGATTCAGTGGTGTGCGTATTTTAGGTTGTGACAGGATACTAGTTGTGTAGGGTTCAGTAGCGCTACTGAAAACACCTACCGACCGAGCAGTACGTGCCTACCACTACCTGCTTACTATTGGAAACGCGGTTGGAAATAAAGTAAGCACTGGGGACGAGGTTGAGGACGTATGGATTTATTGAACAAAGCAAGGTAAGTCCGACTTGGGTCAAGTCTAGCATTTAGCAGAATTTGGCTCTGGCCTTACGGTCACCCTGCTGACATGATCGGCTATCGAAGTTATTTTTAGAGAAAGCAAAATGGCGAATCAAGGGACAGTTTCTCGTAGTAGAAGACACAAATGGTCCATAGATTTTACTTCACGGTAAGTGAAAACACTATTAATATATAATACACAAAAAGTGTTTATCATCCTCCATTTATACGTATAAAACCTTTGATTGTTGAGGTTATAAATCGTTTATTTTATTGTAAAAAGGTGTTGTCCGGAAATTGGGCACAAAACATGAACGTAGCCCAATGATGAATGCGCAGTGGCTATTGTTAGGGCAGCCGTAACGCAATTGTCAACTGCGATCTTGAAGAATACAGGTCAACTCGTACGCGAACCAACTCGTACGCGACCAACTCGTACGCGGGTCATTTCGTACGCGAACCGACTCGTACGCGGACCGACTCGTACGCGGACCGACTCGTACGCGGACCGACTCGTACGCGGACCAACTCGTACGCGTGAGTTTAGACGATTGGTTTAGCGCATATGGACAGATGAAATTAGGTTCGGTACGGTAGGTCGGCATCATTTTACCTTTTCTGAAAGGTTGAGATTTTCAAATTAAATGTAGTTGATTTTTGAATCCGCCAGTGCTACTTACATTCGCGATTTTTTAGAGAAGAATTCTGCGGTTTTTTTTTTTTACAAGTTGGCTTGATTGATTGGGAAGTTGTCTTCGCGATAACCAGTATGATTGGTTCCCGCCGCACCGCGCACTGTATAAAGAATGCATGATTGAATCGCTGTAACCTGTGTATGCCGCGGTACAATTGCTGGTTGGTTAGACAAGTAAAATGACAAGAATACACCGATATTTGCGAGGTCTATTGTATAAAAAGGAGCTACTATAAAAAAAAAAGGAATATAGCATCAGTTGTACGGACAGTGTCCGCAAGTTTTTTGCTTGGGTCAGATAGTTTTTTAGTCCTAATTATTATATATCCAAATAATATTTTGTAAAAAAAGAAAAAATGGGGAGTTGATTTTTATATTTTGTTAAAATCAGAATTTTATATAATTTCACCGGAAATGCGAGGTTTCTTGGGTCAAATGCGATTTTCTTGGGTCAGAAAATTAATTTTTTGCTTGGGTCCGATAATTTTTTAGTCCTAATTATTATGTCTCCAAATTATATTTTGTAAATTAAAACAATGGGGAGGTGAATTTCATTGATTTTTAAAAATTTGAATTTTATTTAATTTCACCGGAAATTCGAGGTTGCCCTGAAAATAATTTTTTTTCTTGGGTCCGAAAATTAATTTTTAGCTTTGGTCCGATAATTGTTAGTCCTAATTATTATGTCTCCAAATTATATTTTGTAAATTAAAACAATGGGGAGGTGAATTTCATTGATTTTTAAAAATTTGAATTTTATTTAATTTCACCGGAAATTCGAGGTTGCCCTGAAAATAATTTTTTTTCTTGGGTCCGAAAATTAATTTTTAGCTTTGGTCCGATAATTTTTAGTCCTAATTATTATGTCTCCAAATTATATTTTGTAAAATAAAACAATGGGGAGGTGAATTTGATTTATTTTTAAAAATTTGAAGGAGAGGAAATGAAAATGGAGAGGGCAAGGAAGGCTGGGGAAGAACAATAATAAAAAAAAAAGGAGAGAACAATTACATTGGGGCGGAATGTGCAGGGTTCGACCTCAACTTCTTTTGTTCACTATAGCCAGCCGGGCTACTGGCCCACGGGCATTTCTACTAGCCCGCATTTTTTTCTTATCTCAGATACAAAATGGCGTATTTTCAAGCGCAATTCTGAGGGAATTTTGTTGGTGTTTTTGATTAACAGATCAGATAATTTAATCCTTTAAAACAGTTGATAATTAGACACAAATTAAAGGGGTTTCCTTTTTGAATTTTATGATTTTTTTTCTTTCTGTTCGTTGATCTTTGCCGTATCCCAATAATTGTTCACTCGCACGCCGGCCTGGTTAAGGAATAGTTTGTCTAGCCCCGGCCGCCTCTGTTTTGACAAGCATTTGGTTAGCGGGCTATACCGCTAATTTCGAACCCTGATGTGTTATGTGTTATACCTCCATGGTTATACCAAGCATTTCAGTTGTAAATAGAAATTGCTAGGCCTACGGATGTCCCCGCGTGTCTGCTTTTTAATTGATCAATGGTTGTGAACCACAATGAAAGTTGAGTGACAGGCAGTTGACAAGTCTGATCGATCTCTTTTGATCTTCTAAACCCGCCGGTTCTTTTAGGACACCGAACCGCGAGAACAAAAAAACACTCCTAAAACGGCCCGCGTACGAGTTGGTTCGCGTACGAGTTGGCTCGCGTACGAGTTGGCTCGCGTACGAGTTGGCTCGCGTACGAGTTGGCACGCGTACGAGTTGGTTCGCGTACGAGTTGTCTTGCGTACGAGTTGACCAATCCGCGTACGAGTTGACTCGCGTACGAGTTGGTTCGCGTACGAGTTGACCTGTTTCCGATCGTTACGCCGTTGCAAAACCAACATTGCGAATCTGTATCAACCAATAGTGTACCATCTGGTTCCCTTATTTGGCGATCATGAAGTGTAGGGCTCCTGTTTTGATCAAATTGATTGACACATGATTGAGTCAGATGCTCTTTATTGCTCAAAAATCACCTTTACAATCCAAAAGCAGACTTTTCTCAATTCTAATGGCACCCGTTTGGCAATTTTTAACAGATTCTTGGAGTAAAAATCACGATTTTCCTGCGCGGTTTGTGCCTTGCGATTCAGCGCACCGTGCATGCTCATGGTACGTCGCGCAGTGATCGCCATCTTTATTTTCGGGTCGCATGTTGTCGCCGCACTGTAATCATTTTAATCGTCATTTTACCCCCAAATTTCCCTCAAAAAATCAAAACCCTGCCCTCTATCTATGACATAGGCCTACCTGTTTATTGAGAATGTCGCCAACTACAATGTAGTTTGGTAGGTCCAATAATTTTGAAGTGGATTTTGTTCCCTTATAGGAACCAGGCCCTACACTACATGATCGCAAATAATTTAGGCAAACAGCCTCAGGATCTTTGGCTGTTGGAACCAGACTGAAACTAGCCCCATAAATGCGGCCAATTTTCTGGATAACCTCCGACTAATATAGCCTAGGCTACAATGAACTCAATTTTTTTTTTTTTTTTTTCACAAAAAGACTTTGCTTCTCATTTATTTACGCTTTGGAAGCACACTCACCTTTCTAGCAATGAAAAACAAATACCTGCTTTCTCAGGCGTCTACTTTTCATGTAATTTGCAGCACATCTTTAGAGGCTTGTTTGTACACGCTTGAGTGTAAGTAACTTCCATTGGAAGTTACGGCAAAGGTTACATACAAACTACAACATGTACAATGCATGCTGAACCTTTTGCTGTCAGTCGGTGTCATATGAAAATCTAGCCCAATAAATGTGGCCAAGTTACTGGACTACCTCTGTAAATATAGGCCACACTTGGATCATGTACTCAAACATGTAGAACTTTGTCAAGTTTTTATTTTCACATTTAGACTTTGTACTTTATTTACGCTTTAGAAGCACACTCACCCTCTTTAAAGTGATGGAAATTTAGTTCTCCCCCCCCCCCCCCTGTTTCAGACGTCTATATTTCTTGTAATTTCCAGGTTTGTTTGCAAACATTAATGTATCTATAATTCAAACACGAAATTACACGAAAAATAGACGTCTGAAAAAGGGGACTAATTTTCTATCGCTTTAAAGAGGCTGAGTGTGCTTCTAAAGCAAACTACATGTACAAATAAAGTCTAGATGTGAAAATATAAACTTGAAAAAGTTCTACATGTTCGGGTACATGATCCAAGTGTGGCCTTTATTTACAGAGGAAGTCCAGTAAATTGGCCACATTTATGGGGCTAATAAAAATCTAGCCCCATAAATGTGGCTGTCATACTGGACTACCTCGGTAAGACCGCCACACACTGCCAATATGCCCTGTGCATGGACGGTCCCCTTGCTAGGGGAGCTGAAAATCAATTTCAAATCGCAATTATTTTGTCACTTTATACTCACACTGTGCCGTCTACAACCGCTTAATAGCAACAAAACGTTAAATTCTGCACCTTCAGAGGTCTAGTTATCTTGTAATTTTGGGTTGAATTCGGTCTGAATTTGGATGACTTTCGGCTGCCATTGTTCATGACAGCGTCATGCTGCAAATCGCGCCCTCACTAGCTTGCATCAAATTTTGGCAAAGTACATCGGTATGGCTGTTGCCTGTTGATTCATTATTGGTCAAAAGTGCATGCATGTGGGCACACTTTTGACCATTTGATCAAAAGTGGGCCCTGTGAGTGTGTGTTTCTAGTGAATCTGCATGGTTTTAACGTTCACTTGTTTTCCAGAATCAAAATGGACAGGCAATGCCAGCCTATTCCAGATTTACCCGCTCCTGTTGGTTACTCTGAGAGGGCTCTGGCCGACGTGACTGTGCATGACACAGAATCCAGTTTGGCTGTCAAGGTAAAAACATTTTTAACTATTTTGCCGGTCTCAGCATTGGGTCAATGTAGTATGCGATATTTTGTGACATATATAGTGTATTAACCCTAACCACCCCAACCCTTTAAAATCCAACTGTACATTTTGTTTGATTCTGTTGGAGTGAGAACTGCACTAGTAAACTGATTAGGCCAAAAAAAAAAAATAGTTCTGCTTCCGATTACATGGCATTTGAAAATAGGGTAGGTAGGTAGGGAATTTTTTTTTTTGGCCAATTTTCTTTGTGCGCGACCATGTGGAGGCGTCTGTGAGTTGTCAAGGGTGAAAGGTAGAAATTGATGGTTTTCAGGTTTTTTCCCTCATTTTTCCCATTAAAAAATTAGGGTAGGAGCTGTCAGAATAGGGTAGGTAGGGAAACCGGAAGCAGAACTATTTTCTTTTTTGGCCTTGAGGCTTAGGCTTACCATGGGGTCAGGCATACCACCATAATTTCGAATTATTGGCTGCTTGACAATTATTCCGTTCTCGAGGGGAAAGCTGGTTCCCGCCCCATGATCAGTATCTATAATGTATGCACCGGTAGTCAGTCTGCTCGCAAAGCACATCTGCTTGTCCCCCAAAACAAAAACCTTTGGAAAGATTTCCATATACGAAGTTCACTAATTTTCCTCTGTATTGACTAACAAGGCCCCAGATAGCAATTTCATGTCATCAAAGTCAATTTGAGCAGTGAGAAAATACAAGCATTTTCTTAGAAAACACTTAGAATTTTTCAGTCCAATCTCATAGGGTTTGTACACAGGGTGTTGAGTGAACTTCGTATATGGAAATCTTTCCAAACCTTTTTTTTTACAGAGAGTTGCAGACGTCCAAAAATGAAGAAAGGTTTTTTTTTTCAGTTGGAATAAAATGTAGATGAAATTTATTAACCTTTTACCTTCCAAAATCCTCTTTGCAAAATGGGGAATTTTGCAGGCTTGAGGCTATATGGCAAAAATGTGTGGCTGATTTTGGAAGAAAATTAGATTATAATTGAAATCCTAGATTATACTTGAAATCCTCTGCACTGCTCCAGGATGCCACTGGCTCTGCCTCAACATATGGGCAGTGATTGCTGGAGGATTTTGCAGGATTGAGGTTGCATACTAGCAAACATGTCAGGGGGAGTTAGGGTTAAAGTGTTGTTGCGTTATACGGATTTGGTGTATTTTCCCCCTGCAGAAATATTGGGATGTAGCTCTTGGACCCCTGAAGCAGTTACCCATGAACTTGTTCATCATGTACATGTCTGGTAACTCCATCTCCATATTCCCGATCATGATGGTAGGAATGATGGTCTGGCGCCCCATACAAGCCCTCCTTGCAGTCAAAACCAGTGAGTAGGCTTTGAATACGGTGTGCGTTTACAGGTAGTACGGAACCAGGTACCAGACTGAAGGAAAAAACCACGGGTACAAGGGTACCCGTGAAGAAACCCAACTTGAAATTCAAATCTCGGAAGTTGCTGTTTAGATTGTTCATAAAGGTCTGCACGATTATAGTGCCACTTCGGTGAGCCAACCACCCAATACAGCGAGATATACAAGCGTGAACCGTGAGCTTTACAGCTTTACAGTGTAAATTGCAACTTCCATAAGCGTCATAAATGTGAAGCCCATGTACATTGTAGCCTGGTATTCCTTTTTGAAATCCTCTACAAATAACATTCAAAACCTTTCTTTTTTATTGTCTGAGAAATTACTTAGTGATTTGTAAAGTTGGTTGCGGGTACCCGATTCCATAATCTGGAACCGGTTCCTGACATTTCCGGCCGGGTACCGGTTCCGATGCACAGCCCTGCATGTAGTTTCGAAACTCACAATAGACATTGATTTAAGTATGTTTTATATGTTGACTAAGTGAGTGTCCTCTATTGCCCTAACAGTTTTTCTCTAGGCACTCTGCCAAATGCAACAAAATGCAACTTGGCTGAAATGAGAACCCTGATAAATGCAACATATTGCAATGTTCAGTGGATTCTGTTGCATTGTGCAGTGAACACATCGCACACCAGCCTTGGCACCAAGCAGGACCCTGCTAAATGCAACCAAGTGCAAAAGTGGGTTATGTTGTATTGGCTTGGACCTATTGCAATAGTGGATTATGTTGCATTGTGCAGTGAACCCAGTGCATACCAGCCTTGGCACCAAGCAGTGACCCTGCTAAATGCAACCAAGTGCAAAAGTGGATTATGTTGTATTGGCTTGGACCTATTGCAACAGTGGATTCTGTTGCAGTGAACCCAGTGTATACCAGCCTTTGCACCAAGCAGTGACCCTGCTAAATGCAACCAAATGCAAAAGTGGATTATGTTGTATTGCCTTAGTCCTTTGAGCAGTTACCCTGCTAAATGCAACAAGATGCAACAAAGGGGACTTGAGTTGGCTTCTAAATGCAAGAGAATGCAACAACTCTTTACCTTTGTTGCTTTCTGTTGCATGTAGCATGGTTATGGCTAATACACTGCTAATCCTAATCTTTTTGTTGATTTGATTTCATTCCAGCCTTTAAGATGTTAGATCCCAGCCCCCAGTCACTAATCCAGAAGATAGTCTACTTCATGTCTAACCTATTGGGCATCGCATTAGCACTGTACAAGTGTTCTTCCATGGGTTTACTACCGACGCATTCATCAGATTGGCTGTCATTTCTGGAACCACAAGAGGTGAGAATGAAAGATTGCCATAAAAAGTTAATGTATTAAGGCCCCCCCCCCCCCAAAAAGTCTCTGGTTTCTGGTATGCGCGCGCGTCGCCGTAGCCATGCGCGTCGGCAAAATGAAAAAGTTTTTTTTCAATGAAAGATGATGTCTGAAAACCAAACTCACTGGTCTGACTGGAATCCTACTGCTGCACAATTTTAACGTGTTTTTAGATTGGGTTATGGTCAAGAATAAGCTTTATGTGGCCTCTCTGGACTCCCATATAATTTGCACTAAGTTTAGTCGGGCACCATTTGCAGTCATCAGCCGACATTTGAAGCAAAAAAATCAGGTAAAACAAAAAAAAAAGCTGCGCCGCCACACCACTTTTTGGGCAAGCTCCATACCAGAAACCGGAGCGAAAGCATTCTTTTAGAAATCGCCAGATTATCATACTAGTGCTCTGCCAAGTGAGCTATGCAGCCCTTTGTCGGCGGTTTCAAAATTTGTCAATATTTACAGGTTTATGGCCTCTGACCTTGAACAACGACACATTGGGAACTCATCAACTAACACCGCGTTCCCACTTGAATTGGAAAAAGGTGGATCAAGATCCGGCATTTTGGTGTGATCGTTATCTTACCGCAACGAAACCGCAAGTCGCGTTCCCACTTATGCTTGATCCACCTTTTCGTACGGAAATGTTGGGTCCGAAAGGTCACTGAGTTCGGAATTACGCGCGCTCTGTGGGAGTCTATTGTTGCATGGTTGCATGCTAGGCCAGGATGGGTCAGTTTTCAAACAGCACTATCATAATTCACAGACAAAAATTACGCGAATTCACCAACATAAATCACGGATCCGTAGAGGATCCGTGCGTGCATAAATTAACAGGTGAAATCCAACAGAGCCGCTCATTGTGTGACATCACGGCAGAAACCAATGCATCGATAAGGGATTCCCTGGTTCTGAAGCTTCTCATTGGTTAGAAACGGTCACATGATGTACTACGACATCATTTTCCATAATCAATACTTCAGATTTGTCACCTCCGTACGTACCGCGTTATCGGCACTATTCTCATCGCATACTCGTAAGCTTTTCCATGATTCTGTGCCAAAGTGAAGTCTTTTGGTGAGTGCGGACTTAGAGTCATTTATGGATGGAAAAATAAGTAAAATTTCAGGAATGAAAAAGGTTTAGTAATGGACGAACACGCAACAAAAATAAGGCCTATAGTGTAGTTTTAGGATACGTGCGATTTTGCATGCGCGGTGCTAGCCCGTAGTTCAGCGGTTGTTTATTTTGCATGTTGTATACGCTGGAAATGTTCACATGAGCTACACGCCTGAAAACGTGTTTCTTCGTTCATGAGACCGCAACATTTTCGCGCCACTCGTGCACCGGGCGGATGTTAACAGGTCAAATTGCCGGATCAGATCCACCTTTTGCATTCCCATCTGATCGTGATCCGGCAATTGCCGGATCTGATCCACCAATTGGGGGATCTGTATCCTGGTCCAGAGGTGGATCAGAAAAGGTGGATCTGATCCTGATCCACCTTATAACGGTTAGCGTTCCCACTACACACAATTGCCGGATCTGATCCACCAATTGGGGGATCTGATCCGGCAATTTGGCAAAAGGTGGATCAGATCCACCAATTGGTGGATCAAGTGGGAACGGGGTCATAGAGCTCAATAGCTCAGTGTGTAGAAGGCTCTAATCCTTCTCTAGTCAATTTTGCTGTTCAACTTTGAAGTTTTTATGTTTGTACTCACCTAGTCATGTACTTATTTGATTATTTGTAACAGAAGCATTCTTGTTAATCAGGTATCTTGCTTTTTTTCTGACATTGGTGAATAGATATGGTCGTAACTCCTTGTTGCGTATAGATTTTTGTGTGAAATTGATCAGGATTTTCTTTTAGACAAACATTTCCATCCTTATCTTATGTGTGGTTCAGCTAAGAGAGAAGAAGTTAACTACCAAAAGTCAACTTTATGCCAGAAACGAATTATGTTTTTCCCATGTATATTAAACAAATATTTGAATATGTTGTAAAGGCGACAATTGTGTTGCCAAAAGCCTTACTCTGAAAGAATTTCTTCAAATTCTAGTGTTAAAATAATGGTATTTTTTTCTCTCTTGTTTCACAGAGAATGGAATACTCTGGAGGTGGCATCATTCTCTGATTAATGCAGGCATCCCGATGTCCAAAAGTGTATGAATGTATTTAATGAACATGATTTGTGTCATTCAGTAAGAATATAAAATTACTACCTGGAAATTCATATTTTATTCTGTTTTATTTTAAGTACAGTCGACTCTCGTTGATACAAACTGGGCCAGTTTGTTATATAAGAATTTTGTATAAAGTGGAATGCCGATACCATTTAGTGTGCACATTAATGCACGGTCGGGACCGAGGCTTTATGTTTGCCATAAACAGAATTTGTATAAACAGATTTTTTAACAAGAGTCGACTGTTTGTCAATATTTGTCAACTACAAACTGATCTGTTGTACATCGGCTGGTCATAATTTGGTGTTTGAAAACTTATGATACTATGATTAAGTACTTTTAGCTTGAGTTTTTAATGAGACAAAATGGCTCAAAAGATGTGATGGTCTGCATCAGTCATGTGAATTTGCCAGTTAATAACTGCTGTGTGAAATCACTACTTGCCGTTCCCTCTTATTTGATTGCATAGTCACATAGTGTGAATGTTCACCATATTGTACATGAGCTAGTTAAGGTTTGCGGTAACACCATGTAGAAATCTCTTTTGGGAAGATGTGTGGTTCCGAAAACAATCGGTGGCTTGTCTTTCCAGAACCACATCTTCTCAAAAGAGATTTCTACATGGTGTTACTGCAAACCTTCACTACATGTAGCTCATACCACCACCATGCAAAGTTTCAAATCTTACATATTGTACATACAATTTTGCTGTGTTTATACATGTAGTAATCCGCATTCTTGTATTTATCAGTCCCTGTTCATTCTGCATGAACATACCCAAATTAATTTTCAAATTAAAAACCTGTTGCTCTGGTTGAGGACGGCCAGTCTAATAAACCACATGTATCAATCAGTTAGTTTCAAAAAGATGTTTGATTTCTTCCATGAACAAAATTTGAAGATATCCGGAACTAGGAAAAATCCGGAAAGTAGGAAAACGACTGTCATGACTGTACGGCGTTCCATCCTACCACATGTAGCAACTTTTTCCTGCTAAATCTGACATTTTTGGACAGATTATCCATTTAAATGGTGGCAGATGTCACTATAGGGAAAAATTAGTGATGTCCAGATATGGGAGTCTTTCCAGTACGCCAAAAAGAAGTTGAATTTTGAAAATAGTCCAGACTTACCTGATGTACACTACAGTGTAGCGCTAGCGCGCGGCTGCCGCACAATGTTGATATCGGGATAACCAAACAACAGGTGGCGCTCTTCACAATTAACGGTGTCAAATACAATCTCGTTTACGTAGTGTTGAGCGGTACGCACTGACAGGTACATAATAATGGAAAGAAAGTTACAAATAAAGTTAACCTGGGGACGAGGTTGCGGAAAAGTTTCGAAGTCCGAATTTTCCCATCATGCACTGCGAAATCCCAATTCCTATCTCGATAGGATTTTGGAAGTGGGAATCGTTATTCGTTTTCCGTTTTGCTTTCGAAATAGGAAGTGGGAATCGATATTCGTTTTCCGTTTAACTGACGAATAGGGAAATGGGAATCGGAAGTCGGTTATTCGTTTTCCGTTTAACTGTCGAATACGGAAATGGGAATCGTTATTCGTTATCCGTTTTGCTGTCGAGATCGAGATGGGATTTTGGATTCGATGTCCGTTATCCATTTTGCGCGGGAAATTGGAAATAGGTTAGTTATCCGTTTTTCTTTTTGCTTAGGAATTGGGAAATGGTTTCGTTATCCATTTTTTCTTTTTGCTTAGGAATTGGGAAATGGTTTCGTTATCCATTTTTCTTTTTGCTTAGGAATTGGGGAAATGGGTTCGTTATCCGTTTTTCTTTTAATAGCTTAGCTAATGAGAATTAAAGGGTTTTAAGATTGTACCGTTAATTGTGAAGAGCGCCGCCTGTTGTTTGATGATATCACCATATTGTTGTCGGATCGCGGAGTATCGCAAAGGGTGACCGTATTAGCCGATTTTCGGCTAATTTTGACAGAATGTTTGTTAAAAACGAGTTTGACAGAAAATTTGACAGAATCGATTTTTTGGCAGATTTCTGGCAGAATTCTTCAAAAATGGTCAGGCCTATTTGACAGACAAACAGCAAATTTGAACAAAAAAGTGCACATTTGTTTGAAAAACTTCAATCCTTTCAAACAAACCCTTGCATAATGGGACAGGTTGGCTAGTCTAGTTGCTGAGGTTCACTGGGAAACGGACTTCGTCGTTGCCGGATCCGCATTTTGATGGATTTTTTTACCAATAATTTCACATTATCTTTATTTACAAGATTGTTTATTGTGTAATTTGAATCTTAATCAAGGAAATACTACCAATCTGCATGTGATTTTAAGTATTTATAGTGTAGCCTATTTCGAGTAATTCTGGGAAATTTGGCAGATTTTTGATAGATCTGACAGATTTTTGATGCGCATTTAGCAGAATTTGGCTCTGACCTTACGGTCACCCTGATCATATCAGCGGCCAACACTGTTGTGTGTGCGAACATGGTTGAGTTTTTAAGTCCAAAGAGTAAGACAATCTTTGAAAGTTCAGCTTTCATTCACAAGAATTCAAGACACACTTCTTGTGTTTCGGATCACTATTTTAATCATGCGGTAAGTATTTCTGCAGCAGGGTTTTAGGACCATGTTTTGTACCATAACTAGGCCTACCATTTACCATGTTTACCAATTAGCCTAGACCCGTGAACGTGGTTTACAACGTCCACGTTCACGGGTCTACAATTAGCCTAGACAACTTTTTGACAACGAAGTGGCTATCGTTACGGCAGCCGTTGTTTAGCGCCCTCTACGATACTTTTTTGATACGCACGCAGGTATATTTGTTTCCCCACGTTTTAGCGAGCAGTGCGACAGCTCAGTCAATAGAGGGTAGGATTTTGCACCGCGAGGTTGCGGGTTCGCATCTCAGTTTTGCACTCGAATTTTTTTTCCTTTTCTAACCTGAGGCTTTGGAGGAGTTTTTTTAAAAGGGAAATAAAGTCCAAATTTCATAACGTTCAAATTCAATTTTTTCATTCTAATTTTATATTTTCTTCTCATGTTTTTATAAAAGTTGCAGTACTACTGTAACGATAGAAAATGGGAAATGCGTTACGGCTGCCGTAACGATAGCCACTGCGTGTCATGTACGTGTACGGATATGACAAACACAGGCGATCGTGAAGTGTAGGGCCCCTGTTTTGTTTTGATCAAATTAGAGTCCAAATTAGAGTCAATTTTGAACAGTTTCTTGGGGTATCAAGCTTTTTCGGCGGCCATCTTGACAAATAGCCCCGCCGGGCGGCCATTTGGGAGGGGAAAAAGGGCCTCCTTCCTTTTTTTCAAAAACGCAGGATGCTAAAGATCGTTTTTTTTACTTGGCATAATCGACCAAGCATTGCCATTCTTTTGCACACGAATGTGTTTGTACACAAACCAATTACCACTCTGGCCAGCGAACATAACTTGATCGGCTGTCAGTAGTGCCTCCTTTTTCTCTGCAATTTTTTTATTTTATTTTTTGTTAAGTGACATCGCCAAAAAGGCAGCCACTGCATACACCACCCACAAAACTCAACAAAAGTAATGTAGTGCCCCCCCCCCTTGCTTTTCATATTAAATATGGGGTCTAAAATTTTTGGACCCATTTTTGGGGGGGAACTAAAACAATTTTATGACCACCCCTCCCCCAAAAAACCAAAATTGTGTTCTGGATCTGGCCTTGTACCAATCAATAGGTGGAGGTATTTCTACCCTGCTGTGACTCACTACCAGATGCTGTTCAAGTATCCAGCCCACAGCGTCAGGAATACTACGCCGTTAAAAGACTCCCTCTTGCAGAGCTCACCAATGCTGAATTTGTCAGCAGATTTGTGAAAGCAGGTAAGGTTCATTTCTCGATTTGCTTTTCTCTACTATAAACTCCTTCAGCTCGGGTAATTATCAGCATCCAGACTCCAACCGGTCATAAACGTGGTGTTGAATACCTACCAAGTACATATTTATTCCTTATTCAAGATACTTCCTACGATAATTTTGATTCTATGATAATATTAGTTATCCCGCGAGCACGAGTGGAACACGGAATAATGTAGTGCATCTGTGTCCCACATACCACGAGGCCAAAGTGGGGCACAGACGCACTACATTTTCCGTGTTCCACGAGCGCGAGCGTGATAACGAATTTATCCTCAAGCAAACTTGACGCGCATTATAGATGAAACGCACGCTGTACACAAAGTATTTATCCTATAGTATTACATGTGCGTGGTTGTACGGAATGGCGCACGCATCTTGGAATATCGCAAAATGCAGAGTGCGGTATGGACCGTGGCCGTGCTACATGGTTATATGTAGCACGGCTTGTTGCCATGGATCGACCAATCAGGATCGAGGATTTAAGTTTTCTTGAAGATAATTTGGTATTTCTGCATATCTCAGTTTTCTCTTTGAATTGGAACCCAAGGACACGCTTGTATCCAACTTCTTTTTTCAAACTTTGTTATTGTGTCAGTATTATTTGTGTTTTGCAGGTAGACTCTACGTTCTTTCCATCGGTCAACACATTGATACACACAATGTGGCTGCTATCTTGCCAACAGGTAAGTGTGTACAATCATGTCATAGTTCTAACTGCAATTTTTCGCTAAAAATCCTACATTGCTTTAAATTTGGTCAACTTTTATCATTTAGAATCAGAATAACAATTTAGTTGCCGGAGCATAGACCCAACTGTATTGATGTTAACACTAACCCTTCTCAATCCTCCAAAATCCTCCAGGGGCCAATTTCACTGCGCTGCTTAACAGTTAGCAGAAAGGTTGTGTTTAACGTAGCAGAAAAATTTGCTAACCTTAAGCACTATTTCACGGCATGGATGTACTAATGGTCGCGCGTGCATGGAGATTTCTATTGTTACATCACTAAGTAAAGCAAATTTTTCCTCTGGAAGTAAGCATGCCATTTGCTGTGCTTATGCATATGGTCTCCATGAAATAGACGGAGGCACTGTTAGCAGAAAATCGTGTGCTTAGCAGCACCGTGAAATTGGGGCCAGGTGGTTTTGGAGCATTGTGGCTGAATGAAAAAAAGGTGTCAGTTGATGTTAGACACCGATGCGTTCAACCATGTTCAACCATGCACCATTGAGCCCTGCGTTTTGCTCGATATCATCCACACTGCTTCTGAATGTCATCGGCACTGCCTCAACCCATTAACAGTGATTGTTGAAGAAGTTTGTAAGATTGAGGCGATGGTCACCCTCCACTGAACAAAAAGATTGAGGCTTTAATCCAGTTTTTTTCATGGTGAGAATTAGAGGCTTTTGCAGGATTGAGGATTTCCTAGCCAAAAAGGCCTTGTGCACTAAGTAAATTAGTATTTCGCAAACTTAATATGGAAAATAGTAGTGGGAAATCGAGACGTGTATCCCACGACTAGTGATCTGTACGAGACGCACAGCACTATTATGCAAACCTCTGGATTCATTTTGATGATTTGACATTGCTAGTTACTTGTCTGTGTGATGATTGTTTTTGCAGGTAGACTTATACTTTCTGTCAACAAAGACACCTACCAGGAATTGGGCTTGGAAGGGAAACCCTCACAGTTTGAAAAACCAAGGAAGGTGACAAAATACTGTACGTTGAAATGGTCGATACTTGTATTACAGTAGAACTTCACTTTAAATAAAGAACAGGATGGATATGATTGGTTATCACAGAAGCCATTGCTTACTTGTACAGTACATGAAATGAGCCAAAAAGGATTTTTGTGTACAATGTATACTGTCACAAGCCAATATGGCCCGTCAGGCTGGTGTTTATCTCCGGTTTCCTTGGCATGAAACGACAGAGACAATTTGTATTCCTCCTGGATGGGATGCCAGTCCATCGCAGGTTACTCCCCAGCTAATGCCGGTACCCATTTATAATCCTGGGTGGAAAGAGGCAAGTGGGGGTGAAGTGGCTTGCCCAAGGACACACATATGGCTAGAAGTTGAAGTCGAGATTTTTTTTGCAGCAGCAGCAGCTTGAGATCAATGCAGTCTGGTCTCTATTCTCACAGGTACCAACGTGTTATTGCTGTAGAGTATCTTGCCCAAGAACACAAGCGCTGTGCACTCTCTCAGGGTTTGAACCTATGTACCATCACACACGAGTTAAACACCATAACCAGTGGACCATTGCAACACAGAACGGTTGAGATATCTTAACTGTTTTTACTTTCCATCACAAATGCTTCATTTTTGCCTCTTTTTCCAGCTGTTGAAGTGAACCTTGTTGCAGAAAGCTTTTGCAAGGGCAAGAAGAACTATGAGAGGGTGCAGTGGTGTTTCAAGGATAGACTGGATCTGACCTTTGACTTCTTGTTGGCATGGCAACCCAACGGTAAGCTTCTCAGAGGTGATGTTAGCGACGGTTGATGTTTTTGCATATTCATGTTACAGCCAACACCAAGCAAAGACAGACCCTGCAAATAAAAAACCTACATTTTGCTGGGTTTTTTTTCTTCAGATCCAAGCCAGTCTCTTGATGACCTCGGTTCATTTTGGAGCAGCAAGTATGAATGCCTGAGAGTTGAGCAAAGGCAGCACAGCTTTCAGATGAGGAACCAGTCTATTCCAGTGATTGACAGCTCACTCCTCCTCCATCGTCAGCACAAATCAAATCAAGACGCTTCCCGGATGAACGGGAGCAGTCAGGGCTGTGAAGAGACTCAAGTGAGGTCATGTGATGCGGCAGAGGTCTACGAATGGTTGGGAGCTGTGGCCTGTCAGTGCGACTGGTGAGCATCCTAAAATAGGCCTACGAAAATGTAACATGAGTAACCGATTTTGTGCGTCTTGTTTATCATACATAACACATTTTTTGTGGATGTCATCATTGGTGCTTAGGTAGGTCTAGGTCTACTCTACCTACCATGGGGATAACCGTTATTAAACCTTTTCAGTAAGGTAATTACAGCCCAAGGAAACTCAAAAGTACATCAAAAATGTAACGTGAGTAACCGTGGAATTGCCCATTACCTTGACGATCATTTGAATTACTTTGTATAGCTCGGGAGCCTCGGACAGCTTTGTCAACACATATCGCTGCCCTGAGCCTTCCCAGCAAGTATCTAGCTCTGTCTGTCATCGATGGACTGGCTTGATAACATCCGAGAGAATTCTTCACATGCTGGATGCTCTCAGGTAAACATCTGCTACCTTGTTTTGTTTCTAGTTGCAACATTAACAAAAAAAGGGCACTTGTCAACAAATATTGGGGAGGAAATAATATGCTCCCCCCCCCCCACCTGCAAGCAACGCCACTGGTCAAGCTACGACTCTGCAAACCACACATTTCCCACTTATGATCACCAGTCTGTGCTTACAGCACTAGCAACAAAAGCAAACATGTGCTAACCCTATAAGCACAGAATTCTTAGATATATAGGATGTATACTTGCCCAGGAAATATGTGTGCTAACCGTAAGCACAATTTTCTGCTACAGCAAACAGGGATTTTTAGCCAACATTTAAAGATATAGTCCATCATTTGTAATTTGTGCATTTTGTTCGTTTGAAGCAACAAACTTGCTCAAAATTTAAAGAAGGGTGCTGAACAAATAACCTGATGAAGTTTCAGCTCAGCTTCAGCTGTATATTCCGAGAAAAACAGCATCTAGGATCTCAATTTCAAATCAAAAGTTGCTGAATCATGTTTTGAATTGGGCCTGAATTCAGCGTCCGAGACACGTTCGCACTGGGCCGATTGCAGCTACGCGATGTTGCACACTGATGAATTATAGCAACCGCGCGCGTTTGTGCGTCATGCTAATGCTTGCGCGCGCTTCACCGAATAACAAAACAAGCTACTAATTTGAATTTCCTTAAGGAGCACCATTGGAAAGGCCTTCTTTTGTTGATTACTTCAAAATGACAGCTTGCAAGAAAGAATAATTTCTCTTTAGTCCCCTTACTGTCTTTCAACCAAGTATAATGTTCAAAAATAATTACGCCAGTTGCTTTTTGGATAGCTGCAAATGATGGACTCTGGCTTTAATGTAAGCGGAGCCATGAAATTGGGCCCAAATCACAAGTCAGAGCAGTTCAGTCTTTGTGGTGTGCCAAATGAAACTCGGTTGTTGTCTTGGTTTCACTTTTCTTTCCATTCCTTGCTCTCTGTTTCCAAATTCTAGGTCGAAGGTCGAATGCAGCAGAATGCCGTGGGCAGCGCTGACTGTTCACGGATTTACTGACTCCCCTGTCTCGTGGGGAAGCAGAGAGCACGGCTTCAGCAAGTACGGTAACAATCTCTACACGTTTGTCATCTTTCCCAAGGAACAAAGGTACTGGTTGATAATGGGCATTGGAGATCACGATGTATGCCCCTGACGATTATGTTCAGGAGTGTAATAAATTGACATTAATTTTTATACTGGAACAAAGTTTGTATAAATTTTCATTCCTCTGAAATGTATGAAAAGTGTCAGATATCTCTGTTTGGTTTAAATTTTGTAAAGTTCAAATTTCCAATTTGTATGTTTTGTTTCAAAGAAAATACAACTACATTGTACTTTAGTCCAATTTTTGGCATCTGCAACCCCCTGAAAAAGGAATTTTTTTTTTGTGCACAAATAACCCGCCCTGTGAGAACCAATTTATTGTCTGGCAGCCAATTGGAAAGAAATAATTCAATAACTAAATGGTGGTAATAATAAAAAATAATAAAAACCATTCTTATATAGCGCATATCACCATGAGGTCCCTATGCGCTCTCATGAAATCAACAATTATACAAATTGAACAGATATGTTTTGACCCGGGTTTTGAATTGTTCTGATGTTTCGGCCTGTTTGACAATATCTGGTAAGTTGTTCCATAGCTGAACTGCAGCTGATTGGAAGGAGCGGGAAGAGTTTTTTGTTTTGATGTCTCACTCAAAGTATATAACTTTCATATTGCTAGGAAAAACACAATTGAAAAAAAAAATTAATTTTTGAGGTGAAACTTGCAAATAGCATGGAAAATGTATCTTTAATTACCCACTCTTCAGTTAAGGAGTTTTCTGTTCAAATTGTGAAACCCCTGATTGTTCATGTTCGTTGAATACCCCTTTAAATTTCCTCTGTGTGTAGAGCCCCACAGCTTTGAATGCTAACTTTCATGAAAAGAAGATGTGTTTCTGAATTTGAAATCTAGACTGTTTTGTTTTTCACTTGATGTTCACTATGGAAGCTACTGGCCATGTTAACCCTAACTCCCTAGGCCTTTTTGCTGGGATGTAGCCTCAATCCTGCAAAATCCTCCAATTGGCCTCATGGGAAAATAGCATATAGCCTCAATCCTGCAAATTCCTTCATTTTTTCTTGAAAATGGTCCATGGAGGGGTGACCACTGCCTGAATTCTGCAAAATCCTGTGGCAGTGACTGTCAATATGTTGAGGCTCGGCCAATGGCATCCTGGAGCAGTACGAAGGATTTCAAGCATAATCCAGGCCTATATTTATGCATGGCTGAGCAAAAACAGCACAAGGTCTGGCCCAAGACCTTGACAAAGTGCATCCCACGAAATCAGTAACACACTTTTGCCATGTAGCCTCAATCCTTCAAATTCCTCCACTTTGGCAAAGAGGATTTTGAAGGATTCAGGGCGGTTAGGGTTAATAACCAGGAAAAATCTTATTCCGTACCATTAGACATCTAGTTATTCCGTAATTTTCAGGGGGGAAATGTTCAGGGAAATATTTCCTTGTTATTAACTAGTTAAGTAGCTTTCATAGCAAGCATCAAGTGGGAAAGGGAAAAAAGTCTAGATTTCAAATTTGTGAAACACAAGTTTTCAGGGAATTCCAGACGGAGGAAGTCCAGTTTTGGAGACACGTTTATAAGGCTAACCTTAAGATTATAAGTTTATCCTAATTACATGTATCTGGAAAGCTGTGCTTTTTCACTCTGCTGATTTTAATTTGGTCTTCAAAATTTCGATGTCATTTTGCCCTATGGACAAAGATTGATATATGCATAATTTAAACTAATACTTTTGGAATCGTAAGTGGACAATCCTATTTTTATTTTTTTAAATAAAATTTGGTAATTTACTTCATCAAACTTATCAAAAGTCCATTTATTTGTATGATGTCTCATTGTAAAACTCAAAACTTATCTAATAAAATATTTCTATTTGAATTCTTTTTTTAATGAGACATTTAGAAAGCATGGATGTTCAAATGATGCATTTGTGATCTTGTAATACCAGATGTATAGTACATACTGTTATTTTTAAAGGTGACAAACAAAGTTGTGCATATCATCAAGAGCTTTAAAAGGTGAAAATTGAACTACATGTACAATTATATTCCCAAAAACTTCAGCAAGCATAATGTGCATTGTCTTTTTTCATAGAAGATTATGTGGTAATAAATATACATAATATGTGAAACAAGTCAACAGCATCTTTTAGTATAATTTGTAATTGTTCAGTAAAATAGTTTGAAATCTCCAGTTTATTTTATACAAAATGTAACATTTTGCAAAAGCTTAAACTTTGCCTCTGAAGAAGGCCTTGCTAAGGCTGATATATCAGGCCACTTTGTGATTTGTATATTTCAGATCAGTCCAGTCATTGAGCAGTTTCAGCAGTTAAAGTCATTTTCAAAAAAAAGTTTTAACTGTAAGGTTCCATGCTGTGGCTTAAGGAACCAATGTTAATTTACCATAAGGAACTGCATTGTAAGGTTTCCTATTAGATTAATAATAACCACATGAAGGAATATTGGAACAAAAGTTTGGTCCTCAAAAATCGTAAAATGAAATAAATACAAGCAGCTTGACTGTAGTTTAAATTTAAATGGTGTTTAGTGAAGTGTGAATTACACATGTAAATAAGGTTAAACCAAAAATAACGGGGTGTCAATCATTAAATGGTTTATTGAATCAATCATGACTCGCAGCTAAGGGCTGAATTGAACATTATTACAGTATTTGGGGAAAAATAGTAATCCCATTAAAAAAAATTTATTATTAACATTGAAATAATAAGAAGTACCAGATAGTTATCCCATTAAAAAACATTATTAACATTGAACTATTAAGAAGTACCAGATAAAACTGACCAAAAAAAACCCCGAATACACGACAAAAACAAATTTACACTAGAAAACTGCTTTTTATAGAACATAACGCAATGAACTAAGGCATCGACTGTCATTGAAAGTTACACAAAAAATAGATGAATCAAATTAAGTGTGGGGACTAGAATTAATTAGGAACTATTGAGTAAGCATCCATCGTGACATTAGAGAAAAGAACGAAAGGGCGGTGCTCTAGTCTGGAGTAAAAAGGGATGCAGCCCCACGCAACGTAACAGTGAAGAAGGATCTTTCTCCGCATAAAACGTTGCAGGAGACCAACCGGATGAACGAGTTCGTTGATTGTAATGACATCCCTTTCCAAATTCAAACAAAAAGTGAATGAGCTGGTTACACTAGGCCGTAATTAAAATCTCATGTTACTCTTTTGAAAATCCAGTTCATAAAAGAAGAGAACCGGTTTTGGTTGGTTTTGATTCTGCCCCTCTGATCTCAGATTTTTTTTTAAAAACCTGATAATTTAGAAATCTGGTATGATAGTACAAACATTTGTGTTAAGTGCATCTGCGGAGTTTTAGCCTGATTGGACAGCGACGGAAGAGAACCCTATTTTTGTGTTGGTCATTGTGTTCCCGAAATCTCAGTTACTCTTTTGAGATATCTAGGGGAATGTGCTAGGAAACAGCATTTTAGAGTGAATATGGCGTATAAGGACCCAAGGGATTATTCCCAGCGCGATATGCGACAGAGGGGTACCCTCCATGTCCCCAATATACACGCCCTAGTCTATGGCTACCTAGCGCACCCCCCCCCCCCCCCCCGATATCTCAAAAGATTTCCTGAGATTCTGGTAACCAATGAGCAAACACAAAAGAGGGGGATTCCCCCTGTCACATATCTTGCTGCATATGCTGGGGGCCCCAGTCTGAAATCGTGCGCGGTATTATATCCGTACGTGATTGACAATACACGCTCGATGAAAAGCAAAATATTGTTGTGCACTCCGTCAGAAAATCTGCGGCATGTTGCGCGAGCAGTACATCCAGTTGTTAAGATAATATGAAAGTGTCCGCGATAATCATTCTATGACAGTGGCAAAACCACTGGGTGCGCACAGGGTGCATGTTCCCCCTTCCGGCCCGTTCGCCCCTCCCCCCCCCCCCCCCCCCCCAGCAGATGTCCTTCCCCGGCCCCAGGTGCCCTCCCATTCGAAATCATTTGAGCTGAAAAAAAACCACACTGTTGAAATGATACACGTTTCATTTGCTGTTCTATACGAACTCATAAAAGGCTGCGGCGAGAAAATTAATCCAGCGTTGACGATTTCGCAGAAAAATATGTTGGGGCCGGAGGAGGTTTCGTCCCGGGTTAATCACCTTAATTAAGGTATTGTATTCAAGATAGGCGGTCGGCGAATGTATGCACTATGGAAGGTTAACTCATAATTGACATGGACTGAAAAACGTGAACGACAGTTTTCATGTTGTTATTATGAATAATAAGGCGGCCGAATTCACTGCATTACAATTATTTGGCCTATCTGCATCACCTTCCGAGAATGGTTATTACTGCACTTGTTAAACATGTTTGATCGTTGTACTCGATGCAAAGGCCTCCATTCGACCATCTGAGAATGCGAACGATCTTTTGGCATCGTTTAAAGGTTCAGAGGGCACGTGTGGTCTAGCGGTAGAGCACAGGCCTCATGTTCGTGAGATTGTGGGTTCGAGCCCCGCCGTGGCCATGCGTGTTGTGCCCATGAGTAAGGCGCTTTACCTCAATTACTCCTCTCAACCCAGGTGTTAAAATCGGTACCGGCTTTATTCAATGCTGGGAAGGTAACAGGCTCGCTGTGGAGAAGGTGTGGCGATCCCCCCCACAGCAGCATTTCATGGACTTGAGTCTGGCCCAATCGCTTCGACAGAGAGATGGGCACTCCGTTCCTGTTAACACAGGTTCGTCCCCTTTACCTTTTTTAAGGCACGTAAGAACACTGATAATTACGCGGAAATTGACCAATCGATTGAAAGGATCCATGCGATGAATTTTTCTTCGGAACACATTTTGTGCAACTTCCTACTCCTCTTAATGAAAAATATTTGACATCCCTTTTTGGTTGATTTTATTGAAAAGTGCAATTCTTTGAACATTTAAAATCTTCCATCCTTATCCAGAGAACTGAGGGCGTTGTTGCTGTGATGTCATTTCAGGAAGACACTGTTCTGTTTATGGTTATCTGCTCAAATTGCGAACTCATAAATTGTTAACATTTGTGAGAAAGATTTTTTCGTTAGCTTACTGCCTTGTACTGACACAACAACGATTCACCCAAAAAAATATTAACAACAGCAAAATATCCAAAATTCTAGCAATTGTAGTTTGCTGACATACAAAAGAAACAAAAATTGCAAATAAGGTTACATTGGACATAAAGGTGTATTTTCAAGGATTACATTTAAAAGATACATTGCATGGCCCTTTAATGAGAAAGAAAATTGCTCAATACTCCGCTTGAAATGGTACCACTGAATGGTATCATTGAACGTGGTTTTTAAAAAAAATGTGCCCGCCGGCACAGTTTACACACAAAACTTTTCACTTCTTACAGTCTCCAACCTCAGTGAAATGTTTAATTTATTGTTATGCAAAACGAGACATTACTTTTGATAAAAAAAGTGGGTTTTTTTTTAAATAGATGTCGGTTAAGTGGAAAATTTGTCCCCAAACCCTCGAAAACATTTAAAACATTTAAAACAGAAATGCAATTACAAACATGGTATGAACAAACCAACACATTCATCCCACAAACATCAGATATAGCCCATTTTGCGTTTGCAAAGTACCCTGCATAAGTCTTTTTTCCCTCTATTTTTTGTTTGTTTGTAGGGTGGGGATGAGGTGGTATAAGTTGTGAGAGTAGCTACATCAATTGCTCCAAATTGGTCCTAGTCTGCCCATAAACAATGTGTACATGACTTTGTTCTTTATGCTTTGTCTATTTATCGGGACGTAAAACTTTTAGCTTCACTTTATTTCTGACTTATGTCTTATGAACTTTGTATCATACTGTTTGCTCAAGCTTCTAAATTTCCCATTGCAAATATTACCTCAATGGTAATGTTTAAATTGTTGACAACTGTGAAAGGTTTTTTTTGTAAACAACCCCATGTTTTGATAAGTTTTTCCTAGCAAATTTACGATGCACCTAGTTCTGTCCATCTAGGTAATACTTCATTCAAAATATGGCTTAAATTATCAAGCTCCTTACACTACAAAAAAAAATATGAATTTGTATCCATGGATATTTGTATTTATTATGATTTGCAGCTGAATGTATTTTAATCGATGAAACTATTATCAAGCTGCTTAATTTCCTTCAAAATGTACACACACTAAGGTAAAGTAGGTAAAGTGATCCCTATGTTCTTTTCAGCTGCTTCGGCCCAGGTCAGTATCAGCGTCCAGCCTCCAAACCGGTTTTAAACATAGCGTTTAAAACCGGCCAAGCACACATTTATTCCCACTCATAAATAGCTTTTTGGTCAAAGAGTCCAAACAAGTCAATATATAAATTTCCTAAGATTTTATTCAACAAGTTTACTTCATGTTGTTTTAAACACCCCTGGCTATGTTATGGTATGTGCCTCTCGGGAGAAGTCGTAAACAACTCCGTATATGGAGATTAGCGCGCGCGGCGTGTACTGCGCAATGTGGCGCGTACTGCGCGATGTGGCGCGTACTGCGCGATGTGGCGCGTACTGCGCGATGTGGCGCGTACTAGTGCGCCATGTGACGCAGAACGCAGCTGTGCAGAACGCAGCTGTGCCGGTGTAGTGTGAATTCCTAAATTAGAACTAGGCTTATGATGTACTGACTCATTGGTAGTATTGCGCCGGCCACGTGACGGGCTTGCGACCAATAGCAGTGGGTAAACAGTGTCTTAGTATTAAAATGCGATGTGGCAACCTGGATGTGTGATGTGTGTAATGCTCAGTTTGTTTAGTTTTGCTTGATTTATAATAGATCAAGAATGCCGATGACTTACCAACCGAATGTATGCCCCAAAAAGATCACAAAGGTAATTTGTTTAATCTTTATAGAAAAAAAAAGATGTCTTCCTTTTCTCGGCGTACTTGACAGAACGCACAACAAACAAGATAAGAGACCGTTTGCAGTGACACATTCTCCTTCTGTCTACTGTCCTACTTGTCAGTCTGGTCCATTTCAATCGTGAGGCTATGAACGGAGTGGTATGCCCTATAGGCGCACGCCATGATCCCACACACAAAGTAATGTCACTATGTGCCTGATCCATCGTTGGCTAACTCGTGTGAACATTCTGTCAGAACATCCACACACGTCCAACACCGTGCCAACCCACGGCTGCTTCAGGCAAACGCTACGTTCTTTTGCCGTTCTTTTTAGTTTCTCTCTAGTGTACAGTCGACCTGTTATTGCTGATGAGAGCGGCCTAACTCATCCTGCTGATGAATAATGTTACATCCAAAAGAAGGAGGCAGAAAAAAAATTGAAGGATGAACGATGGACTGGCGGGCGCAATTCTGGAGATTTAATAATTATATTGTTGCTTGTTTTTGGGGGTTTTTTTATAGGACATAATAAAGAGCAGGGGAAGTTTACCGTTTGTGATAATCCGTGTGTGAATGAGAACGGCGGGCCGCCTGGGCGATGTATGCCGTGACGTTGTCATGCCAATCAACTAGACTGTCTTACAGTCTGCACCACACCTTGCCATATATCCACTATACGTATACGCATCGCCATACGGCCGGCTGTGTGTACAGGATCCAAACTCATTTACTCGGCATTTACGTCACAGGACAACCCTACGAAATATCAGCGCGCGTTGGACAGCTAGACGTCACGGGGCTGCTGCTGACTAACTAACGGGTGGCTCGTGGAAAAATACGGCCCGACTTCACACAGGCTGGCTTTTTTTGCATACGATTTGCTGTGTGCCTCACCCTAGACAAGATGGGCTGTACTATGAGTGCAGAGGATCGCGAAGCAGTGGAGAAAAGCCGGCAAATCGACAAGACTTTGAAAGATGACGGACTACAAGCGGCCAAGGATGTTAAGTTACTACTACTGGGTGAGTTGCTGGGCGTGCTGCTAGCTGATCTACACCGACCGCATCTCAACTTGAATGATTCATGCAACGATTTTGGCGCTTGACAGTATTCACTTGTTAGTCTTCCCTCGATTTATTGTCATGTTGCTCGCTATACGAGACTCTCCTATACACCCAGCCAGCTAATTTTCCTCTCACACAACGATTGCTGCTCAAGAGGCTTATCATATGTTCTGCATGATGATGCATTGTGTTTTCGAGTGTTCTTGTCGTCGTTGAGGAGGTTTTCAGCCCTTTCAAGCTATGGGATTTTAGTCATTTGCTCGCCAGTGCAACCAAGGATGTTTACAAGTGGTCGGGAGTATTATAATTGCGCGCCCGGCCGTCAGTCAAATTCGTCCGCACCATTAACATTTTGCCTCATTATGATTGCCGAGGACTAAATCTCCTTTTCTTGTTCGTTTTACAGGTGCAGGGGAATCGGGAAAAAGCACAATCGTCAAACAGATGAAGTAAGTCTGAGCTATCGTTTCCCCATTTCTCCGCCGATCAGGATTCGGGTGCCTCGGTCTAATTTCCACCCAAAATGAATGAAACACGATCGGAGAGAGGCACATAATGTGTCAATCTGGTAGGCCCGATATCTCACGGACAAGCTATACGGCGGCCGGCGCCCCTCCCCTCAGCTGGTGCCCGTCAGCCAGTAAACGGGTCAAGCAAGCGGCGACAATTAGATGAATATATACGACGGGGGAAACCCAACAATGGCGGTCTATAAAACCATAAAACCCGACCTCATAATGCTGCGCAAATAGAGTTGTCACGCTGCGCTTAGTGTGTCACGATCCCTATATTTTTATTGTTTTCCTGACGCCATCACACAGCCAGCGACGCGTGCATGATGTGGACCCCTCATCATCATTATCATCCGGCTAGCTCGGCACAATTTGCCAGTACCGCCATTTTTTTTCAACATCATCTCTATTGTCTGTAGCTAGCTGCGTGCATGTGTTTACGTCAAAGCGGCCGCTGTGCAGTAATTATCGGGATACATGCCGAGGCAATATCGGCCCATAGGCCTATACATGAGAGAGGCTGGCTGAACTCAATGAGCATTCAAAGCGCTGTATGCATGGACCGCTGGGTTTTAAATATAATAGCGTTATAAAAGACAGGAAGCGGGCTTGGCTTTCCGATAACATTACAATTTCCTTGCATACATATTGTTTAGTGTCTGCATAAGTAGCCATGAACTCGGTCGCTTCCCGATAGATAAGCGTGGCACTGTACCTGTTAACGCTCCACTAAAATGATTATCAATTATTTTTATGCGTTTATCAGATGTAGGGCATTCGCCCTTTGTACGTTGACCTGAAGGAACGGGCATAATGACTTGATAGTGTATTATCCAACGCGTGTCCAGTACAATTACGAAGCGAGTGATCAGTGGGAAAACTAAGATGTTTTAAAGACAATTTGGTCTTGATGTGTATTGAGTCCCAGTGTTATGTATATGACCTAGCAATCTGACTATAACACCTGTATCCAATCAATTATAACAGCTAGATATTCAATTTAATGATTTAATTCAATTCAATAACAATAATTATTTTCATATTTTCCAGGTGTAAATCAAATTAAGATATAACGCAAATTTGCCAGCATTTGGTCAGTGTTTTGGACATATTGCATCGTGTTACGCTTCAGTCGGCCTTTCATCAGAAGAATATAATATTTTGAAATATAACTGGTATTATTTGTACAGGACATTGCACAGTTATCGGCTCAGACTCGAAGCATTACAATGTTAATCAGTAAAATAAACAAAAATCAACGATTGCCTCTATAACTACTGTTTTTATATTAATGTATACTATTGCTTTTATTGTAGTCAAAATGTGAGATTCAAGTAAAAAAATGCCACTTCCGAAGTTGACATGTTAATTCTTTAAACATTCATTTACACAGTAATCATATACATCTAGAAACTGGAAGTAGAAATGGATTCCAAGAAAACAGCCACATAATGAAAATTGTAATAAAAATATTAGGCTGGATATTTACCAAAAATAAACAAAACTCATCACTATGAAAAATGTAGAAAGATGTACATGTATGGACTGCCAGAAACAAAACATATTCCTGCAGTTTCACTCAGTGTACTCATGTGCGGGAGAACAAACGACAATTTAATTGGAATAATTGGAAATGTGAAACGGATAGAAATTTAGTCTGCTTGGCGCTGCACCTCGAGTAAGTCAGCTGCGACAACCATCATGAATAGGTATTCAGTAACGCACAATGTATACATGCGCGGATCTACATGTACGTAAAACACAACACAATAAGATTGCTCATGTTTGTACGTCTTTTAGCCATGATCAAACTGAAACGAAGTCCATTTGGTATGAAGATGACGAGATGAGGATGTGTGCTAGCATGCCTTTCACTCAACCGTGATAGTAGGCACAGATGTCAGCTCGACCTCCGCCTGACCCCTGCCAGTAAAGCCCTGAAGTCTCGCCGCAATATCGTTTTACCGATGAACAACAATGTGAAATATGACCGAGTATAAAACACTGTTAACGCGCAGGCTTATTATTTAAGTAAAGCACTGATGTAAACCTTTATGGTATACACAATGTCTAGGTTTACAAGACATTTCTGTACTCTATGGTTTCAACATAACTCCTCTGTAATACCGTGATGGAGTAAAAATACTCTAAATGTTTCAAATGAAGGCATCAAAGTCAATCGTGCCATCCAGAAAATAAAATGTATTTGATTAATTTATTTGAAATTTCACATCATCTCATATTTGGTTTTAAAAATATAAAGTTGTATTATTTAATAACGGTTATGTGCACTTCAACAACGTGACAAGAATAATCTTCCGGACTGTTCAGTCATAAACGGTTTTACACGTAGGGTTGAAATTGATGTTTAATGCAGGGAAAAAAGAATTCAAATGAACAAATTGAACCAGACCTGTAAGTGATAATCTTTTATGTTTGAAATCCAGATCTGAGATTTGTGCTTGGAAATGGCATGCGCGACACATTAATAGTCAAATATAAACCCTACTTATAACTAATGAATGCACAAATATTACATTTACTTTCCAATCTATTTCTATATTGTCAGTATTATCTAACATGTTTTGGGCATCAACATAAGAAACATGAAAACATACATGCAGATGAAAACCATATACTGCTGAAGCAACTTTACTACAGTCAAAAACGAAAGTGACCCGAATTAATGATTTTTTTCCTTAAAAATCAATCAAATTTGAAACACCTGTGAAGTATATCTTGGAAGAGCATGTTCTTTCACTTATCCCTAAAAAGGAATTACTGAAATTGATCTGTGCTATCAGAAATTATGCACGTTTTACTAAAATAACCCATTTTTATAGCTGTCCATGAATGCCGTTGGAAGCTATTGAGCTGAGTGAGAACTACAGCTGGCACACAAGCATTCAAATACAAATGAGATTTAAATCATTTAAATGAAGACTGAAACATTATTTTACTGTCAGATTTTGTGTTTTGAATATGAGGAACAAGTCATTTTTTTTTTCTGAAATATTACTGACGATTTTGGTATGTTTTCCTTTGCAAGTTCTCCCCCATTATCGAGGTGGGAAACCGTCCATGTTTTATTGTATTTAATGGGTATTCATCAGTTCGTAGAACGGTAATTGATCAGTGGTGGACAGCTGGATTTTGTGATCTTCATATGAACACAGACGTAGCTTGGGAATGGAGTATGCAAATTACGTGAAATGTACACAGTTACCAGTCAATATTATGTACTTCATGCCCGTGGGTTCTTTTTTTTGTGAATTGGAGCGAGCCACATATTTTATATATTTTTTCGAATTCAGTCACTTTCTTTTTGACTCGCCTTGTATAGGATGTCTTAATTTTGGGATTATCTACGATTAGGGTTCGTTCTATTTACTAAGTAGACAACGAGCAAAGTGTTGATCGCCGTCTTATTACGGATAGGACTGCACCTGAATTTAGATTTCTGAAGCCTATAGCATTGTTTAACATTTTTACTGATTATTTTGTAGGGTGGCAAAAATGATACTGTCCAAAAAATAACCACGATCATTTGTGCTTGAACTGGTTGCAAGGGCCACAAAAAGTTGGCTTTGGGCCCAAATTTAAAGGTTATTCTGGTTTTTATACATATTCTATCAGAAATGAAATACCGCAAAGGGAAAGTATGACCCACGATGTGAAAGTATGTTGCATAATAGCATGTCTAAGATGCCAAGTGTGATGGCAAATAATATCCTACCGATTGTACCAATTTACGTCCCTCCATGCACGCTGTAAGCGTACTGAAGTCGTTGATATTTGTTTGTGTGTTCGGGCTGTACTACTACATTATGCTTGAGTTTTGGAGAATAATGCTGGCAGTAATTGTAACAGAAAGTTGACAGAAGAACGAGTCGTGCACAAAATCAGTTATATTTTCATGTCTAATAGAATCTGTATTTAAAGGTAGCACTAAAGGCCTACAACATCTGCAACGATGGTCGGCCGACCATCGTTGAAAAAACTTACTTTTTTTCAAATACCGCCCCCAGTTTACCACATTTAGGCCAATAGTCCGCGTTTTGTTTGCAATCTGATACACACGTGAAGGGGTACAAGCCAGCTAGTCTGGCTCTCTGAGTCTCCAACGTCTCATGCTCCGTTTCGTCTGAAGTAGGGTCAGGGAACCAGACTTCAAGCACAGCCGTGTTGTTGTTGTTGTTTTTTTTGGGGGGGGGGGGTGCTTTTTCCCGGCATTCATGAACACAAAACTTTAAACAAGTCAGTGTAACGATATTTGCTATAAATACTAACACCCTAATACATCCATTTCTAAAATATTACAGCAAAAGCAAAAGTATAATTACCTTTAAATCATGTGGAGGCACTATACTATACTGTTTCAGTAAATAGGCCCTAAATTACCTATATATACGCCGGTCAAATAACGATTTGCATGTCCTCATTTTTTTGCTATTACAGCATTTTGTGAGCCGTGAACTTGAGGGTTTGTAAAAAAAAAAAAAAAAAAAGTGGAAGCCGTGAACAGGACTGCAAGCTCATATTTCTGTGAAAATCCGCATGACATTGGGCCCTAAAATTGCTATATTTTGCAATGGAGCGTAGGCCTCCTTTTTTCAAAATGGCGATGTGCTTTAGGACTGCTTTAAGGGGCGATCATCTTTGGATGGAATTTTCTCCCAAACGTCATCGGTTAACCCCAAAAAAATTTAACAGAAAATGAAAGATGATGAAATAGGCTTTAATTTGATGTGTGTCTCAAACACCTTGGAGAGTTGTGGTTGAAAGAAAAATGGGTAAAAACGTTTTCAATGTGAACACCGTGATGGATGTCAAGCATGTAGGTTTGTAGCAAAGATATTAAACAAATGACATTTGTAATATGTGGCTATTTTATGGGGCTATTTTATCAGATGTCGACTGTACTCTTATAGGCCTAC